ATCTATCGTAGCTTGATGATGGACCGATCGTAAGAAATCGTCGCGAGTACACAGGGAGCCACTTGCTCGGACGGCGGGTGAGTTGGACGGCCGGCGGGCCGGCCGGCCCGGAGGATTACGGGTTCTACTTGGCAAATAATCTTTATTCCTGAAGCAATCTGCGACTGACGGCGGGGGAGCGCCTTTCCATGTAGCTCGCCTGTCTGCCCGCTTTTGCTCATCATGATGGTAGTGCTGGAGCCCGTGCGGTTGGTGGTGGTGGTGGTGGCGGCGGTGGTGGTATCCGGGTCAAACAGGTCATCTCTTACTCCCTCCCTTGTGGCTGGCTCGCTGGCTGACTGACTGACTGGCTACGCGGTTGTTGCTGCCGACAGACAGCAGGAGCGGATCGACGGCCATTGAGAAATTTGGGTGCGTCCACTTCCACCTCCACTGCGTTTTTCACAGAATGTCGAAGATGTCTGACCTATCTGCTCACGATACTCACCTCATTGTGCTCGCCTTACACGAAGGCACAGAGGAGAACGTCCGACTTTGTTGGCTCCGCAAGCGCCGAAAAAGCGTTGCGAATCACCTGGATTTCGAAAACGTCCGGGACCTGTTAATAGCAGAACTCCAACACGATAACGTCCTCGTGCTTGGTGGAGCAGGTTTCGATGAATCGACGTGCTCTGGATTCGGAGGCCCAATCGCTTAGACACCAAATTTCTCAATCCCAATCCTGTCGATCGGCTCTCGACTTCGCGGACTTCCCCCCTCAAGAAATCATTTCTTTGAGACGTGAAACGTTGTCGCGTCCAGCTCCCAAGAGCATCAAACTAGCACCTTGATAATCTATGGGAAGGGCCCAGGAGTCTTTATGGAGACTCAGCAAAGCGCCCGTCCTTAGACTCACTCCACGCAGGTCGTCTCCAATGTCTCCTCCCTCCCAGCGACGGAAGGTTCAGAGTGGTATTCGCAACCGGAATCGTGCTCGAGTCGTTCGAGCAGGCTGGACATGATTTTTCGGAATAAACCCCATGAAGTTTTCCGCTTTGATTCCAGAACCCTTCTCTGGTGAATCCGTTTGAATTTTGAGGCGGGGTGAATCTCGGACTGAGCGAAATCAAGCCGTTTATTCACCTAAATATAAAAGCACTCGGGGCAGATCGTCGTTTCTTGCAAACGTGGTGATACATATAAGCTGATGACTGATGTACAACGATAATATTTCACCGTCTCGCTCGAACTTGCGATGAAAAATAAAATAATACTCTGTCTCGGGGGATCAGGAGACTGCGAGAGCCCCGCCGGGGCGGGGACGAGGAGAGCCTTCGACAAGCGGCGTTGAAAATTAGATTCCTCCTGAATTATCAGAACACAGTCATTTGTCTCGTAATCGAATACTGTATAATTGTTCGCTGCAATATCATTACCAATGTATTCTCTTACATACCTGTCGGTCGCGACGATCTGTCCGCTTCTCCGCTCTGTCTGTCCGTCAGCATGTTTCAGCAAGTAATGCACGCTAAATACACTCTTGGGGTTCGAAAGCGACGTCTGACTCAAATAACTGACCCCGTGTCTTTCTGAGAATTAGCGGTCGCCCACTTGCTTTCGGACCGAATCGACATCTCCGACAACGACTCGGTCGTCGACGATATGTGAGCGCGGCACGGCACGGCGAAGAGGATGGGGACGTGGGGGATCGGAGGGTTGGGGAATTCGGTACGGCAGGCCTGGAGACGAGCTATAAATAATTGAACAAGTGAACTGGGCGGAAAGAGAAAATCGATCCTCTGAGAAGTGTCGTGCTGTTGTCCAAATGCTCGCTATGCGAGGAATGCAATCCATGGACGTCGGTCACCTGTCCTGGCGCTGAAACTCCAAATTATGAACTAGGTTGGGCTTCCATTTGATCCGACGAAAAAACGGTTCCTATGGTTTCTGTTGCTGGCGATCGCAGCCACGGTTTCAACGCCACAAATTAGCTAATCGCTTCTGGAGATGGACCGCGAGATATTTGAGGAAACCAACAAGGAATTCGACATCAGGTGCCCTCTCCGGACACTCCGATCGGAACAATTGAAAAACCGCGGGCGGCAAAAACGTCACGGCCATTTCCGCGGTTCAAAACTCAGAATCTTCAGGGAACATGAGGACAGGAAAAGGATAATACTGATTGGGAGAATTCAGTGTCTACTGTCGATCCGATTAGCGTCAGGTCCTGACGTCGACCGCTGCTGGATCAGATTGAGAGAACCCTCTGGCATCGGTCGATAATGATACACATATATGTATGTACATATGCAATTGATAGCGTTTTGACGTCGGCGTCGACGAAATTCAGGCGACTATCGCAATCCCCTGGCGGCGGGCGTGGTAGACAATGCGCGAAATTCTTCGAACTCCCGTCCGTCTGCCTGCCTGTGACTCGAACGCTTATGCCGATCGTTTCGGTGACCTTTGCGACCGCCAGAGCGCCGAACCCCTCCCACTAACGCATAGGTTAGCGAAAGCTGCAATTAAAACCAATATTGTGAGCCCTTGTCGTGTGTTATTCGATCTCTGCCGTACGGATAATTTGTCTCCGGTAACCCGATATTAGTTAGAAGTGTCGCGCAACGGTCTCGGCCTGCTCTTGCTAAACTAGGAGGCCACAGTAACAACAGAAGCATCAGAGTGCTCGAGCCGACTTCCATAAGGCACGCTCGATCCGGAGGCCTCTCATCGACTGTTTTTGTTCAATTTAGCAGTCCATAGGTGTTCGAGGGCTCCGCAATTTTTTTTTTCTCAGGGAGTAAAGTGTTTTATTCTCCACTGCTCTCTCCTAAAATCGAACAGGACTCAATGAACGGGGAAATCGAGCCGTCTTCAAGAATTCGACTCTTAGTATGAACACGCGACATCAATGTATCGCACGTGCCGACAGACTCGGCTTCCTCATCGACAAAGATCAGCTTCAGCATTGACTGAGGAAAACAGGGAGTCGTGGACTAATGATGAGAGCTCCTCAGGGAATGAGATCAAAGAGTTTACAACGCATTCATATCGGATTCATGATATCCAGCCCTCGCGGAACGCAGGAAACTTCTGGCTCCGATTCTATCGGCATTAAAAGGTATTCGGAGGAATTCCTTGAATTCTTGTGCGGTGGCGGCGATAGCATACATTTTTTACCACTTCAACTCTGCCCGGTTCCTCAAATGGAACGCCTTATCTACATTTCGATTCTCTCATCCGAATGAACTGATAAGTGAAGCAACCATTAAACATCTGAAGAGCCCTCACTTCGACGCTCAACCGGGCGTGCGGTCGCTCACATTGAAACCGTTGCCTGTTTCGATGCTCGGATCGAATCCTAGGTGCCTCGAGATTTCCTAGGCGTTCCGTGAGCACAAGAATTCTACGTCTCAACTTTTGTTTCGTTTATCGTTTCAATATTGAGGAGAGAGCACACGGAACCAAGACATCAGTCTCGCTTGATTTCGACCGACCATCCACCCGGAAACCAGATGCGGAGGCCCGAAATCCGTCGGAGGACGGAATCCGAAGAATTGATGACGAATTCCCCGGATCAATCCACTCCACGAAGCACGCTCAGCCCCAAAGACGTCTGTCAGGCCAGGATAGGGGGTTGAAACCGAGTATCCCGAATCCTTCACGTGTTTCTCCCGAGCCCGCCTCGAGGAATGGGCACGAACATTAGAAGGGGGATTGCACAGATGGAGAAGGAAACCACTGTGAATCGTTCCTAAACAAGGTTCGAGGTCACTGGCGTGTTGACGGGGTACAGCATTCGAGAGCGTATTCACGGAGCGAGTCGCTCTGGCCGGACCAACTTTTTGGAGGCACCCCCCGCTGCTCTTGCGCCTGAAATTCGCACAATGAATTTGCGCAGTCGCGTCCTCAATTAGGCGAACTAATCCCAGCAATGAGGTCCGAGCGGGTAATTCCATCTCTCCTGGATATATTTATGAAACCCCGACGATAGCACGGCCCTGGCCAAGTATCAATAAACTCCGATTACACCCGGGAGGGAAGGAGGGCTGAGAATCCCCGGAAGTCGGCGGAATCGTTCACGAATTCTTCGGCGTCGCGGTGTCCGCGCGGAACGACCCTCCGAAGTGTGAGCGCAGACGGGATACATATGCCGCATTCCGTATATAACATTGAAGTCGTTCCTGAACCTCGGCGTCATTCGCTCTGGAAAAAGAGATTGAGAAGCATGATACTCCCCCGAAACATGTTTGCGTGGGCGAGATGGCGTATGATTCTGACCTCACTCATGCACAACGTTAGACCCTCACAGTCTGACGGGCTCACTCCCCGTTTCGAAATCTGGCGCGTAAACAAACGGGCGTTCGAATTCGAAGTTGTTTTGGTCGGTGAGCAGCTCGCAGGGACGTTCTCTACCAAGTGCCTTCTTCTCTAGTCATTCCGATATTTTTCGACTCGACGATTCCGTCCTGCATGATGAATAAAGTTATTAGGAGTTACAATCATTGCGTTGGGATCATCTGACATATGTAAGCAGTGGAGCGTTGATAGTTTACCCTCTTCCGCGACTTTAGGTCACCTGTCCGCCATACGGTCCGGGACGATTTTGAGAGGGTCTTCCCGCAAGCCGTCGTCCCCATGAACAAATTCGGCACTCTCCGTGCGACACAGAACACAACCTCTTCGGTACAAGGCGGGAGCGACTTCACCAGTCACCGGGTCCAGATCCACCGTCTGACGATGTAATCGGCCGGTGTTTTGCGACTTCTGCGCCGAAGGAGAGGGATCGCTTCTGTATCGGGAACACATTTAGCCACTCATCAGTAGTGACGTGTCTTCCGTTTGTGTTGTAGCCGTCCCGGAAAATCGAATTACGGGTTGACGAAATCTTTGGCTTGCCCCCACTGGGTCAGCACGGAGTGTCGGGTCGGTTCCCACTCCGGCTTGATTCTCGCTGAAGTTTGTAGATTGCAAGCGATTCGTAGAAAGCCTGATCTTGCTTCGGAGTTTCCTTGTTCAGAATGATGGAGGAGGATGAACCGTCCTCTCTGCCCCTGGGATGGCTATCGGATTATTTCTGGATTTTCGTACTGGGCACCATCGCACGTGAGAACCTCTGTTGTTTTATATCGATTGACTCGAAAGCCTCCCATACGATCTTCAGTATGGCCAGCCGAACGGAAGCCTGATTTCCGATGTGAGATGACCGGAACTGAAAATTTCCTTCTTCGCTCGGTTGTTTCATCGCTTGACGGAGTTCTTAAGACGTGATACCAATCGCTTGCGACCCATCTGGCATCGAGGAACTCTCGCGGGGCATCGGAGGAGCGACATGTGACTGAGTTAGCGGGACATTCCAGGTGTACGTGGATACGCGTTTCTGCAAAACATGTTCCCGCGGCAGATCTACGCCGGATCACTTCTTAGTGACTCGCCGCGGCATCCGAAACTGTGCCCACCGGGAACGAATGCATCGAAGGTTCGACTTCAATTTGATCAAGTCCATAATGAGAAAGATCGGTCCTGTGAGAATCCTTCGAAGAGACCTAATCTCAAATCCAGGTGAAACTATCGCCAGTTTTGGGCGTCCCGTCGAATTCTCTGTATGCTCAGCCCGTGAACTTCAAGAAAAGGCATGAAGCTCCCACGTCTTCGAAGACAAAGGTGATTCCCTTCACTCTGAGGCTCGTTCGTCTCTTTTCGAGAAATTTGGGCATCTGGTCTGTCGTCTCGCCAAAACCCCGCCCGTAATTATCGTGAAATATCTATATTCCAGCTCAATTCCCTCTTCATTGATAATTATGCGAGCAACGATCTGGTCAACATCTTAGCTTCCCCGGGGTGTGTTTCCGAGAGCTCGTTCCCGTGGTCCTATATCCCTTTGACTCCCCTTCACGCCATTACTTCTTGGTTGAAACACATGCTATGGATACTTTTGCGTCCTGTGCCGTGGCACTACCCGGTACAATCTCATAAGGACATTCTGGACTCCGAGACAATGCGGATCGCATACGGGAAAGCGACACAGCAGGTGGGATATTTTTTTCCGTCGATCCGTCGCTCTCGTTTGCGGAATGCGTGGAAGTCTCGTTTTCCCTATTGTTATTTACAGAAAATCGTCTCGGATGAGCTCACGGTCGTCTCTAAATATGATCATTCGATGCATCTACGAGAAGCTAAGGATATCCTGCTTCAGATGGCTTCGTCGACTTCTGTGTTTTTGATCAGAGTTGCTGCCGTCGTTGTCAATAAGATTTTCCGGCACAGCCTCTCAGGTGAGCTTGTGCCTATTCCAGTCCGCGCGCTATGCTTTCTCGATAAAGGCGATATTTTCTCCCGCGTGTTTTTTTTTCGGCGCGATTCCCCCCTTGGTGCGATCTCCACGTCGCGAAATCTCAGTACGCTCCCACTCAGAAAATTCAATGCGAAATTTCTCTCATCAATTATGAAATGCAACTCATCATGAGTCTACCGGAAGTATTCATGATAGCTCGTCGTCTTGTTGTAGCTTGTAATCAGCGGAGATTCCTGCGATCCGATTTCGCTAGGAGAAGGCCGGAGTGAAATTCTCCCGTCATGAATCCAAAAATCGACCCTCTGTCCCGAGGTCTCCAGGCTTTGCTATTGAGTCGTTGGATTCATGTGACGCCTCGCGCTCGAGATTGAGCTCTGCTGTTTATTCAATCCAGGAATATACGCCCGCCGGTGTCAACTATCTGAGCTCCAATGCCTGGAGGAAGCGAATCCTGACACGCCCATAGTATACTTGCCGCTGCATCGTTCACATTTGGATTACATTCTGTTGACGTATCTTCTATACATTCGCGGCATGAGAGCTCCTCAGGTTGGTTGACATGCAGTGAATGACCGAACCACAAACAAGCTATTGCCCTTTCCAATAAGAGAGAGCCGATCGGGATTCGGGAACATATCCGCCAATTCTTCTCCAGGTCGCCGCAGGGGACAACCTGAACATTCCTGTTTTTGGACGTTTACTCAGAGGTCTAGGAGGTTTCTTCATTCGTCGGAAGATCGATCAGAGGAGATCGTCAGCTGAGTCATCATCTAGTGATGAAAGAGATTTTATTTATCGAGGCATTCTGCAAGAGGTGAGCGGAGCGAATTTTGTGCCTTGAATTTAGCTTGGCCGGGGCTCACTCCTCTCACCAGGTTAATTTTCCTCCCGCAGTTCATCTGTGAGAGCCTCTCCCAAGGTTATCCTCTAGAGTTTTATCTGGAGGGTGGTCGGTCTCGTAATGGGCGAACATTGCCAGCAAAGGCCGGATTATTGTCTGTCCTCATCCATGCTTACCAGAGGGGTCTCATCCCGGACGCAATTATTGTTCCCGTCGCCTTCACCTACGATAGACTCATAGACGGTGAGAAAATGTACAGGGATGCTCTCCAGACAAATATTTCCGTGGAGACGGATCCCGGTAAAAACGAAATCCTACCTATCTTGCAGGAAACTTCGTGGCCGAGCAGTGTGGTTCCCAGAAAACAAAGGAATCCTTTGGCCACGCTCTGCGGTCGATCTGGCGGACGGTCACGGCCCATTTCGGCACCGTGAGGATCGAGTTCGGGCAGCATTTCAACTTGAAATGTTTTCTCCTCAGTAACGCCGAGAAATTCGGACTAGATCCCGCCAAGGAGTTCATCCGCGATGGGTATACCGCTCAAAATGAAGGAACGCTCACTTCTTGCGCATCTTCCTCGACTGCGTCTCTGTTATCTGCGTCGCACACTGACGTCAACTCCATGAGTCGGTGGGTCTTCCGATCCATGCGGATCCCAACTGTTGTTTGTTTCAATTATCTCGAGGTCATCGTCGGATATAGGAATTGATCGAGCGTGTTTCTGTTGCAGTCTTACTCTCGATTTGGCTTTCGTCGTGCTCCGGGAAGCGAACCGGAGTCTAGCCGTGTCGGCTCCCAACCTTCTGTCGTTCTTGATGGCTACGAAGTTCCGACACGTACGAAGCTCATTATCCCCCAAATTCTTGAACTCTATCCGAGATCCGTATCACAAAGCAATTATGCATCTTCTAGGGATGCGAGGAAAGCGACTTGATCGGGGCAATGCGCGTCCTCTGTGCACAACTCACTAGTCCATGCAAACGGAAAACGCTAACCTTCGATGATGTCCACGTTGAAAACCTCAGACAACTGTGTCGGTGAGCTTCGTCGCAGCTCGAGCGCTTCTAGAGTTTTGGTCTCGTCAGGATTCAGCATTCCAGTACGCAATGAATTTGTCTGAAGCCGGCATTCTGAGGGAATTTCCGTTCTTCGCAGCTACTCGACGTCCCTCCTACCTCATCTCATATCCTACTCCAATGGCCGATATTCTGTGAGCACCTCAGTCGAAAGCCTCATCGAACTCAACTATTCTTGTGGACCTGTGATGGAAGCTCTCGTGGGCGAATCGGTTCTTGCCGCTGTTCTCTCTGAGGAGCTTCGGAAAATGAGCGTCGTCAGCGGCGAAGGTTCGATGACCAGACGTCATTCGACGTAACTTATTATTCGGTTACACGGAGGAACACCCGTATGGCGAAATTGGTCTCCATGAATTTTTTTCGCCGGGATGGGAATTGATCACAGGTCTGTTTCAGAAATGGATTCAATAGAAGTCTGCTGGGAAACTGTCGAGAAGGGCGCTCTAGCCTTGGCCACGATCTTGCAGAACGAGTTCATCCAATTCCAACCAGCAGACGAATGCAAATCTGTGATTGAAGAGGCAAAGCGGTCTCTCATCGAGTGGGACATCATGGAATCGAGAGGTTTGCATTCTTGAGGTCGGCCCGCGTCCTCCGAGTAGCCCCGTAGACGGTACCGAACCCATATGATTCGAAAGACACTATGCGGGGAATCTCTCGAGGATTCAAAATTTCAGATCATTCGATCCTATACCGACGAGACCGGTACAGCCTGCAGAGCATATCAGACTTGAAAGCCTCGATAGCTCCGCTGATAGAAGGTAAACTGAGGCGGTGATCATCATGATTGTATGCCTTCTTCATCTAGCTACAGATATACATTGATTGAGAAGCACGGAGCCCTCTCTCATATGTCCCGCGAACTCTTCTAGGCTACTCGGCGATTGCGAACGATCTTGCCCACATTCTCGGTTCTTCGCACAATATCTGTGACCGCTGCCTTCAGAGAGAGTTGCTCACTGGGATGCAATCGAAAGTAAGTCGAGAGTGCGGGAGACGGAACGCGCTCCATTGTGCGAGCTGTGGGTACTCGGATCCGATACATCCCCGACGTAGGGTGAGCACTCAATTCTATTATCATCTCGACCCCAGGCGAAAATGGATCGTTTCGAGTATCCGGAGGCATGCGCGAAAGATACGATGCTGAACTTCTTGAAAGTTCTCCGAAAATCGGGGGTCCTAGAGTTGAAGAAAGCTGTCAGGGACCTCGGCTCTCAACGTCCTGAACGGGAATCGCTTGACGAGCAGACATGCCACGCAGAAAGGTGTCCGGCGAAAAATTCAAAAACACCTGTACAAATGAGTCAGGTAGGGTGCGCTGCTCACGATTATCTCGTAGCTGGGGAAAGAGATCCGAGATGTCCTGGTAAAATGATTACCCTTCCGATTCCTGGATGCTGCCGCCATATGAGCTTGCCACCAGCCAAAATGGGTCTTTACGAAGGAAATTGCTCCCGCAGATTGCCGCCGGAGGTATGGAGAAACTGACGGACCTCAGGATGTTCCTCGAGACCTTCAAATCACCCCTGATCGTTATATGATTGTGAGGTGTACCTGTTGGGAAGATCGATGTCGGGAGAGTATAGACATCTTGCTGTCCACGAAAATTCTTCTGGTTCTAGTCAAAATTTTCCGGAGCTTAACTAAGGATCATTTGTCAAGCCTAATCATTCATCTGGGATCCTCATGCGGTGAAGATGATGGAGGTGCGTAATCCGCTCAAAGACGGCAGTGAATGGACTGTTTGCCACGGAAAGTTAGGCTTCAAGGTAGAGTCGCCGGGGATCCAGATGGGATTCCCGTCTGAGATCCTGGAGCAGTATGAAATGGGTCGATGCGGCTCGTAGACTACTTGATTGAGTTTTATTTCTCTTTCCCTGTTTATTTATACACATATTAGTAATTGTTCACAGCGAGAGATGGGAAGTTGAGTTTCATTGTTTTGGAATAATAAAAATATGTAATAATAAATGCTAATAAAACACTACTCATCGCACGGATACCTCGTGCATGTGATTCGAGAATGCAGAAAGCAGATATAAAGCTAGTATTGAGTATCATTGGACGGGCCTCACCTGCGGGACGCGGTAATTGGTCCGGTGAAGTTCGACGTCGAGAATCCGATTTGTGACTGATGGTCGATCTGTTCTCCTTCACCTTCACTCAGTCTCTGAATGACATTACATTAGCCGCGATGGACCGCGGAGGAAACGGACGTGTATCAAAAATCGATAATTTTCCACGAGATCCCCCTGCCCCCCCCCCCCGAGTAAGAAAAAAAGAGGATAGCCCCCTGCGGCCTAGCGATGTGATTCATGCTTCCCTCCAATCGAACGGAGGAAGGAGGAGAATCGGTCGACGACGGATGCTGTTCGGACCAGATCACGGAAAGCTGAGGTCGGTGAATTCCCTTATCGAGTACGCAAATGTCAATTGTTGGTTTTAAAACAGTTCTCCTGGTCACACGAGATCAATGATCAGCACGATCGAATGTTTCGGTATCGAAATGATTTACTGTCAACGGATGAGGAAGGAACTGCCTCAGGGAGCGGAATTCGAGTCCGGAGAAATCGGAGGTCAGCGGATGGTTTCAGCATAACTTGAATCGATTTTCCTTGAAATACCGCAACCCAAGCGGTAGCTTATTGCGTTGTATGACCACAGCAATCTGAGCTAAGGAGCATTCCGATGAGCGATTCTCGATGATTCAATCCGCGAAACGACTGCAACGTTGTATGGCGAACAGGCGCCTCTGTCGAGCAGACTCAGGAAGGATCCAATTTCTCTCGTAGCGCTGTTACAACATGCAAACAATAATCATTGAATAAATCAATCCGAAAGTGGAGAGCTGGATCAAGTTGAAGTCTGGGAATACTATGAGCAGAAGCTCTGAGGAAAAAAGCTCAGCTAGAACTACATCCTGGGTGGCGAAGGATATGCTTATTGGTAGAATCAGCGCTATATTGCTCGAGGATATAGGACTGGCCCTCCCAGACTTCGTTCCTGTTTTTCGCGGTCGACAGTTTAGGGCTATTCCGCGAACTCGGAGTCTTTTTTGCCAAGAACACCCCAAGCTTCTCTGCCCAGGTGATCCGCGGATATGAACTCATATAAAGCAGAAGTCGTTTCGTCTGAATGTAGATAACGCATTCGCCCTAGAATGACTCCGCTCAAGTCCTCAAAAATCCAAAAAACTCGGTCGTGGTGCCGACTTCCTCCCTCCTTAGAAAAGGAGCTCAACAAATCGCTACAGCGCGGTGCGCGGAGGAAGAAGGAAATCGATCAAGATTCCATGGTCTGGGGCACCGGAGCATTGTAGAAAATGGATTTCCATGGAGATTCCGCGTTAACCGCCGTCATTCTCAGTTCGCTACGATGCTTCCGTTATGCCGTTACGGCCTTACGGTGCCGTGAATCGTAATACGGGGGAGAGCCTCGAAAGAAGGTCAGATTCGTTGAGCTATATTGGGCTACATGCGGAATCTGCCAACAATCGAGGGGGTCCGATTTTTTGTACATCGATCAGTGAATTGCGATTCCGTTTGAATAGTAGCGGGAGAACCGGAGCTCATGGATATTGGAATGAAATCTGAGAATGATCGGGGGCACGAGAGTCGAAGCGCGAATGATTGGGTTATTCAATGTATTGTACTTCAATGGCAAGGGTACAGCTGCACGGCCGACAGGGTCTTGATAGAATGACTTACGGCATTTGTGCTGTTCGGGAGAGCAGATGGGAATCGAGCTCGAGTTTTAAGATCGTGTAGATGACGTTGATCCCTTGGATGGCGTTGCGATCGAAAACGGGTCAGCAGGGTCAGAGTCCTGGCTGAGCCGGAGCGCACTCCGTTGCACTCTTGAGCGCTCCCGGCTCTTTGAAATATGCGTATTAGGATCTCGAGCATTCTCAACGTCATTCCGGATCTCCAGAAGGGGTAGGCGTTTGACGTGAAGGAATCTCATCAGATCTGATCGGAGGGGGATGACCCAACGAGGGATTAGGGAAATTAGATCAGAACGCGTTCCGTCGCGCGATCTTGGGTCAGTGCTCTGGGCGGATCTCCCTATAATGTTCCGTCCAATAATATTCCGAGTCGATAGTTGTTCTTTTCTCAGGGAAAAATGAACCCGCTTATTAAAATATCGTCCTTGAAACGTACAATATATCCATTTATATCATTCAACTTTATATGAGTCGTTGCAAAACACATGAATAATTCAATAGAGCGTATGTCATGATGGCATCGGTTGCTGCCATCAATTGCTATTCCTTCCCGTTGACTTAGGGCTTCCGAACGTCGCTAGGAAAACTGGGAGGAACACCAGACCGTGGAAGGAGCCGAGAAGAACAATGGCTAGGTACATTCGGAAATAAAAGATCACAAAAAGCTGACTCTTGGCAAAGAACAGAACAACAACTCCGATGAATTTCGTGAACGTGATGCCGCTCAAGACCGACGATCCTGTATGGGCTACGGCATTTATGGCTCGCTCGATTGGACACGACTCGTCGTCTTCGATGAAAGCTTTAACGATGTGGGAGCAAAACTCCACAGAGATACCAACGCACATGACGAGATTAACGAGTGAAATGGCGTTCAGCGATACGTTCGCCATGTACATGACGCCCATCAGGTCGCTAACGATCATTGAAATGGTCAGACCGATAGCGATCGTGGGGAAAACTTTGAACTTCATCAATAAGAAAGTTATGAGAAGAACTCCCGTGAAGGAAATGAGGAGATGTTTCGCAACGTCGCTCCAGATAGTCAGGTACTGTTCGTAGAAAACGTAGAAGATCGAATAGGGGAAAACTTCCGCGTCGTCTTTGTTCCCTTTGTAGCTTTCTTTGAGTCTCTTCTCGATCTTCTCCGCAACGTATCGCCCCATTCGTAGCGCGTTGATGAAGTCCGTACTATTCTTCAGGATGGAATGGTAGGTCATGAAACTCGTCGCTCCTATCTCGACACCACCGAGATTCTTCGCGTTCGGGACCAGCTGGATCGCTTGGCTGTAGGCCGCGTGACCGCCCTTACCGCACTTGACATCAGGTATATCGTGGAGGAAATCCTTGATGTGAGAAGTCATGCTCGGGGGTCGATCGGAATCCCCAGTACACTTTAGACATCCATGACTGATATTCTCGGCTGGGCACCGCTCGTGCGTCTTGTTGTTCTCGAAGCAGCATTCTTGGCTCCATGCAAAGTAGTCGTCGATCCAGGACATGGCCGGCGCGGCAATGAAAGTTTTTTCCTTCGTTCGCGAGGCTTGGATCAGCTGATTGACTAGGGAATCGTTCGCAGCGCCCTCGAAGGTGCCGATCAAGTTCTGATTGTTCGCGTCACTGTAGTTGTACTTGTCGTGGATGACGAAGTAGGCGGGCGGTCCCACTCGGAGATATTCCTTCAGAGACCTGAAATAATCCTGGAGGTACGAGTCTCGGGGCATCGAAATTTCCTGGTCCAGACCAACGTCGAGGTGTGGTATGACGCTGAGCGAAAACCCGAGGTAACAGAGGAAAGTCACCAAAATCGCGAATCGATAATAATCTTTCCTCAAGAGGGGCGAATAGACATTCTTCATGAAGTTGAAGAGCGTTGAATCTTCGAACGCCTCCGTATCGTCGGAGTTTGATTTCATACAGCACAATAGATCGAACCGCCCCGACTCCTGCCGCCGGATGTCGAGTGTCAACATGGAAACGAAAACTGTGATCTGGAGCAAGACATCGATGAGAAGAGCCAGTGCGGCATAGAGAGCGAACGTCCTGACGGCTGGCATACTCGTCAAGGCGCCCAAGAAGAAGCAAGTGACCTCTGAGGCGCTGGCCAAGAGCAGCGAGGGCCCCACAAGTCCCACAATTCTCGCGACGTGTTCTTCGAGAGACTCGCCGTCGAGCCGGCTTGATCGTTGGTAGGCTTGCACGAGAATGAAAATGTTGTCCACTCCGATGGCAAGCACGAGGAAGGGCACAACCTCGAAAATTATCAACGTCGAAGGGATGCCCATCAAGCTATAGATGCCCACGCTGGAAACGACCGAGACGAGAACGAGGAAAACTCCCATCGCTCCGAGAACGATTTGGCTGTGCAGGAGGACCGTCGCGACCGACTTGTACCGACCCAGGACCACCGCGACGTAGAGGAACATCAACAGGTAGCTGACGGCGATTGTTGAGACATCCGAACGGCTCTCCACATCCAGTTCGGACGTTATCGAGCTCTCCCCCATGAAAGCCACGGTCATGTTGGGGTGGGTGAAATTCTTCATGAATCGAATGAATTCTTGCTCCCAGGCCACAGCTCGTTCGTTGTCTTCTGCTTTGGCATGGTTGTTCACGAGGAAGGTGAGAACGACTGCCGGCGCCAGGAGGGGCTTGTCTTCATCGTATCCTCCCAATGCCGCGTAGTAGAAGCTAGGGCCCCCGTATTCGCCCAAACATCCGATGTTGAGCAGGTCATCCTGACCTGGGACCAGGGTCGGGGAGTTGACACAGTCGACGATGTGGTCGAGATATTTTTCCGGGTTTTCTCTGATGATCGATATGTTGTTTTGAAACCAGTTCGGTACGGATTGTATAGCGCACTTTTTGTCGAGAGGGGAGAAACAGATACTCTGCAAGTCGACTTCCTCGTTCGCAGTCCCGTTATTGTAGGTGCCCTTCAAGTTGGTGATCTTCTCCTGCAGGTCCAGAAGGTCCGCCAGGAAGTCAGAGCGGAAGACCGGGCTGAACTCGTAGGACTGTTGGGTCCTGTTACTTTCGTAGACGAAAGGCTTCCCACCTTTGTTCACAATAATTACCTGTTCAATCCTGTAGAAGGGTGCCAAGTTATTTCCGTAATACTCGCGCTGAGTTCTGGCTTCACTCGTCGGCGCGGACCACAGTTGCACGGGATCGGTGACGACTTGGAAATTGAGATTTCCGAGCGAGAACAGGGAACAGAAGATGGCCCCGACGGCGATCGTAGTCCATGGACGCGAGGCGCACAAAAACCCCAAGCGCTCGAAACCTCGTCTCATTGCCGACGGGGCTTTGGCTCCCACTTGCAAGCTTTCGCTCGAGAGGAGATTGGTCTCGTCCCGATCCAGAGCGTCGCAAAATCCAAGACTGTATTTGCAAATCCAGAAAAGTGCGAGGCCAGCGAGGACTACACTCAGGAGGGAAATAGTCAACACGAAGTATCCGTCTTGACCGAAGATGCGGAAGGGAACCTCGTCATCCGGAACCACATAGGGGGGACAGACGTCGACGCAGTCGGCACAAGCACAAGGCGACTCGCCCGGGAATGGGGCTTGACTACATTTCGTGGTGTTGTGATCGAATAGAACGTGCCCCTCGGGAGCCGTGTACTCGAATTCCATCGGGAACGGGGAGAAACCGCCCGTCCCCACTGCGAGCAGGAGGTTTTTCGGTGAGCATGTGTAGGATCCACAGAACATCTTCAACGCCAAGCCGGTCTGAGGGTTCCGTACTTCGGCGCACGAAGCGTAAGTCCGATCGATGTAGTCTTCACTTAGGTAGTAGGAGATCCTGCCGACTTTCTTCGTTCCGTAGGGTGATTTTTCTGTGGCGTTTTCCTTCGCTGTCACCTCAATGAAGTCCGTCTGGCGCGGAGAACAAGTCATGTGGCAGAAAATTCTCGCCATGTTGAAATTACAGGACGGACATTGCTTCAGGAACAGGGCCATGTTCGAGAACTGCTGGACGAGCAAGCCGACTTGCGAGTCGTCGCAACAGAACTCTCCGTTGGGACGATCGAAGTCCGGGCATAACGAAACCAATTGATCGTAGGCGGTTCGGTTGAGCGTGTTCGTTCGTGTAGCTTCTCCCTCGATCGCACAGGGCACCCCTAAGTCCAGTGAGCCCCCTGTCCCACATTGTCCTTTGAAAACACACGGTCCCTCGGCGGTAAACGTAGTCCCAGCGACAAGAGCGAGTGTGAGAGATCCAAGTACAAGCCTCATGGCTGTGTTTGGTTTCCTCAGCGACGGATAGACAACGACGGGAGCATCGCACTGAATTTCGATCAGCTCAATCGAAGCATCGCTCGAGATGAGAGTGCGGAGACGAGGCTGCGAGATAATCGTAACTGGCGATTCGTCATGCGGCGTATTCTAAGCCGCGACAGGAGCGCCAGTCGTTCTAAAAGTTCAGGAATCTACAGCAGCCTGTCCTCGGCTGTGCTCGCTTTAGTTTGCAGCTCTGGGTTTCGACGCAACGACAGGTGCTCCTCCTACATTTTCACGGTGGCGTCAACGCTCACAAACAGATCGTTCCGCGAAACAGTCCTGCTGTGGCAGGACGTCAACATGTGTATCCGAGAGAGCGCATGTCTATGATGCGAGATATTCGCGGGTACATTCCGACCCAATACCCTCTCCCATCTGTCAAAGAGGAAGTCGCCGGTGCGCAGTTCAACAGTTGGTCAGCTGTTCACATGGGTCGATCTGACAGCCGCCGAATTCTCCGTGATAGCGATGTTTTCAGTTTCCCGAGAATTCCGATGATAGCGATGGATCTCTCTGCTTACCTTCGTGCCGTATCGCGGAATGTTGGTTTGAGATTAAGGAGCAGTGGATTAAACTCGACATGGACGGGCGACCCCAGGTTCCTCGATTTTTATCCGCTCGCTCGAGAAACTCTGTTTCGCGATCAGCTCACCCGATTATCTCCTAAGTCCTGATTGCTCTTGATACCTGTAGAGCCCCCAACCTCCGCCGATGCTTATTGTCGAGGCGGGACCCGAAAACGTTCGATTTCCCGTATTTAGGTAGCTAGCTCATCCAGGCCCGGACATAATTCGCTTCGAGAGGGACGGCATCTCAGAATGGGCCTTCATTGCCGATGCCATCGCCAAATAAAGCTCATCGAGCGGCGCAAAGTTTTCCGATTCCTGTAGAAAGGGAGGTGTGTTTTGTTCAAAAGTGTAGCCATCGGTATCGAACTCCCCAGCTGGTGAAACGACATCCGTCCGTCTCGAATATTTCCAGGGCCTTAGCACTTCGGGGACACACCAAATGCAACCCGGCCTCGATTGCGAATTCTGATGTTCCGGCCACTGGAGCTCGGACGGACCGACTCGAAGGCCGGGATCGTTGATGGTGAGGCAGTCGAGGGGAAAAAGAACACTCTTCGACTGTGAGACTTATGAAGAAGGAGAGCCGCAGAGTTGGCTGGTAGCAACCGGACCCTTGGTTGGTTTTGTGATCGCCGGACGACAGATGACTTGGTCGGCCGGAAAATTCCATAATCTGTATCCTGCGTTCGATGTACTCGTGGTGTCCGCGCAAGCTCAAGAGCGGCGAGCAGCATCGGCCTCCGGTGGAGACGGTCGGAGGCGCTTCTGAAGTCAAGGCCCGCCACCGAGAAACGCGGGCTCGCTGAGAAAACGTGTCTCTAGTAGATCTCTTCATTCACGGTGTGAGTACAGGCCTGAGCGGGCGATCAGAGGTTTCCCGACCAAAATACTGGTGAGACGCTCATCACATAGATGACACGGAGCGGAATCGGATCGTGCAAGCCTTCCGCAGCCCCTCCCGAGATGGATCCAGTTGGTCGAGACTCTCCTTGGTCGTGATGAGTCCCACGGTTAATCCATCACCCGAGGACAGTTGGTAGGCGGCTCGAGAAGCCCGTCCCGTCAGGATGTTCATTGCGTCACTGCGCCGATTTCTTCGGTACCGCGAGCAGGGATCGAACCACCCGGATCGATGATGCGTCAATCAGCTCCAAAATCGTCAAGTGGAGCGTAACCTTAAACGACTCAGGCTGGCTGTGCGATTTTAACATTCCAAAGTCGCCCGAACGATGAACTAATCCGTTTGAGCAGGCTCAATGGAGGTCCGAGGCTACATTACTCGGATGAGCTAAAATTGGTTTCGAGTTATCGTAGGAACCATAGCAATGAGGCTTGTCTCGATAATCGTTGTCCGCGAGAGGTCGGTGAAAGACTGGAATTCGAAGCAGGAATACCGGGAACGACAGTCGTCAGATAATAATGTTTCGCAAATCGGATTGAACGGTTACACGTTTGTTTATTGTCGTACGCGGTCCCCAGATTCACCGGTCATTTTCAAATTCAACGGACTTCAGATGAACAAGATCAACAGAACAAATGGCCAGGAAGAGAAAATATTTACAAGCTTAATCACATCTCTCGTGTATGTTAAGGCTTCTGCATACAATTACCATCAGGATATCGTCTGCGGAAGTTCTCGATGATATCTTGGTCATTCAATCGGACACCGTCGAGTTGATTTCCAAGAGTCATCCAATTGGGCTGGATGTTATGCGGTCGCCCGAAAAGCTCGATTTTTTGCGTTCCCGGACTCAAGCGCTCGATCATCCCTAGAAACACGGCATGAACACATTTTGAAACAAACCTTGCCCCTCTATCTTGTAGGAATTAGCGGATCAATATCGATACGACGATCGCCTTCCTTCATTGGCCATGATCCTGGGACCCACTTGGACCAACTCACCGTAAATCTCGTCCGGTTTGTGGGAAGTCGCTCTGACTTCCGCCACGATGACGTCGCAGTCAAGCCAACGATTTATATGCGGCAAGGAGCCTTTCATCCCCACGAGGCAGTGTTCCTTACCGTGGTTGAGCCAATGTCCCGTACGGCCTTTCGGAAGACAGAGATAATTTTGTAATCTCCGTCTTCAGGACTGCATTCTAGTCGATATTGGGCTCCGATGAGAGATTCCCGACTGTCAATGAAATTTACCAGTTCGGATGATGCGTTGGAGCTGATTGGTTTTCACCCAGATGATCTCGTCGCATCTTTCGTAGCCCCACAGCTTCAGACATTCCCGCCCGAGTTCCATGGCCCGTCCGGTCACCCATAGGAATATTAAACCTTCGTCTTGCAGGCAGGGGATATTCAGTTGACGCATTTCGTCGTCCGACATGGTTCCGTACGGCAGCTCCATGTGGATATCCCATGGAGGGTCAGCCATGATGACGCTGAACTTCCCTAGAACGGGAATCTCGCCCTTTTAGACGAATAAGGCCTCCGGGAGGCCTTCACTATTGGGGAGTGGATGTATCGTATTTCGATGCACTTCCGAAGAGTCTCGCCTACCGAGAATGCTCATGTCGAAGAATCTCAAGTCGCATTGAATCCACTGGGCAGGCTGCAGTATCGCCACGGGGTTCTCCAGCTCTGCGGCCGGCTCAGAGGACTGGGCCACAACCCCGAGCGATGAGGTCGCCGACTCGCTTCAAGGGGAAAATGAGCGTCAGTCTGCAGTTAAAAACCGAGGATTTACATTCCGAGGGCCTCGCGAGAGAAGTTGGCTTTCATTCCCCAGTTTCAGATTCTGAATTCTTGTCTCTCACCTCATCTCGACCTGATAGTGAACATATTTACAGGTATCCATATGGAAACAGGTATTCAGGAAAGAGCAGTCCCCGAGCGACTCATCTGTGTGCCGCTGCAGAATTTTCTTGAAGTGAAGTCTCCCGCAGGCGTCCGTTTCGCCGTGACGTTTGCATTCGGCGGCAGTCCCGTGCGGACAATACTCCTGAACCTGAATCACAGAGAACTCACACGTCACACAAGCAACATTGCGGACCCTGACGAATGATCGGATCACTCTCCTTCCCCCTCGCTCGTTCTCCATCCGCTCACCGAAGCTCCCCCTTGAGATTTGAACTTCTCCACCAACGACCTCTCTTTAGCGGTTGGTTTACTGAGTAGGTCGAGGATTTCTTCCCCAACTTTCTTGTTTTCCTTCTCCCTGATCGACGGTAGATTGAGAAGGTTTTCGATGAGATCATCGGTCTTCTTAGGAGATGCAGAATCCTTCGGCTTGACTGCAATTTGAGTTCCATCGTTAGATTGCCTGTTTCGATCTCGACTCCCAGCACCTCCGGGCCATGGATTCAGTTCTGCGGTGAGGACATCACTTTCAGCGGGATCTTACCTGGAGCCTTCGCGACGACCTGATTATCGTTTTGGTCTCCGTGAACATCTTGATCGTGCGGGGCTTCGTCCTCCGCCAATTTCGCTAATTTCGGCGGGGCACACGTGTCGAAAGGTTCAGCGCGGTCTCTCAGGGTTAAGCTGAAGGCGTGGAGTTTCGTGTGCTCTGCTGTGGTTATGCTAATCGTCCCCTTGCCCTCAGAGTCTGCAAGTATCGGTAATTCACATTAAACCACGAAAATGTCAAGGTCTACGGGGATTGAGAAACTCTGGGGAATGTCAATGGATCGAGATGAATGGCTCCACAGACCCGGCCCGCTGGCTTACCCTTATTTTCTTTGATGGAAATGAAAGCCTGTGCGGCGAACTTTTTGAGAAAATCGTCGACGGTCTGTTGCGATACGTGTTTTGTATCGTCAAGACTTTTGGATACATGTTTCACAAGCGTTCTCGAGTCAACGGGCAGATCCAAAGCCACGTCGAGTAGGCACAAAATGATTTTCATTTCTATTTCTGATTCAGTAGCTGGTTCCAGGTCGGCACAGTCCGCCGAATCCTCCGAATCGTCTTTCGGGGATGCGAGCAGCCTTTTCTCATCTTTCGCGCTTGTTTTATCGTTGCAGCTGATGCCTGTTGAGCGATATGACGGATCTCAGTCAGAACCACGGCGTGTACGGAAGTTTTGCTCCCTCGTGAACCAGCTCCGTCAACCGGACTCACCGTAAACGATTTCCTCCCGCTCCTTCTTCCGTTTTAGGAGTCTCTCTCGGAAACTACTCTGCCGAGATTTGAGCTCTTGAATATCTTTCCACGGATCGTTGCTGTCCATTATTCGAGTGGAGTTCTCCGATTCATCAGTTTGCACGACTCGCCAACATCGAGTGAAGGCTCGCACCGGGATGTATCCCCGACCCGCTTCGCCTCATCGGCCACCAACTACAAGAGATTCCCAATCCTGCCGACAACGGGGTAATTTGTAATCGATCAGATGATTCTTTTTTGAAGACGAGAAAACACCAAACAGTTCTGTTTATTTTGTTCCGTTTCGCGAAGCACCCGGACTGCTAGAGCCGGCAGGTAGTCGTCGAAAGAGAGAGGGCTCGACTCTTCTCCATCACGGGCGCCGTTCCCCGACCCGATGGGATGTGGACGCGTTCGTCCCTTTCGGATCTATACGGGATACGACGCAGCCTTTGCTCGGATAGGCTTGAGTAAATTCTCATTTAGGGCGCTGACGAATCCATCAGAGGCATCGGTGACATCAGCCCGAGTTCCACCGACCGGTACTGAGAGTCTCGACTCTTGACGACTAGAGACGCTTCTGCTGCGGCGGCGATTCGAATTCATGGCGCGCCGTTCTCGAGCACTTTGCCTGCGCTCAGCGGTAGCCGAAACCCTCGATAGACTTGTCCGCGCTTTTCGCGTCACAGTGATGACGAAGAACGTGTCGCTGTTCCCAGCGACACGAAAATCTCGCAGTCGGAGGGAGAGTCCCGGAGTCGGAACGCCGGATCCCGCAAACTCCCTTCGCCCATCGGGACGCAGACTCCCCCTTCGACTTGCGACGTACCGTCGCTTTGCCCTAGAGAGTGGCCGTTTCTCGCTGCAGCAGGCTGGGCTAGCGGCGGCACTCCTCGATTTCTAAGCGAGATTTCGAGGACCATCTATGTCCGCAACTTTCACACACGCACAAGCCGAGACCGGAAAAACAGGCGAACACGTCCAAGGGACACGCGTCTAGAGGAGCGAGTTCCGATGCAGCATCATCTAGCTCTACTGAACTGCTAATGAATGATACAGAAGGAAGACGAAGGGTAATGGGGAACGGTGGGTACGGCTCGGTCCGTGCAGTCATGCGTGGTGATCCTCATGCATGACTGCACGGAATCGTCCGTCAGTAATGATTGTCATAGGCTCTGGCCAATCTTTGGGAGATGTCCGAAACTCAGCAGGACGATCTTCCAGGGACGGGCCGACTTTCGATGTCGGGGAAACAGCCGCGGTAATGAACAATCGGTCGGATCTAAAAACGGAACACTTGGGAGGATTCGGGAAAAGCAATTTATTTTTGAATGAGACGACCGAGGAGTCAACCGCAGACGCCGGGGAAGAAGGGACGGTCTCCGCATTTCAATTCACACCCGTGCAAAGGAACCAGAAAGCTCTGTCACGGTGCTCGAGATGGGTGGAGTGCTCGCGAATCTCTACGTCCTATGGCCTGGAGTTTCTATCGGAATAATGTTCATCGGAGGTGGGTACCGGGAGTTTTTCTATTCAAGGATGTTGGTTCTTCACGAGAGGCCCTTCTACGTGTATTGTAATCATTCCTCCTCGGAGCTCGGGGCGATTCGACCATTCAATAATTCGCTTTCCCCCCTCTGATGAAGGACTCTTGGCCTTGTACTTGTGCACCCGAAACTGCTGCGGTCTCCTCCTGAACTTGTTCTTCGCGGCGATCTCGACCGCGTGCGGGGTCGGCTTGTTCTACAGCGGATTTTCGCGTCCGCTCGGAATCATGCTCATAACCGTTGGCGTCCTGATGACGATAGGAATCACCGTCGCGTACGTCTACCACAGAATCACAGGTAAAGCTCTCCGTAGGAGGGCCTTTGACTGAACGATATCAGCATCGTTCCGGCATCCGGCACGTTTATCCATGCGGTTGAAGTGATCCGATTCGAGTGAGGACGCTGAATGCCGATATCCTCGACCGACCTCTTTCGGGTCGAGTCCTGATGTCCCGACAAGGGAAACAATGCGGATTGGGGGACGGCTTCGGTGACTTCTCTCACTCGGTTTTCGTGAGTCCCAACTTACCTCCGAAACTCCACAACTTAAAAACTCGAAAGGTAGGAAAGAGGAAGTTTTGGAAACTGATAGTCGGAGTATCTATTCTTCTCCAGGAAAAATCCTCTGCTATTATTACGAAGATGAGGATGAATCAATCGACTCCGTCGGTGACAATGACCTGATCTACTCACGCGTACCAATCTCGCAAGGCTTCGTGCAACAACCTGGGAAATCCAATCTGCACTTTTCGGGTAGGTTCCCATCCCCGTCTCTCGAAGCAAGTTGTAGGGGAAGCTCGCGAAGAAAAAATATGATGACAACACATATATATGATATATGAATACATGTATGATACTGTGGGAAAGATCTGAATGCGCTCAGCGACACCAGAGAAGGAAAGAGGCTTTCGGAAGAGATTTCGGAACTTTCCTTTATACCGTGTTCAATCTTTTGATCGTTTATGATAACATCGATCCATCTCACCCAAGAGGTTCTCTGTACGTAAAAGTAGCTAATTTTCCACCTTGATCTGATACCTCTGAGGATCTCGATTTTTCAAACATGGAAGGAGAGCAGAACATTTATACATAATCACAGAAGTCGCCCACTTTCTTCTCGGTGCCCAATGTGGTACTGAAGAGCGGGGAGCCCTTTCGTTCCCAAAGTTTTTTAATTTCACTGAAAACGAAAACACTGCTGGACACAATGAGCAACTCGAGAATGTCGTAGGCCGAGAGAGGCTCAGTCTGGAACACATATTGCAACGGCGGCGAGTAAATCACGAGCATCTGGCCCGCCAGAGAAAAGACGACGGCGAGGATGAAAGCCTGGAGGGAGGAAACGACAGTCAATCGGGGAATCACCAGCAAAACACTCCCGGTCACAATGTCGGACCGGATTTCACTCACCTTATTCGAGAGGAGCCCTATGCTGAACACAGATTTTGTGTGGGAACGACATGACAGAGCATTGAACATGTCGAAAAAGACGAAGCATGTAAAGGTCATGGTCGTGTCTCGTCGGGTGACTTTCTGCAATTTTTTTTGCGGAATGAGTACTTGGGCTCAGCACTTTTTTCCCCCCGAGAGCTCCGTCTCCAGCAGCTCACACGACGAAGCCGCTCAAGCTTACTAATGACGCAACGACGATACCCACGTACCTGATCGCTCATCTCTCGTAAGAAGACGTAGATGGTCCCGGATATGATGATGAATGCTGAGATGAGTACATTGATTATCAATCCTCTGTCAATCATCGGTTTCTTCGTGTCCCGAGGAGGCTGATTCAATACATCATGGTCGACCTGCGAACGGAGAAGTTCTGTACTCAGTTCCAACCTCGAATTCCGGGCACCCACCAAGAATCCCATTTTTCGTGCCGGTCACTAGAGTTTTTCACGTTTCAGAAATCGCGCCCACACATCTCCACAGGACATGCCGCCAAGTCGATCCAACTTTTTTGCAGTACGCGCATCAAGGCCGTTTGCCTCCGGTCATCTACAATGAGGCTCAGCTGTACGAAACGCGATTCGCCTGACGCTAAATGGAAACGCTCATGTCGGCGATCCCTGTCAAAATGTTAGGTCTGGATTGTCGCAACGAGTATCGCGAATCTAGCAAATGTATGTCAGCGTGGATGAGCCTAGGAATTTCTACAGGGAGTTCGGTATCTCAATAAAACCGCATCTCTTCTCCGACAGATCTAAGACAGTAAAATGACAAACGGTTTTATTGCCTCTCCTATTCCCTCTCCCTTGCTAGTCAAAGCCTCGAGTTATTCCTTTCGGAAGAATCGACACATACCGGTTCAACACCCAATGACTGAGCCGGGGGTCCGTCCATGATGATATTTATCCAGAGGATCTGCATAGCGTTGAGGGGGTTCGACATTCCCATCAAGGTGGATATGGCTATGAGCGAGAGCGCGCTGATCGATGTGGAGAGCTGGAACCTGGAAGGATCAGGAGGATTTCGCTAGGCGATCGAGTGGGCGAAGGAGACGTCTTCCATTCGAATCCGTGTGGATTGGCTTTCGTTCTAGGACAACAGCTTACCTCACAAAGTTTTTTATGTTGTAGAAGATGGCTTTGCCCTCTTCGATTGCAGCCATGATCGTACAGAAGTCATCATCCAACAGAATCATGTCCGCAGCTTCTTTGCAAACGTCGGTTCCGGATCTTCCCATCGCGATACCGATATCCGATTTCTTCAGAGCTACGGCGTCATTGACTCCGTCCCCGGTCATGCCGCAGATCAAGCCGTTGCTCTGAAAATTTCAGAGGGTCAGAAGGTGCCGACGGAATCCGTCAACGATTCCAGATTTGCCCTTCGACCTGCACCAATCATTCCCGGAAGGGGAAAATTCGCTGGCATCTTCTCATTCGCTGAGACTCACTTGCAGGGCTTTCACAATTCGTAACTTATGGGCGGGACCCGTTCTGTAGAACACCGAAACATCTCTGACCCGATCTACGAGTTGGTATTCGTTCATGGCCTCGATTTCCTGTCCGGACATGCATCGACCTCTATTCAGGCCGATTCGCTGCGCGATCGCTTGCGCAGTTTCCATGCCGTCACCGGTGACCATCTTAACCTCCACGGAACAATTCCTCAGAGTCTCGATGGATTCCCTGACTCCATTCCTCGGAGGATCGAGAATACCGACCATCCCAAGGAAAGTCAAGGCTTGTCCGTCCTGACCGCTAGCGAGTCCGATAACGCGGAGACCTTGACGAGCCAAACTTATCGCTTCTTCTTCGAACTTCGTGTACAGCTCGGTTGTCATGGGCCGCAAACTGCCAAGTTGTTGAGCGTACCTTGGGATGGAAAAGGCGAGTCAGTCGCTTTTCGTTGCTCCTATCGATTCACTCCGGAAACACGAACAAATTGAACCCTCACCCGCATTTTTGCAGAACGGTTTCTATCGATCCCTTGGCGAATATACAATGGCTCTCTGGATCTGCACGGGGATGAGCCCGGACCAGCATGATCTTCGACTCACTGCTAAAGGGTATTTCTTCCTCCCTGGAACATTCTAGAATTGAGAACTCCGAAAAGAGTGATCAAAGGATTCAGCGCTCCATGCGACAATCGGGATCCTTCCCTGTTTCCGTTCCCGCATCATTCCCTTCTCATAGACATCGAGTTTCGCGCCCGGGATGCTTGATGCTCGTGCACCTTTTTTTTCGAACATTCGGAGGGGCAGCGCTTCTGGCTTCCACACATGAACGCCTGACTCGTGGGAAGCCTGCTGCTGACTAAAGAATCGACTTCTTATTCAACTCACCTGACGTAATCGTTTCGAGTGTCATAGACGCCGAGCTTGTCAGCTGCCAGCAGCAAGGCCGCTTCCGTCGGCTGGCCCCGCGATTCAACACCCGATACGATGTCCGCATTGTTGCAGACGGCTCCGCATATCAGGACCTAGTGGATAGGAACGGCTTATTTCCGCTTGTAGCTGTGGATGAACTTGATCTCTGTCAGATTCGAGTCAAATTTCGAAGCTCCGCACGGCTTTCCCGATTCCCTCCAAGTCGACAGCATACCTGACGGACGCTACAGAGTTCGTCGTTGCTGTTTCCACTGGAGTGACCGTCTCGCAATTGCATCCGGAACAGATCAGCTGTCACTACGTCTGTCACTGTCATCTCGTTTCTAGTTAAAGTTCCAGTTTTGTCTGAACAAATGACGTTCACGCAACCGAGCGTTTCTACCTTTAAGGGGAAAGATATCTGCTTGCAGGCTCATCCCTCAATATAGGCTGAAGTATCTCCAGCCCTCCATGGATATTTAGCTGAGATTCTTCGTTACGGAAATTCGAGGAGTCTGAGAATGGAGCGCATTCTTCCGCTCGTATCATCGTCGCCGTTCGCTCTACTTACTGTGGGGAGTTTCTTCACAATGGCTTTCCGTTTGGCCATTCTCATGACTCCGAGAGCAAGAGTTACGGTCACAACAATGGGTAGGCCTTCCGGAATGGCAGCGACCGCGAGGGATACCCCGATGTTGAACATCGAAGTCAAGGGTCTACCCTGAAGCCAACCCAGCAACATGATGACACCTGAAGACCAGAAAAATTCATTCGTCGGGGTAGGGGCGCACCTCGTTCAATGAGCGAGTCAGAAGAAACTACCACACTGACTCATCTCTCGAATTGGCTGGATATACTCTTCATATCGTTCAGTAGGATCTACATAGTCGCACGCCACGTGGACGTACGCCGGGTTAGAGCTCATCGAAATGCGACCGTGACCCGCGGCTCCTCGCAAGCTCACCAATGATGCAAAACGAGTAGATGCTGAGCTGCTTGCCGAGTGAATCCATACTCTTTTGGAGCGGTGTTTTCGGGGAGTCTTCCGCTTTCATCATCTTGAAGATGTCGCCGAACTCGGAGTTCTCGCCAGTGTTTATCACAATACCACGACCGTTTCCGTACCTGACGAGGGTGCCCATGAAACCGACATTCGACTTTGAGCTCACGCCGCCAACACTCGAGAGTAGAGCGTCCGACTGCTTGGTAGCCGGCTCAGTCTCGCCTGGAATCCGTGGAGGAAATTAATGGCTTGGGTGGGACCTACGGGGGCAACGAGACGAAATCCTTGGACCGGGCCTCTCATCGGTGCCTCGTGAGGGCACGAGGACAATTATCGTAAGAATTCGACGAGACTCACCCGTGAGAGAACTCTCATCGATTTGTAATTGATTCGTGTGGAAAAGTCGAACGTCGGCGGGGACTCTGTCTCCCGGTTGCAGTAGAACAACATCTCCCGGAACGAGATTCCTGGGGAGTATAATTTTAGATAGATCTTCGTGGTGGCAGAGCTCTCCGGTGAATCTTTCGAGCAACGAGCATCTTTCTCAGGGTCCCATACGCACCTTGCCGACATATGGTCAACTTGATTATCGCGTAGTACGGCGCATCCATGAGCTACAAGTTTGGACAATTCCTCCAAGGATTTCTCGGACCTATTCAACGGGACCGATTGAAATTTTAATGGAACCGATTTTGTTCAAGCCCCGTTCCGAATCTCTTGCACGCGAGTCTCGATCGCACGGGTCGGAGCCGAGCCCAACTTGCCTATATTCTTGAACAAACGCCACCGTTACGACGATAATGATGGCTACAGTTATGCTGACGGCATCGTCAAACTGTCCCATCAGAATGGACACAAATGCCGATGCGAGGAGGAGTATGATGAGAGGGTTCTGTGGGAAAATCGCATCATTCGTATTCCCGGAATCGACTGGATCCGCTCCGTAGATAATAGATTCGCACATTGTTTATTTTGAATGATCTGCCGAGCGAACTCGTTCCGAGGGAACCTACTTGGAATTGTTCTAGGTATTTGCTGAGCAATGACTCCTGTTCTTGAACACAAAAATCGTTGGGCCCGAACTGGTGGAGCCTCCGGTTGGCGTCCGACCAGCTGAGTCCTTTGCTGAGATCATCGACTCCGAGCTCACGAGCGACCTTGGATCGGATGATAAATGAAAATGATTATTAGCGATAGTAAACGAGCAGTCGAATGCGAAGCGGACGACCGTATGCATCCCCAATCGACAGCAAGGGGAATCACAGCCTTCCAGATCAAGCATGACGTTTCGCGCTCTCGTTGTGGACGAAAATTTGTTTTCGATAAATCGAATCAGCAGAAAAAAATAAAGAAAACTCTGCGTGCGACCAGCCGTCCCTCGAATCAATCTGAATCGGGTCGTCGCTGCCCTATGGAAACAAGAGCTAAAGAGTGATGAAAAGTCGCAAGTCGCTTTTATTTATATTGGAATTCAAGCTGATGCCGTCACGAAGCACATGATCTCGATACTTGCCGAAAGGCGTCTACCTTGTGATCGGCAAGAGCCATGTAAAACCTAAATCAGTCGCTCGGCCTCGGTGCCATGCCTTTGCCTTTAGCGCGCTATGGACCGTGGCCCAGGAATGTGGAGCAGAGGCTCATGGAGTAAGTACATGCATAATGTTCAGAACTCAATCAGCTAATCACTCGATGAATCATTCGGCTTGTCAATTCGCCTTCCGGTCGGCTGATAGTCGAGTCGTTCGATTCGTGATTTGCTCTCATCGAGCAAATATTCCGGCTTGACCCCTTATTGAATTGTTTTGATCAGACGCTGTCATTGTGACTGGAGCATTCCGTGAGAGTGACGCAGAAAAATTGCCTAGGCTCGAAAATAGGCGTATCGGATGGAACTCACCTCGTTGAACTCAAGCCTGGCTGCATCCTCCGACTTCATATTGACTATTTCCTTTCGTTGCTCCCGACTTCCATAGGAACCATTCAGTCCGGACTCTGGAAGTTCGATTTGGGCTTTCATTTTGAATTGTTCCACCACTGGAGGGGAGCTCTGTCAGAAACTGAGAACTTCTGGACAACGCAAGTTCAATGAGACAAGTGACACTGAGCTCCTCAGATCGAGCCACAAAACATCTCCATCTCCCGTTCGATCCACGTTTTCCGAACACGAACGAAAATTCAAGAGCGGCCTTAAAAATCGACTTTCTCCGAGCCGTCGAGTGGCGAGAGTGGATGTTTAGCTGACCATTCAGCTGAAGTTCCAGTAGGCTATCGGAGACCTGCGAGGAGATCGTAAGGTTTCGCTCTCGCGGAAAACTCTACTCACCGGTGACCACTTCGCGATGTCAGGGAAGTTTCCGTGACCAGAGAGGACGGTGTCTGGAATACTCGGATGCTTTCAAACGAATGAAAGAGCTCGCGTTTTCACTCGCCGGTCCAAAGTGTTCATCTGTCGTGGATTCCACACTTTAATCCGGACAGCTCGTGGTGAATGGCTCGCACTCTCTCTCTCTCTTCGTACGGGAGCTTCATCAGCTGTCACTCTGCATGCTGCAGCAACTGTACACCACCACAAGCACACCCTCCGAAACGGACGTTAATTCCGACGACTTACATCCCCGTCCAACAAGACAGACATCAGCGGTGCAGCTGATGGACAGTGACGATGATGAGGATGATCCCGTTCTGCGTGCGCCTGCCCCACCGCAACCATCGGAGAAGAGAGCGAGCAGCACCAGCAGCAGTCGGCTGGTACCGCTACTGCCGTTGCCAGCACTAAAGCCGAAAGTTGACCTGCCTTTCCGGCGGCGGCAGCTTCGAACAACGCCACGTCTCAAAGTCGCCGGTGACTTCAGCAGCGTTCCCGTCGTCGTATCGTACAGGCATCATGGATACATCGTGGGGATCGATGGTTCTCTATTCGTGCGACTCGATCAGCTATCGATCGTACGAAAAAGGCTCCGGTGATTAGGAGTACGGAGCAGCATCGTGAGGATTCGAGGGCGGTGCCTGGAAGCCAACCTTCACGCCATCGAGTCATGGTCGCCATCCAAACCGTGGTGTACAGATCTAAAATCAGACTCGGAGCTCGGGGGGGGGGCAGAAGAAGCTTGATTGGCAATATCAGCTTGAGCGCAATCACGCGGAGCTGGTGCATCTAACAGACATCGGCCTTGAGGTGCAATTTTTCAAATGTATTTCCCATCCCTCACCTTCCGGAAGAACGCTCCACGCGATTCCAACCGCATACGGAGATGAGCCCCGCTCCCGAACCTCGCTTCTCCATGTAAAAGTTCAGCAGACGCCAGAGTGGGATCGAATCGATCACATCGAGGTCACACGAGCGGTGGAATATCTCCCCGATCGTAAGCGGCAGCTCGAAGCGTGTTCCCCTCGCTAGTCGCTTATCGAGAAGGGCGAGGAAGAATCGTTGCCAGCTCTCAGGAGCGGCAGATCTATTCCTCGGTTTCCCCCGGGATATTTTCCTGGGATGCAAAGCGCTGAGCTCCCGGCTCTGATCGATCACGTACCGCAACCGAGGCCCTGTCATAAGGATAAATGGTCCGGAGAGATGAACAGCCGTGACAGGGTGTCACGTCATGGGCTCCCCGATTCCCGCCGGGATTTTCAAAAACTCGACATGCTTGTTGTGACAGAACAGCGGCGGCAGCGTCAGCGCGCAAGCTCGCACACATTGAGCCAGAACAGCTGATCGTTAGCGGTGTTCGGCTCTTTGCCTATCGATGCTTTTGTGGGTTCGAATCAAGCTTGAATTTCCACGGAGCTGATACCTCAACATTCAGCGTACGTCACGTGCTCGTCCGAAACGTGTCGAGAAAGGTTCCGTGCTCGAGAGTGCCCTCAAAAACTGTGGAACCGAGCGCGACGTCTCGTTTTCTTGCTCGGACTCTATCGAGTTTCCGCGAAACGGATGGAGTCGTTCGAGTTTTCTGCTTGAGAAGGAACCGCTTGAACAATTTCAACGGAGGAAAGCGACAGAGGTAAGCTCGCCACGACCGCACACCGAATCTCTCGGCGGCCGGACGAGTTATATATATATATATATAGTTATATATATATATATATATATATATATACTAGCGTAGCCCAGCGCGCGTTGCTGCGCCGGTACGAGTGAGGGAGGACCCTACAATGAACCACTCCATGAACTTTCTCATGAAAACTAACCCTTCGCCTATTTATTCGTTAATCGATAGAGCGGCAAATTCACTTGAGTGTCCTTCTCTATCCCACCAGTCAGCGAGTTCTTGTTCCTCGTTCGTCAAATCCGATTCACAATGCTTCAAGATTGATAGGCGCTGAAACCTCCTTGTTGTTGCATTCCATGAGAAATATTTCGGAACTTCAACGTATAACAGTGTTCTCGCGAAGGGATCATGACCGCACAGCGAAAAAAAGCTGTCAATGTGGTCTTGGGTGGGGTTGCTGCTCTCGAACGCATATTTGCTGCTGTGAAATACACACGCTGTCCATTTTCGAGGTGAACAGCTAAATGAACGACTGTCGGATATTGCTCGTGTATCGAGAACGACAGGATACGCCATATAGCTTCATTGCTGCTGATGTATCGTCCCATTTGATATCGTTTTATCTCGTCCACTGGTGCGGACGCTTCACCAACTCCAAAAACTGCCATATCGCTCCCTTTTGTCACATACTTGCAAATATACTTGATTGACTTCACTTAGTTACAATACTCGACGTTGATATGCGCTTTAAAACATTTCGAGAGGATCGGAGAGTATGGCACGATCCATCGATTATCGATCTCGACATCACGGTTACGTATTTTAAGCGTAATCATCCTCCCTCCATTTTCGGGAGACCTTCGCCGATAAGACGGATAACCATCATTCCCAGTGACTGTCTCCGGATGTAGACTCCTTGGGTATCTCTTAGTACACACTCCGTCTTTCATGCATGGGGATTTACTGTTGATCGCACCGCAAGGACCATGAATCATGTTTCTAATTACTACTTCGAATAAAACAGGATCAAGATCACGGTCCGGAATTTCCGCTGATATTACTCGATCTATCATATCTGGGGTGATTTTGTGAATCAACCAGATCAGGATATGCGCGTGAGGCAATCCTCTCTTCTGCCACTCAATCGAATACATCCAGCATCTCGTCTCCCCAAACACGAAATGCTTGACGATGAAATCCATTAAGGATTTCAATTTCTGCTTGAAAACACGCGCGATTATATCATGTCGATCCGCAGCCGTTTGTCCCGGCAGCAAATTTGCCTTGATTTCTTCCCAAGCAGGATTGCATGTGATCGTGATGAACAAATCAGGACGACCATACACACGAACGTATGTCATCGCATCCTGTGCGTATTCATGCATATGGCGTGGTCTTCCCGTGGAAGTCGCCGGAAGAATGACTGGGTATCCGAGTTAATTGGGGTTCACACTCCCGTCAGAGACTATCGCATCACGAAGATGGACACACTCTTCTGATCGTAACTTAGTTTGATTCAACCGAATGAATAGTGAGCGTTCGCTTTCAATCTTGGCATACATATCGACAACATATTGATGAAATAATTGCCTACATTTCAATATATGATTGTCCTCATTCTGACGAATCATCAATCGATATGAATAGTAATTCATAGCACTGACCTTCTTGTCAGACTCTTCACCCGTCACCGCGTTTCTCATATTAATGTTGAAGTGATATCCATCATCCCCTTGCCAAAATAGGATCGGGTACTGTAAAGCGTCGTAGGAACGATGTGTTCCAGAGACTCCTTGGAGGTCACCACTCCGGCGATGGAGAATTATGTCACGGGACCTCAATTCCTCTCCAGCTATCACGATTGCTGCTTCATTGATTGTGGGAGCATTGTATCGCTCTCCGTGTTCCCCCGCCGGCGTCTTGTCCGCTCGTATGACAAAAACATAATCATCAGCTGGCATGCGTTCCAGAGTGATCGTGAACAGCTTCACCATCCTGTTGTACTGATGGAAAAGCTTTTGTAAACAACCAACGATTTCCCTATCTGTACCAGTGTGGATGCTGCATCGTCGATCGACCTGTTCCTCGGCGTTTCCCATGAAATAGATTTGGAGGAACCGATGATCGGCATCCAGCAATGGCAAAAGTGACCCATGACGATGATATACCTGACCTTGGATTTTGAAGGTCGGCATGTAGGAACCACGTATGATTCCAGTCGCACCAAATGATGTCATTTGAAAAAATGAATTGTACATGCGAATATTGGCTAAAAAACGCTGCGATTTCTTCGTTTGTCCGCTCATCAGAGTTGACAACGGCTCAGGTGGTGGGTGTAAATCGGGTACTTCGACCTTGCCCCCCGCACAGCACACTCCTGGACTTTCGTTCGCAGATTTCAATGCACGACAAAACTTACATACACTTGTCATCTCACCGATTTCAAGGCCAGCATATGTAATATAATCATGAGCAGGATCATACTCAAATGCTGCGCAATTCAATTCCTGCCGTGCCTGTTCTCTTGAACGACAACTCCGCAGCCTTTTCTGTAGCAATCTAGCCGACCTCTCATCCTCAGTTTCATCGGAGCGCACTTGTGAAGAACGCAGTCGGTTTTGTTCTGGTCTCACCATACTTCGATCCGGCGATTCCCGAGACTGAGAAAGAGAGTGATGGATACGATCACTTTCCATCCTAGAGTTTCGCCGGTCCTCAGTTTCATTCAACCGTGCTATCGAATGCCTCCGTCTGTCCTGTTCTAGTCGCATCTGTTTTTGATGATCCGATTCAGAAGCTATTGATAATTTGCGTTTCGTATGTCGTCGACTCAAGCGTCCCAGTGAGCTCCGTTGGGCAGGCATACTCTCGCACCTCGCGACCGACGACAACAAACTCGACTTCGTTATCGTCCCCTCAAAATGGGAATCGTTGCTATCATGATAAAAGATACTAAACATCGTTGTCGACAGTCGACAACAAACTCGACTTCGTTACCGTCGGATCAAAATGGGAGCTATCATTATCGAAGATACATCGTTATCGTCGAAAATGTCCGCCAATATCATCAAAAAAGAAGAAATAATGACAATCGTTCCATCCTTATGAAACCCGATGTGCTAATATCCATCCCCTATGCGACACGTCTTCGATCCCGATTGAATCAGACCTACCGAACGCGACGTACGGGAATGTATGCGACCATGACAGACATACGCACATTTGTTTTTATATGTTTAGATTAGAAGATATATATATTATATATATATACTGCGTCCACCGGCATGCAAACGGAGACAGCTGGAATGAGAAAGAGGAGCAAGCTTTGGATTCCCTCCTGATCCAAATTAATTTCAAGGCAATCCAGCAGCGACGCGACGCATGACTCGCGGCCTGAAAGGAGCATGTTGAAGAAATTCGATCCCGAGACTATCGATTGGTGCACTTACAAATTTTTGCTGCGCTTGTACTTCCGCTCGAATGGGATAGACTCGGACAACGAGAAGGTGAGCTCTTTCGGATTTGACTCGTTGAGGGAACACCCGTGTTTCCATCATCTCCCCTTGGATAACCGAAAATCGGATTCCAGATTCAGATACTCCGTGAGCGTGGCGGTCCGCTGATCAGGAAAGTTCTCAGCGAGAGAAAACTTAAGCGTCTCGACAGCAATCAGGGGGATATCCTTTGTCTCTTGGAGAAAGCATACTTTGAGCCGAACGAAGTTTGGCAAAGAAGGTTCGTTGAGGATCTCGAGGCGTCGAATGAGCGTGACCTCGGGGATGACCATGTATCAAACAAAGGTCGCGAGAATTGCTCTCTGTCTAACTGACTCTGCGGGACAACGTGTTGAGCATGATGTGATTTGACGTATTTTTCACAGATCTGAGTTCAACAGTCAATGTCAGAAAGAGGATGAAACGGGCGCGGAATTCTTGGAGCGCCTCCAAGGTCTAGCCAAAGAATGCCAATTTCACGAGGTATGCCTACCCGCAACATTCCGAGAAGGATACAGAAAGTCGGAAGCAGGTTTCGATTCGAACGCGGGCTTTCAGGATCAGGAGCGAGTCTGTGATCAATTCATCTCTGGGGTTCGTTCGACCGAGCTCAGGAATCGGCTCATGGTTGAGGCACCGGATAAGCTAACGATGCCTCTGATCGCCGCCATCGCGGAACTGTGGGAAATCAACTCAATCCCTACTGGTACATCTAGTGGCTCTGATAATTAGGAATTGAGAGCATTGCGAAGCGATTTCCTCCGATGTCAAGCAGGAATTGGACTAATCGATGAAGTATCTCCAGATTTCAGTCAGACGCAGAAGGCTGCCTTGCATCTTTGCATTCGTGCGGGAGAGACATCGCCGAGCAGCCGACGGAGAGTTGACGCGACGGCGCCGGTCGCGAAATCGGGTTTGCCAGCAAGTGAACCCGAAGATTCGGCAAGGGTAGATGCCCCAACGAGCGTTATAGATGTTCCAGAGACAGAAACCGCCAGCAGTATGAGTCTTCGGAAGAAAGCGACTCGGAGGCCACGATTAAAGGTCAAGATAACGAGGAAAAAAAATACTCATCGCGAGGAAGTCTTGAAAACCTCGTGGAAGAAGATTCGGCGAACGTCCCCGAAACTGAGAAGCGTCCCCTGCCGACGGAGGGCAGAAGGTGAAATTCTTCTATCTTCATATGATGACGTCGGTATTCCCCAATATTTCCGAATGCTTTCTTTCCCCCTGCCCTCTTCGTGCAAAAAAATTGCTACAATGATCTCTCTACAATAATTCTATTTCCGGGGATAGCGATACAAAGAAACGAGGACGACCGCTCTCGACGGCTTTCGTTGCGGGGAGGAAGCGTTACAAGTGCAGCCATTGTGAATACATGTGAGATTGAGTCAAAATCGGAATTTGCGATGCTCTACAACAGTCGGAACAGGGGAGCAGTCCCCTGTTTTCCTTCTCCCCGACATTTTGCTCTCATGATCTCGTGATTTTTGTATGGTTCACTTTCGTACATTGTATACCCAGGTCAGACATCCGCAGAAGTGTGCTCAGACACGAGCGCATCCACACGGGGGACAGACCCTACAAGTGCCAATACTGTGAACTCCGATTCCGCGAAAAGCATCATCTACAGGTACAGTGAACTTCCAAACATCTCGATTCCAATCGGGACCGTGCGGGGGAGGGGGGATCCTCGACGGGACACTTGAAATTCCCCGGAAGTCTCAGATTCGTTCCTATCACTGAATATCGGTCCGAGTGTGGGGGGGGGGGAGCGAAGGAATCCTTCTAAATCCGGCGGACTAAGCGTCCAAGGCTCACATTGGGGTCGAGGAGTTCACGGAGCCTTAATTGGCCTGCGCGAGGTCCGGAGAGCACCGTGAATTCAAGCTTCTCCCCTCGCTCTTCCAGAACCACGAGCGAGTCCACACCGGAGAGACTCCATACATTTGTGAATATTGTGGGAGAGGGTTTTCAAAGAGTTCAACCCTCACTGACCACGTCCGAACGCACACCAGAGAAGTGAGTACCTGGAACACGATGCACGCGCATTCTTACTTCGATTCAGCTCCGATCATGCCATCATCGAATCCATCTCCGCTTTCCAGGCGCCGCACCTCTGCGAGTTCTGCGGGAGGGGTTTCATCCAGAAATCTGCTCTCAACACCCATATGCTCATTCACACCGGTCACAGACCCCATTCTTGCTGCGTGAGTTCGAGGATCTTTCAGTCTGTCCAAACCCTACCATTAGACTTCTCGCGACGGAAAAACTGGCCCTACCGCGCCGCCGGCAGGGGACCGGGAGCGAGCTCTGGATTTCCGGGGCTCAATAAACACACCTCGATCCGTTCCCCTTGGGGCTCCCAACGATGGAAGCATCCGCAATGGTATTCGGCGTGATGTTCTCCTCACCTTGGATTGCAGTCAATCCGACTGGTCGTTTGTCGGCGGACATCCGATAACTCCCGGATGCAAATACCATTCTACTCGATCATCGAGTCCTTAGTCAGGTGTTCTTGTCATGATTGCGATGAATAGGGTCAGCGCACCGACCGACCATCCATGCGAACTTCTATGAAGATCCGTCCCGATTCTCATTCCAGTTCTGCAATCGAGGCTTCACAACTTCACATCTCCTGAAATCCCACCTGAAAACACATGCTCTCGATCCTCCGGCAAGCCGTGATACAGCCGCTGATGCAACTCCCGCGAAAACGTCCGTCCCGAGTTCGACCGAGGAGCCTTATCCAGTATCGCTAAGCGTAGCGAACTTCGTGGCGAACCCCAGTCGGGACAGCGAGGCTCTTCAGAGTTTCAACCCCTTGTGCCAACAGGTGATATTCCCAGGACCACAGTCGTCCGACTCGAACTATTATAGCATACAATAAATCCAGAAGAGTTCTCTTCAAGAAAATAGAAAGCTTCCGTGATCATCCCCAGAGTGCTTCTGCCGTCGAGGCGTCCCTCGTCACTTATCGAGAGCAACGAGGACAAGATTTGCCGACTTCGAGCCAAAGATTGTCCGAGTGGTGAATTATTCTTCCGGAGAAGTTAGACGCGGGGCTGCCATGCTTCCGGTGCGTCCTCAACTTGAATGCAATGACGAGCCCAGAGTGAGTCAAGTTAGTCAAGTCACGCACTCCTCCCTCCGGACGGAATAACTCGGATGATTGCCTTCCCTCTTGATCTCGCATATAGGAATGATCTTTCAAATCTCGGAATGAATACATGAATGAATGCCGTTTTTTCGAAATTGCGACCCCGACTCTTCAATTTCATAAAAGCCCCAGGTCCGAGGGACCCCTGGATCGAGTTACCTAGCATTTCGGTCGTACACGTGAAGCGGCTGGTAGAAGTAGCCGTTAAGATCTGGGGTTAGTGCGTCAGAGAGGTCAGGGACGACCTACCGCTCTGGCGCCAACCTTCTGACGTTCTGACGGGTCATGAGTTATACCCGGACTCCTCTGGAACTGACGGCATGAGCGTTCGCTACTGAGGTTCGGACAGTGAGAATTTTGTGGAAAAGTCGCAATTTATTAAAATCAGTGAGGCGCAAACCTCGAACAATCTCGACGTTCTCTTTATAGTCATTAGCTTAGTCATCCGCTTTGATTCATTCATCGGTGAACAGTATGTTCCGTATATATATATATGTATATTATTCGTTAATAATGAATAAGCCTCTGTTTGCAAAGATAAACTGTAGAACTTGCTGACCAAACGCCCCTCATGGAGCTCACTTGGAGTGAACTGTCCATCCCTTTCGGAAAACTCTTCATTTCAGGTACTCAGTCGAATGACACTGTTTTCAGTGCGATCAACTAAATTCTCGGTTAATGGAATGGAGGAATGCCATTGGCTCCGATCGATTGCACACACTCAGCTCACTGCCCAATTAATTTCGTCGTCCTATAGAGTTTCAGTCACGGTCAGGTTACATCCGAATCACCGGGTCCGCAAATGCGACAAGACACCACTCAGAAGTGCTCTTGGAGCAGATCAACCAGAATACTTGAAACACCGTCTTTCGAAGTCCTTGACGTCAACCTATACATTTGAGCCTGCCTGTTGGGCTCCAGTCGAAGCAAGCATCCGACTTGGCCTACTTTGGTATGGAGAATCGCAGCCCCGACGAAGTTATCAGGATTCGGATCAATGCTTGGAATGACTTCGTATCCGAAACCGTCCAACTTCGTTCGGATTGCAGCCGCATCCATCGGCTGAAAAAGAGGAATCATCGTTCCCTGAGTATGAGTTTCGGCATTCCGTGCTCCGGTGGTCTCTCTCGATTATTCATTGCCCATGACTAGAGAGTTGAGTTTTCAGGGCTCACCTGTGTGGCTGAATATACCCTCTGGGTCTCTTGCTCCGGCTGGCCGAGTCCCTTCCACCTCCTGAAGAACATTTCGGAATCCATCGATGTCTTCTCAAAAAACTTATTTGGGTATACCGGCAGCTTCATCTGGTAGGTAACGTTTTGGCCGCCCTTGGTGAAATTGAGGTTGAGCACCGGCAGTTCCGACGCTGCGAACGCATCGACGATTTCCACTTGGATCTGTTGCTTGACCTGTCATGGAAAATTCAATTGAGAGAAGCTTTCGACATCGGGAACTACCCAGATGGGGCATGGGCTCTGTCCTGGCACGTCCTCATTCCCCTTCGGGGACCTCGGAGTACCAGGACGCTCGGAGACAGGAATCAGGGATTTCGTCAGATGTCTGATGGGAAGAGAAGCGTCATTACCTGGTCTCTCGGAGCGATTGTACTGTCGACAGGCTTACTGCTCTGAATAAGGAGCTTAGGCACAGACGGTGGAATTATGGTCGCTGTGAAACATTGCAGAGGAATCGTGCTCTTATTGCCGTAGAACAGAGAAACGCGACCGATGTGGCCCTTGTATTCGGCCATCAATCCGATTTGGATCAATTCGTTCTCGAAAACTACGCCATTGTTTTTGAACAACATTTTCTTGAGATTTTCTTCGGGAGAGCTCGCAATAGCACCGGCCGCCGGAATCTTCGCTGCTGCCGGTGAGCCTCCGAACATTTCGGAAAGGATGTCGAGAGAATCGGAGGCGGTGGGCTCTGCTTTCAGTGGACTGTTACCGATTCCCAGCAGATCTATCTCGCCGTTATTGCTCGACATGTTAATCTCAGGCGTGGGTTTCGACGTTTTCTCCCTCCCGTTCTCCATGCCTGGCGCTGGTTTTTTCCTGCGGAGAGACGCGAGAATCGAACTCTCTCTCTCCGGGAACGGGGGCATCTCTTCGAGAACGGTTGCCAGCACGTCCTGGGAAACGTTTTGAGAAAGGCTCAGGTACTCGGAGGTTCGTTGCTGCAATTCCACGTCGGAAGATCTTAGGTTTGAGTCGGCTCTCAAGACCTGCTGGATCTCCGTCTTCATCTCGGCGAATAGGTTGATGAACTTCACGTATGTCGTGAGTAGGAGCGCTCGCGTGCTCGGACTGCACAAGTGGTATTTGGAGTGGAGCAGACGGAACTGTACACTGGGACTCGACCGTTCGTCGCCCGCGATGAGATTACCGAACTCCCCCAGAGTGTATCCAGCCACTTTGACCATGTTTTCGTGACAGGCTGGTGCTTGAAGGGCTTCGAAAACTGTTTTGGCCGCATATCCTTGGACATCTTCGCGATTTATGACGATCTGGACTACTCTGTACCAGACTTCTTCTCCGACATGATCGCCGGCGATTTTGATCAGCTTCAGAATTACGTCGACATACCACGTATAGTCGGTGGCGTATTTCTCGGCCAATATCGCCACTTTCAGAACCATCTCCTCGCGTATCGAATAATCCGCCGTCTCTAAATAGGACAACATTTCGGCGACTATTTCCTGAGCATTACTTTTGTCGCACATGGCGTATAGAAGATCAACGGCTCTCTGACGTACGGAGACGTCGCGTTCGGTCTTGAGAGCGGTGATGACGGTGTCTTGATGGTTTTTGATGGCCTCGTGCGAATACTCGCTGGCGGCTAGCAGGCACATCGACTCCAGGGCGAGATAACGGAGATTCGTTTCCCGATGAGCCAAGAAGGTGCCCAATTGTTTACAGACCCTGACGAGGAGTGTGGGATCGGAAACGGCTCCCATAGAATCCATGTGTATAACGAGTAATATAGCCTCGAACAGAACGGCGTTCTTCGCATTTGAATGTTGCACTTTCTTCGATTTCGGGGGTTCTTGAGCTCGGTTCAAGATCGTGTCCAAGCACTCGTTGAGACGCGCGCCCAGAGTTTGATCCTCGGGAGCTGGATAGTTCTGGAGTATCCTCAGGAGTTTTATTGCGAGCCAAGGAGCCGGGACGAAATAATATGCGTAGTCCTGAAGATCGGTGTGAGCTGCCGCCAAAATTCGCTGCAAACGGGACACCGCGATAGGGACAACGGTCTTATATTCATCGGGCGAGCCTCTGATCAGTGTGTCCAGGAGACTCGCAGCCGATGTCACCACGCCGAGATGAGAATCATTGAGGAGATGCACAATCCGGTTGACCAGTTCGCCTTGAGGGGCGAGGGAAGGCATCGTCCTGTAGAGTTTCAGGAAACACAGAGCAGCGGATTGTTTGACGACGTCAATGGAATCTGGGCTCACCAAGAGCCGGGGAATCTCGGTCCCGAAAGCTTCGGCCATCTCTTTCGTCCCGATGTTGGCGATGGTTTGCAGCGCCAGCATGACAAAGATCGGATTCCTTGAGGTCAGATCGTTCTTGATGGACTGGCAGATGAGGTTTATTAGCTCGTTGTCTGCGGAGATGAGTACCTGAAAGAAATTTGCTCATGAAACTTGCAGTTTCAAAAAACTGATCGCAGATCGAAGACGCACCGCCCAATATTTCGGTCGAACAATCGAAACCGCGAGGAATCTTCGACATTGGGAGACTCCGGGGGACGCGTCCTCTATGATTCAACGGGCTAGGTAGCTTGAGATCAGGCAATAGAGCAACAGGTTCTCCCTTCCTGGAAACTATCTTTCCCGATGGGCAGCGACAGAAAGACCTTCTTACAGGAAGAAAAACTTTATTAGTCGAGTCGAAACGAAGGCGTAACCCGCGAGAGAAACGCCTCCGAAACTGTCAGTGACCCTGAGAGCATCCGGAACACGCAAGCGACACGCAACCTCGATACCTGTTGATCGTTAGTTGCATCGCTCCCCAAGCCGCGAAACGGAGATATTTTCGGAGTCTCCACCACTACGATGGAAGCACTCGGGTTTATCAAGCCTGACGAGACAGACAATTTGCTTACCGATATGAACAAATATCCAATCTGTTTCTCGGAGTATTTGTTCGACGCCAGCAAGTTGACAGCTTCCATGTGACCGAAATCGATATCGTGGCCCAGCAGGAATATGAAGAGTAGTTTGCACACGTATTTTTTCTTCTGATATCCATCTAGGGTCTTGTCACCTGATTCGAAATTTGGGACATCTATTAGGTGATTGTCATCCGTACGAGTGATGGCGGTCGCACACCATTACTCCAAGTGATCGATCGAATTCCGATACTCGGTAAAGTCTATCAAATGCGATCGGAGAAACCGGCTCGTGAAAACGAACCGCTCGTTCTCAATCGAAGTCCTCGAGCTCATTTCGAGAAGGTTTCAATAGAGATTCCATCCTCCGGTGATGACTAAACATGCGAGAATTCCTGTCTTCGCTCCTCGACATACCAATGTGTTCAATGACACTCGGAGAGCTTCATACGGTCAAATCTGGCTCAGGAAATCATTCCATGAGGAACTAACCTTTGAACTTGCTACGGATGTTAGCGAGTTCTTTGTTGATTCGTTTTATTTCGGCCTCACGGCTCTTCGAGTTCCTTATATCCGAAATAAAAACGGAAAGTCCCCGCATGGCATCGCCACTGTTTCGGATTCTCGACATCGTGCCGCAACGATGGCGATCGAAATCCCGGGGAACTTCCTACAACGACACGATTCTGAACAGTTCCCGAGTTTCGCCGACTTTCAGCCACAAAGCGGGCGTTTTCAGAGACAGGTGTCAGTAACCGTTCCGCAACATGGCAGCGACGTAGCAGACGGATAATTCTGACCACCTACCGCGGCTGTCGGAAAGCATTGCCGCTGTTGGCGGTGTTCTATCCACGGGAGGGGGGCAAGAATCCGACGATTTTTATCGCAAGACTGGCCGTATCTCGCAGGACAATGAGACGCGCGAGGAGTACGCGGTGGAATCGAGTCTGAGCGAGTTTCGTCGTCAATGGAAAAGTGAGGCAGATGGTGCTGATGATTTCTGCTGGACGAGCTCGATGGGGCGCATTCTTCCCGTCTCTCCGACTCCCCGAGTCCGCCCATCGGCATAACCTGGGAAAGTGTCGGGAATGAGAAAGCGTCGAGTTTGCTTTCGCACGGGAACTAATGAAAGCTCGTCCTCATGACGGAGGATGATCACATCTCTCCCATCTCCGAGTCTTCAGCGCCAAAGACCATCTGGAAAAGTTCCTCGTCCAAGAAGGCGCCTGTCTGCTGAGTTTGCCACAGTCTCGCCGATAGGGGGCAGGCGGCATGTTACCATTCCAGAGATTCTATGAGTTTGGTATGGTGCAGAATCATACTCAAACTCATTCAGCAAAGGTCTCTCGAAACTATCGACCATCAAGACTCTCCGGGATTTTGAATTTCGCGCTGGTCCCAAGTGACAGCTCTCTCCCAGAAACGGTGGAGCCCAATGGGCGCCATGTTGAATCCTACCGTGTGGCCCACACGTCGAGAGAGTGAGCTGGAAACAAACACGGCTTGGCGACGGAGCGGGACAGCTCACTATATCGACCGGTGATTTCTAGGCGTCTCATCCTTGTGCTTGAATATGGCCAAGCATCATCCCGATCTTATCTTCTGCAGGAAGCAAGCAGGAGTTGGTAGGTGGATTTCTACTCGCTCGCGGCTCCTTGTTCGAAATTTTCGAAGCGTGCGTCGACCGGTGAGCTCCACGCAATGAACGAAATACTGCTTGTTACAGCTATCGGGAGGCTCTGTGAGAAATGCGATGGGAAATGTGTCATCTGTGACTCCTACGTCCGCCCCTGCACCCTTGTGCGGATCTGCGATGAGTGCAACTATGGTTCCTATCAAGGAAGGTTCGTAGGAGATGCGTTGTTTCCATTGAAGTATCGAGTGCCTCGCTGTCCTCGACTCTGAACTCACCATGAATTTTATTTTCTAGATGCGTAATTTGCGGAGGTCCCGGAGTTTCGGACGCCTACTATTGCAAAGAATGTACAATTCAAGAGAAGGACCGCGATGGTTGTCCAAAAATTGTGAATCTTGGTAGCTCGAAAACGGATCTTTTCTATGAAAGAAAAAAATATGGTTTCAAAAAAAGGTAGCCCCGGCCAAACGGTACAGGGGTACCGATCATATCTTACGCATGCACTGTAAACACTGTGTTAATAAATACTCCATTGAGAATAATTATCACCATCATCTGAATGAGTGACTTATCGATCGAAGGTTTGAAGGTGATTACAAGAATCCTTTTTGTATTCGAATTATACGATTATCGTCGCTTCCGGAAGCAATGCAACGCATCTCGTGACGGGGTAGGTTGGAGTGGTGGGGGGCGCTAACCGGCTTGAGGATATCCGTATTCCGCCAGGACCTTTCTCGGTTCCAACCACCTATTCTGAAGAAGGCGTTTGCTGCGAATACACGGATAACGGATCTCGAAGAGAATATCCAATATATATACACCAATGGAGAACTCGACGGCGCTAACGAATGATCAATCTTAATAATAAGTTTGCTCACAGGCTTGGAGAGCGCTTCGAAATTCGGCGTAAGCTTAAGTCATATGATGGGGAGAATTCTCAGCAGACTCCATCAGCTCCGTCGAGCGAGTGCATCATCCAGAGTGTAGACTCTACACTGTAGAGCATCCTCGCTTGGAGCCCCGGTCATGGGTTCATTCTGGCTCAGCATCGCGGGACGATTCTCGGGATCGGAGGCATCTGAGTATGAACCAGCGAGGCCTTCTCGCCGGCTCATGATGTCTGATGAATGATAAATGAGAGGTTCCGAATCCTTATTCTCGGGAAAGCTGGGGGCCATACAAATGAGGAGGAAGGCTCGAGAAATATCGATATCAAAGATGAGATTCTCAGACCGGGTTCGATACCCGTCGGAATTGACGACCATCTTAGAGCAACATTTCCGAAAACGACAAACGAATCTTATCTGGCTCCTGCATCGAAAGTATCGCGAACGTGCGAGAAATTGGTTTTCGAGATTGCACCGTGTATATTGATTAACTATAATGAAAGCGGAGCTTGAAAAGTGACATCCCTCTGACGTGAAGAATTTTCGGGATAGAATCCCCAGGACCCATAGATACGACATGAGGGATACCACGTGAGCAGGACTCGGGAGAGGAATGCTTGCCTTCCGAGAAGACACAGGAGGCAATCCTCGGTCATGATGGAATCCATGCAGAACAAATAGACGCTTCAGAGAGTCGAGCAGCTTCGGGCGAGCGCGCCATTCGTGTCTCGCAGCAACCTCCTCTCCCATTCCTGTTTTCGGTAGAAACCAACCCTATTTAGTTGGTGTGCCGTGGTGGTGGTGGTATGCCTTTCATTTGGGTGTCCGTGAGCCCAGATCCATTCGGAAGTTCTCGTGGGAGGGAACACAGTGAGGAGTTTCCAAATTCAGGCAGGGTGCAACCCAAAGGAAAATGATCTCCTGCCCGATCTCATCCTGAACTGGAGAATTCCTATGCGGCTTAGCTAGACTATTGTGAGTACACGTAGAATTTACTTAGAGCCCAGGGCATTCTTACGACACAAATTGTTGATAACAGCTCTCCTTGTCTTCCGCTCAAGTTTCGAGAGAAACCACCATGAGACCTCACTGACTGAGCTGGTAGATCGTTCTCGATGCAGTCTTGGAAAACTTTGAGTCTCAGTCTTCATCCCGAAAGCTCAAATTCGGAGAAATAATTGTGGCCAAAGAATTCTATAAAGCTCGAAATTTCAGTAATTTTCCATCATGGGAGCGACTGGCTGTCTGATGCGACAGTGTAAGATGTGTGTTACAGTGTTCAAATGGCTTCCGGTTATTCTTATAACTGCAATCCTGTCATGGTCATACTACGCATACGTGATACAGCTGTGTATCTGTGAGTAACGATTCCCCAATTCTCACAATGTATGGAATTCCGTCGTCCACGACGCGGCCATGACGCATAAGCCGAGATTCGAGTGCCGCGCGTCGGGAAGCCGAATGCCTAAAGTCAACAGTCTCGTTCATCGTATTTCAGTTCGCATAGAGAACGTCGCCAAGCAAATTCTCTACTTGTTCCTCTTCCACATTTCATTCGTGATGTTCTTTTGGTCATATTGGCAGACTATTTTCACGAAACCAGGAGAGATACCAAGGTATGTGTATCGGGGAATGATTCCCGTTTTCGGAGACAGAAAGTCCGCTTAGGATCTAACACCGCACGCTTTCCAGGAACTTTTACCTGAACTATGAAACGATCGAGAGGCTCGAGAAAGAGACATCAGATCAAAGCCAGCAGGCCATTCTAGAACAAGCGGCTAGGAGTTTGCCAATCCTTTGCAGGAACTATAATGGAACTGTGAGGTGAGAGTCGTAGAACAAGATCGATACCTCATGCGATATGCCGCGGGTCGCAACTGAGGTGATCGTTTCACAGTTTCGCAGCAGCGCAGAATAGTGACGGTCGGATGAATGATATCCGTGAGGCCAACATAGACATTGTCCTCGATCCGTTCCGAAATGCTTGAAGATTCCGCACGGTACTGAGAGTTTGCGAGAACTTGCCCGCTGGTCTGCGTCTACCGGTGTCTTCCACCGCAGAATTAAAGTCAGAGCGAGACCAAATCATGGCACACACTTGAGCGGTATCAGGCGCAGAGAGTGTTGCCCTCCCAATCCCGAGTCGGCGTCCGAAAATCGCGGCGGACTGAACAGCGCTCCGTGATTGAGGAAAGCAGCGAAACCCTGTCCGACAGAGAAGCCCTCCGTCTCCTATTTTTAGGCTAGTTGACTATCCAACGATCGCTCCGAAAGAATCTGCGAGCCGTTGAGGGATTCTCCCGGAAGGACCAAATCGAGCCGAGTGCTCTCCGTGCTAATTCGCACTCGTCGCGACGACAGCGGAGTCCATTCCCGAGGTCCCATGCGATCATACGTAATCTCACCTAAATATAGCCAATCCCTCAACTCGTCACCAGCGTGGCCCCACAATATCGTGACTCGAAATTCCGCCATGCTTTGTTCCGGAAGCTTTGGTTTCGGAGTTTTGGCTCTAGTTCTGGTATAATTCCTAACCCTCCTGCACTGTTCCATACAGAGCGAGATAATCGAGTATCCCTCCCAAATTGGAATAGGGGGAGGGCAGCACGTCCGAGCCGCGACGAAGTCTAACTTTTCCCACCGAAATTTCGCAGATACTGTGAAAAATGTCGCCTGATCAAACCCGATCGTGCTCATCACTGTAGTGTATGTTCGCAATGTGTATTGAAAATGGATCATCACTGCCCTTGGGTGAACAATTGCGTCGCTTTCGGCAATTACAAGTTTTTCGTACTGTTCCTGGGCTACGCTATCGTCTATTGTTGTTTCGTTGCCGCGACTACTTGCCAATATTTCATTCTATATTGGACAAGTAAACATGAGGTGCGTGCCTGCTCCCAACTTTCCAATATTCTAGAAATCTCTCCAGAAAATCAAGAGAATATACCTTCTCATGATCACCAGAATGGCTCAGTAGAATAACTCAGATTTTTTTCTCCCAATAGTCCGTGCGCGATAGCGCCGGGGACATGACGACGGAGGGCTTCGAAAAACTTCATATCCTATTCCTGTTTTTCTTGTCCATCATGTTTGCCATATCGTTGGTGTCCCTATTCTGTTACCACTGTTATCTTGTAACTCTAAATCGCACCACTCTCGAGAGCTTCCGACCGCCAGTCTTCAGAATGGGTGAGTTCCCAGAGGGGCTGGATTTGGAGTGCGATGAGCCTGTTTCAACATTTGGGCTCGGCTCTTCAATGACTCTTGTTCGCTTGCAGGACCCGACAAGCGCGGATTCTATCTCGGGCGATATTCAAACTTCCGGGAAGTTTTCGGGGACAACAAACGTCTCTGGTTCTTGCCCATTTTCAGCAGGTAAATTCATGCAACTTTGAAGAAGTTATTTCTCCGCACCGCCTGAACTTTTTTTTGACTCTCGATGCCGACCCAAGCGTTCACGAACCCTATGATGCCCCGAATATTCCCTACCTCGGACAGGCCTTGTGACTATCCCCGGAAAATGACCGTCATTCTTCCGTAATTTTTTCCCCGTAGAAGGCTTTCACTTCGGCCTTTCCTCGTATGTCGATTCTTATGCTCTAAATGGGAAACCCGCACTTTAGCCTAGGTAACGGTGTTGAATTCCCGACCCGGAGGGAGACCATGCGAGCAGCTGCAGGCGGTGACGGTGGAGAGAACGGAAACTGCAATCTTCCGCCACCATCTCAAAGCCTACAGGGGCAGCCGGCGCACGACTACAACAGTATGGGAGAAACGAATATGGCCATTAGCGCGAAACAAGGGCCTCAACCTCTAAGGTGAGATCGGGGCAGAGGCCATCTCCTCGATTTGTTTCCAATCTAATCCAGATGTGAATGAGGCTTCCGGACTAATCATGTATTATCGTGTCGTTTAGTTCCTTCTCTGAAATCGTTATCGTTGACTGATCCACCGCCGAGCTCGTATGGTCTTCGATCGGGGTGTGGGTACCATTTGAAGCTATTTCAAGCTTCAGAGCGCTAGTTGGCTTCGATTAGATTCATGATCGCATGGTAGTCGCTTCCGTCATAGCGGCCTCGGCTGCTCTACCTATTATCCCGGAGTCCTGACTCAAAAACGATTTCGATCGTTTGCAGCATGGGAGACGGGCTCTCGTTTCCTCAAAAGACCGAGGACGGCGACACAGCTGGCTTGTTGTCGACTCGGAGAAAGTCGACAACCGATGACGACTCCGAAGGCGACGACCAAGGTACATACACACACGACTTTAGTAACGAAGATTCCTGGATCTAGCGGGATGACAAGTCAGATCATACAAGACCAGAGAAGTTCTCGTGGCAATCGTCTCTGGGAGTCCTGTGGGCCCTTGAGCCCCGACCTCCCGGATTCCCACGATTTCGCCATGATAGGCGGAGTTTGACACGACGTGGAGTGGATGCGAGGACATTTACGTTCACTCACCCCTCATTGACCTTGCTCGGGTCTTGTTGGTTGCTTTCCTAGGAGAAAGACCGCCGGCCATTTGTCCAGGATGTGCATCTGCTCAATCCTTTCAATGGCTCCGCTTGTGTTATCGAGCGATTTCAAGTGTCGTCTTACCTCTAATAACTCGTGTTTGACATTCTTCACGCAAACCGAAGAATGTGCGAGTGTACATTCTTTGGCGCTCCTCATGGATCCGAGGAAGTAACTCTATTCGGAAGAGAGGTATATTCGCTGAGTCGGATCTGTGGTGTCCTTGGCACTTCATTCACTCGTGATGACTGACGGGGTCGATCCCTCCGAAAAGTAATCGTTCCTTCAATCGTCAGTCGGAGCCCAAGATCGCAAATATGTCGATGGGATAGTTCTGATGATTCCGACTGCCTCCCGCGTGATCTGTGGTCGGAAATTCCGTGATATCCCATCAAAGAAACTCGCTTAGGAGGACTCGATATACAAGAAAGCTCAGTCGGAAGCTCGCTGTCTTTTGAGGTTTTCGTAGCTACATGATCCCGGCAGTTCTCATGCTCTCTTCAGAATCCTCTGTCTTACGGGAGAGAGCTTCAGATTGGGGATCCCCCGTTGGATCGCACGACTGTCCTAATTATTGACCCTTCACTAACTCCACTAATGAGTTAAGGCCTGTGTCTCCGCACTTTTCAGAGTCCGTCCTCGTTTTATGTCACTGTCGGCGGTGCTGTGGGTGGACGGGAACCAGAATCCAAGAAATATTCCTAATTTCTTCTCCACCCCTTGCAGAGTTGGACTTCCGTGAAGTTCAAGTCATCAGCCATAATGGAAGCGTCCCGAGAGACCACGTGGCGATAGGATTCACTGGCAAAATGTAGTGACATGAGATATGCAGCTCGGTGAATATTTTCCGATTGGAGTATGGCAATCTGAAAAACCCATACACGACATACGAAGCACACAACGGACCGATACTTGAAAGACTCGTCGAGAGCAACGCCTGCTATGTGTCTGCCAATCTTCCACACTGTTTGAATCATATGAGACAGAACATGGCAGGCTAGATTTGCGGACTATATTTTTCCTTTATCCGTGGGATACGGTGCTCGGATCTTGAGCGGAATTCATTGCAGATCTCGAGAGGTAGGGGTATCCGACAAAGTAAAGCGGAAAACGAGGAATCGATGTGATTTTTGAAGCTCTCGGGACTCATCGATCCTGAGACAGAGAGATGTCTCGGCATCACTGCTACCGAAGACGAGGAATCCACGCAGAAAATCTGGAGGTTCATCGAGTTAGACTCGGCAAGGATGAATAAAGCTACCCGCAATGTTCGACCGGGAGGATCAGAGCTCTCTGTGGGTGATTCCGAAGATCCCGCCGTCCCCAACCACTATGCGAGACGACGAAAGAACCTTCGGAAGTGACTGACCCGACATGAACAGGAATATTGCCCTGTTCTGCTCAATCCGAGAAAGTACTTAAAGATCTGATGATCCGAGCGTCCCTCCATTCACGTTCTGATCTTGATGGGGCTCATGAATTCTCCCGAGAAGTTCTCTGTGGCTCAACTGCTCGGTGGGAGCAGGTTTTCTCCAGTGTGTCGATGGGTTCGAGAAACGAGACCATCGGAATCGACTTCCGAAGCTCGGTGAGGGACCAGAAAAGAACGCGCTATGTTTCTCGACCCTGAAAAGCTGTTCTATGTTTGCCTCTCTAGGTAACTATCCACGATTTTGTATGGTAATTGTGACGACAGTATTTAGGGAAGATGTTATTCGGAAACCCACTTATGATCCGGAACATTTGAGGATGGGTCATCGATGCAACGACGCCACAAGTTCATCTATGATGGAGCCAAAGTTCCGTAATCAGCTTCTAGTCAATGCTGCGTTACGCTCGAATTTCACGTCGGAAATTTATATGTATGTATATACGATGATGACGCTTTGCTTCATTTATTCATGAAATCTGGAGAATGCAGAAGTGGTCTTCTCACGCAAACACACTGTGTACACTGTGAAATAAACATCGATTGTAACCGTTCTTCATGACCTTCGCGGTGATTCCAAGCTTCTCTCCAGCCATCAATCGAATATCGAAGCGTACCGATCCGTAATCAGGCATCTTAGGCTAATTTTTGCGTTGATCGAAATCGACCGACTTTCGATAACTTCTGGCCGCCGAATTCATGTACCTGATACTAAAAAGAACATCGTCGGTGCCCTGCGGAGGAACACCTTGAGAACCGAGAGCATATTGTGTGGACTCGGAATGGAGCTGGCCCGGGCATTGAGGGTTCCGCCACCTGACCCGGAGCTCCGCCTTCACCGAGACTCCGCGAACTAGAGCGCTCTTGGAAAAAGCTCAGATACCAGATCGCATTTAGCACGAATCGTCTCCGGCGACTCGGTTTCTCAAAGGTATTTTTTGACGTCACACTGAGGTCTGAGCCAGTGGTCAGTAAATATTTCTCAATAGTCCTCCTAGGCGCTGCTTATAATAGGTTTTTCGGTGACGGAGAGGTGAATTGTCGCAGGGGTGCCTCCATCCCTGGGGCCGCTCGCGGTCGCCTGGTCGTTCCTGATACTCTCTTCACTTTTCCCTCGCTTGCACATTATCATTCCGTGTTTGCTTATCATTCAGTCCCAGGTAAGACAGATACCATGCAGCTAGTCTAGTCGAATATCAATGGAAAAGTTAACGAGCGATGCTGGAAAAAGAATTCTTGCAGAGCGCGGGCTGTCATCGAGGATCGGAGAAGTAGATCGTCACTAATGCTTGGGTGAGCTGGAAGCTCACGCAGTCGCAGGGACTTTAGTCGGCAATGCGATCATGAAGAGAGACTCAGCGGTCAGCAGAACGAGGCTGTCCTCGAACATTCGACCCCCGATCACATGAGTCGCGCCCGATCGTAAGGGCACCACGTACTCCCGGAGAATTTTCTTCTTTGGCGATTCCTGGAATCCGGAGCAGCGAAGCTATGATTACCCGAATCACACTGTCTGAATATCGAGAGGTCAAGAGATTCAAATCGAAGCCAAGAGTAGAGACTGACTTAAATGGATTACGGAAGTTTCCGCCGTCGAATCTCTCGGCTCTCACCTTCGTTTGATGCTCATAGATGAAAACGTTGTTCTTCGCATCGACCAGGGCGGAGTGACCAGCTTCGAGGCAAGAGGCCGACAAGACCCTATCGCGTTTCGACGCAACAACATAACCGAAAGCACTGATGACGTAGACATGCTCAACCTCAACAGAATTCTGCATGAGAATAGGAAATTTGAGCTGGACGCGTTGTCGGCGATAAGGAGAAAAGTCTACCGGTGAAACGTCATGTCTAATTCGTCCAACCTCTTTATCGATCGAGAATCTCCAGGCGAAGCCATCCACGTCGTGCCGCAATACCAATAGAGGACCCCCCATCGCGTGCATCTGCATGATATACTCCCGTCCTGTCAAGTCCGAGAAATTCACTCTCTTGACTCTGAAAGGGACGGAATAGAGATTGCTCATCTTCGGTGAAAGCATTGCGGGCGATCCCGTCATTCGAGACTCCCGAATTTCAGCCCGCTATCGACAGGACATGATGAACATATGTGAAAATTTTGAATTTCATACCCTTCGCCTCTTCCAGAGAAAACTTCCACGTGAAACTCATCGGGTGGTTCGTCACAGATTTCTCCGCGATCGGATTCGGTCAGGCTCGATCCGCACGCTGTATCCTGCTCGCTCGATGTGAGGTGTTTGAGACGTTCATGAACCTTCACCGAATACCAAGCGGGATCATCCTCAGTTTTCTGACTGAGTAGACAAAGCGATTCGACTAGATGCGCAATATCATCCGGGGATCTCGATCACGATGGAAGCTTACCGATGCAGCGTATGCCGGATCGAAAATTTCTTCGCCTCGGAGGTCGTTGGTGAAAAGTCGCGACCAGCGTCCTTGAATCCTCTTGCACAACGTGATCTATGGTGGGGCTTTATCATTTCGGGTTCGATACGGGGAATTGGAACGAGAGGGAAAAAGCATTTTCGATCGAAAAATGACGAAGAAAACCCAGGCGAGCTCTACTGCGGTATCGAGTGTACTTACTTCGAGTTTAGAATCGACGATACACCAGACGGAGGAACCAGGGTCCACGCTATCATGCAACGTGCCATCGATCACGGTCTTCGCTTTGATTATGACCTGAGGAGTTCCCTAATGTTATTGCATCCCTAGGAGAATTGAATATTCTCGTGGATCTGAGAGACTCACAGAAAGCAACGATACAGACCTGAATTTTCTGCGACGTAATGATCACTTTTATGTCGTTTTTCGATACGCCAGCCTCCAGCGAGAATATGACCGTCGCTTCCGTCTCGTCTTGGATGTACGAAAATAAAGCTGGATCCGAATTCTCCTGCGCCTGAAGGAGAGATCGATCGTTCTCAGCTCCTTTGGCTCATTTGAGCTTGCCATTCACAAGAGAACTCTCAGAATCATCGAGCTGGTACGACCGAGAAACGAAGGGAATCAATCGCGCACCTGGTCCTGCGACGCGGGCTCGGCGTCAGAATCCCCCAAAGCTTCGTAATGGCAATCAGCGCAAATAAGTACGCGTGTCGCGTGCTGTGAGCTTGAAGTCAAAAGCGATCAGAATCATTATTCACGCAGGTCAGTGATCGCAGGTCGATCGCAGGTCGATCGCAGGTCGAGTGAACGCTCGATCGCAGGTCCGTGATCCGCTCGAGATAAGCGGTAGCATCGTAACCATCCGTTCCATTGCTATTTACCCATCGGAGAGGAACTTCGTGAACCTCGGAACAGCTTTGCCGAGGATTTGGTGTCTCCAAGTGACGGTCAACGATATCTTCTCTTTGACCTTGTCCGATTTCGCATCGAGCATGAGCCAATCGAGACAGGAAGGTCCGCGTCCCCTGAGATCTAAAAATCCGGATATTCAGAGCCAGGCTGCAAGGCTTTCGTTAGAACGCTCGATTGCTCGATGCAGGGAGAGTAGATCGATGAAATTGAATTACTTTCGTCGTCCTTGACCGAGCAGATGAGGAGGACGATTTGGGGTTCGCCATGCGATGAGTTCGTTTCGGCAGCGTTCAGTATCTCCGAATCCCGCAAATCAGTCTCCAAAGAGCAAATTTCTTCGAACCTTTGACGTTAGAGTGAATAATATTGGTCAGTAAGAAGACACAGGATGGGGTTCGAAGTAGTGTATTCGAACACGTACCCACCTCTCACCACGCTTTCGCGAGCCTGTGTTCAAGAGGATCAGATTCCCACCAGGCTCCAAGACTACGGCATGTTCATCTGAGAGGAATCGAAGAGAAGCCGTCCCCGTAGAACCGGCTGATGGCAGTTTGTACACAGGTGAAATCCTTCTCAGGGCTTCTGAGTACCCTCGAGACGATTCCCTCCGGCAATCACACCTGAAGAGCTGATTGAATACGACCGACAATGAGTTTTTTGGCTTGTTCACTTCACTAACAACTGCTCACTCGTCCTCGTCGCTTACACCCACCTCTCCTTCGCTGAAGTAGAAAACTACTCCCAGATTAAAGTCGTCCGTTATCAAGGCATTGTGGTTGAGTTGCAGCTGCACATGACATAAGCCGAACTTGCCGGGGGCCAGGTCTCTGCGACTCACTCGTGCCTGAAGCGAGCAAAGGGAACCGCTTTTTGAGAAATCCTCAACAGCCGTTTTGGAGGGACCTGCACAATGGTATCACCTCCGCTCCTGAGCTCGGAGAATGGAGGCGCTCCCTCACGTACCGGGAGCTTGCCCTCAACAACATCGAGGGACTGGGTATCCAAGCGATAGGTTTCGAAATTCGGGTCGAGTAGATCCCGGTTGGGCTTCAGGTCTAGAACAGTGGCCATGTTGAGGACTAATTGACGATATCCGATACGTTGCGACGAATTAGAGAGAACGCTCTGACGATCACGAAAAGTCTGTCGAGCCGTAGTAGTCCAGAACTCGGGACGAAATTATCAAGGGTGGACTATGTTCATCTCTCACGATCAGCTGATTCCCGCTTCAGCTCACTCAAAACGCGCTGTCGTTCTCTCTCAATTTTCGAATTTCGGGCGCCACTATCGCGCTCCGCGCGTTCAGATCCATCCGGCGGTGGTGCGTCGTGTGGGAGAAGATCGAGGGGATGATATGGTTTCTGCGGCAGGTTCAGAATCTTGAGTCGGGCGGGAAGTGGAATAGACTTTTAGAAAGGCTCCTAATGGGAATACTGTCCGGACCGGAGTTCTCACCCCTAGCGCCCACTCTTCGTCTCCCCTGCGATGTCAACATCGCAGAGAACCATCGAACCATCGAAGAGTGTCGTAGTTCCTTTCCCTATCGAAATCTCGCGAGTGAAGCTCTGAACGATGTTCGATGTACCCTGAAGAGCGTCAGAACTGGTACCGGCAGATCTGCCCAAGTTAGTTCTCTAGCGTGAATTTCGATATCCGAGTTGGAAGGAGCCGCAAGACCGAGGAACGATCGAGTAAATTCACTTTACAGATTTCATCTGTAGGGGATCAGTGGGGTTAGGAGCTAGTCATGGAATTCAACTCGAGCGGATCAGACAGCGAAGCGCTGGCCTCTGCTCTCAGGGCGCCAACATTCTCTCTCCTGGGAAAATCTGATCAATTACTCATCTGCCAATCATGGAAGGAACCTCAGCACATCCTGTTCCAGGTTTGAGTTTAGAAGAAATCTTCGCGAACGGTCACGAACTTTCCTGTGGCCGCGGAGCTAGAGAAGAACACTCTCGTGAATTCTTTTTCCCAGCTCGCCAACCTCTTCTTCGTTTCGGGCTTCATGGCGCCGAACAACAAGTATGGGGGACTATTCCTCCATACCCTTCTCATGGTGAGGCCGAATTCTGCTCGCTCTGACAACAGAACCATGGTTCCATATCCGTGATAGGCGAGACTCATGAATTCAACGATTCCCCTCCAGGTGGCATTCCTCATAACGACAGCATGGGCATGGAATGTGCTTTGTGCGCCTGATCTCTTCTTCTATAGTTTCGCTGCGATGATCATAAATATGGCTCAGACGATCTATTTACTTTTCACGCTCAGGTGAGATTTTATGCATCAGATTGGAGAACGAAATCATATTCCAGGACGTTGACACGGTGAACGGCAAGACTCACGAATAATGAGAAATATATTTCCAGGCAAGTTAAGTTTCCGGGAGAATTGGAAGACATTTACGAGGTTCTCTTCGCTCCGATGCGTGTACCTCGTATGCTGTTTAAGCGATTGGTGTCGCTCGAGTACGCGCAGGTGAGGAAGGACTTCCGAATCGCATTTCGTAGGTCAGATCCCATGCTCACGTCGGCGTGGCTTTGAAACACGATACTTCCTCAGATCTTGAACCTGCACGCAGGAGAAGCGTACGCCATGCAAAACTTGACTAGGACAGATCGTCTAGCCCTACTTGTCGCGGGAAAGTAAGCTCAAATCTCGGATAGAGAATGCGCCTGCGGTCGAAAATACACTCGATGGCTCATCGGCTGCTAATTACATGAGTCCTATCGGTCCAAGCTCCGCTCCGGGATTCCTACAATCAATTTTTCCTCCAGGGCCAGCGTGCTTTCAGACCATCATTTCTTGCATCATATTCATCCGCGGGAATTCTTAGATTCACCCGAATTCGAGTCCACTCGCTCGGGGAAGGAAGATAAGTACAAGGTAGGCTCACGCTGCAGCTGCGAACCGATGACGTCTCCCCCATACGTACAGGGCGGGTACTTGTGGCTGGGATCTGAGTCCTTTGAATTCATTCCGCGGTCCGGGTCCCGAAGTCGCGATCCACCGCACGAAATACTTCTCCGGAGGGCGGGTGGTGGCGTTCTCGGGGCCGGGTCGATCGCAGGAGAACGCTCCCGGACAAGGACCCAACCAACGCCGTCATGCGAGCGAGCAACGGTGTTCGACAAAATGAGCTCACGTACTCGCCCATGGGGTGCAAGGCGCACAACTGATTGATTGATTGATTCAAAAGCCCCGTTAGAGCGTCCATTGGGGGAAAGAATTTCGCCCAAACTCCTCTGGGGAATCCAGGACTCATGCCATCCAGGCGACTCGTTCACACGTAGGAGTATATCCGCAGGTAACGATCATCGCGGTGACGCCCTGCCGATACATACTATGGCAACGCCAGAATCTGGAGTACCTCTTGGTCAAGGAGAACTTCCTAGCAGCTGTTTTCGCTTTACTTTTGGAGAGAGACATAACCTCAAAGCTATATGCCATGAACGATAAGATCGTTACGGAAAAAGGCGAAAATCTCGACATTCGCCTGCCTTCTGTCACTGGCAGCATGACCTATCAGGTTCCGCCTGATAACAACGAGAAGGAAGGTAAGCGATTTTGCGTCAACCTTCAGCGTATTTATGCTTGCGCCGCCTTCAAGTTCAAGGAGAAGTTGAGGGTGATGATCGCCTGTGATTTTTACACTGCTCACCGATATGAAAAAAACGAACGCGTTGAGAAATTGAAAAACGTTTTCCCATTGGAGCATGATTTTTTTTACGCCTGGTAGGTTGAAAGAGACGAGTCATGCTGAAACTCGGTCTCTTTTGTACTGGTTTTTGTATGCGATCTTCGGCAACAGTCACCGCTGACAAAGACACGAGCCGCTCGTGGGGGACAAACGCCTCTCAAGGAGCAAAAAGCCCGTTACGTGTGAGCAGTCGGAGTTTTATTGTTCCGGTTTTTGTCGCTGTTGATTAACAAGGAGCCACTCTTCCCATCCTCGTCGAGATACTTAGACAATCCACGACAACCATTCATTCTTCCACTTAGTGAGTTCAAGAGTAGAAATCATGATCAGAGTTCTGAGGTTACACTGAGCTTCGATCCTTGGAGACTCGCCTTAGAGCACTTGGATTCGCTGCTTAGACGAACTGTGGCGTCTCTAAGGAGCCAGAGTTTCCTTTCTTCCTCTCCTTTTGACCCGTCTAATACCGTTTCCCGTGCTCGATGCCGCTCCGCCGCTAGGTGGTCCAAGATTTTTCTCGCAAAGTCCACCACGTGCCTTCGAATTCACTCCGAAAGCGCCCGGGGAACCTGAGAGCATCTGAGCCGACCTTGCTGGGCTGTATGGCTTCCGAGGATCGTTTCGCTCGCTCTTCTGCCGGGGACGTCGTTCGGAATTCAAATTGAGCCTGAGCGCGGTAGAGCTTTACCCCCGTCCTGGCTTTTTCTGCGATCGAAATATTCTACGCTGGATCCTTGTAGCGGCAAAAACATTGGGCCAATCGTTCGTTCTGATCACCTATAGGGCTTGACCGAGGGAAAATCGCCTCAGAGCCAGAGGGCATGACAGACGTTGCGACGCGGTAGCACCTCACTCTTTCCCCTCTGAAGCTCCTTCGTCGCGGGAGCGAAGGAGCAACACGTCTCTTCTCACAACAACGGAACAGCGAATGTACACTAGTCTGATGTTTGCTCCACGATCCGTCACAACTGATGTTATGCAATTATTCAGTGATCTGTGTTCGGCGTGTCAATAAGCTTGCACGAGACCGAGTGGCCGCTCGGGCAACCTCAGGAGGTATGTTCAGAGGACTAATTCACCTTAAATTTTCTTTGAAGGTTTTATGGAGAAGCAAAACCGAAGTCAATCCATCAAGTGATGACCCATTTGTTGATGGTTTAATCATGGATACTTGAAGGGTCGTCGAAGTCAGTCCGAAAGCGATAGAAATCTCAGATCGCCGCATCGACAGACGCGTCGATTGGTTGTGCCCGAGAAATTTTCGACGAGTGCTATAAGCGTATCTATTTTGTGAGCTCTTTCTGTCTAGGTAGTGAGTGAGCTTGAGGCGTAGAACACCCCATCCGAATTGAGCGGTTTCCTATATTTTCGTGAAACAATAGTTGAGTTTTTCGTATCGAAGCCCCTAATCGTTTTGGAATGATTCGTCATTCGATGGCGGAAAGTGAGAATAGGTTGTGTAACTGTAGACGGGCATTAAGGAGGCTTTACGAGTAAGTACTCTATGGTTCGTGCCGCGATTCGCACCCAGCGTAGTGGATTCAAGGTTGTGACTATTTGACCTACTGCCGGTTTGACGTCTGTTCGGTATTGACTAGATGAGACTGAGATTCGATGATTATGGGGGAGAGGTCCATTGATCTCTGCGATCGATCGCATCCGGAGACTCCACTAAATAGTAATTCGCATCGAGTGCGAGCTCTCATGCACGCGGAGCTTCTCACTACGGAATAAAAATGTTTGTGCTGATCCGTCGACGCAAGTTGCGTTGATCATCCGAAGCTGGTCGTGTAGTTTTTCTAGGTCTTGGATGTCCCTTGGTTAGCCTCTAGGCGAGTGAGACAAAACGAGGCCTCCACGGGCCATACATTAGGGCAGGAACGGTTTTCTATCAAAGCTACCGAGTAGATTTCGGGGGAAACGCAAGGGCGCGGGAAGCGGTGATTTTCTGACTGAAACCAAAAGACACTCAAAGGTGCTCCCGGAAGAACTGCAACCGTGAGGACACTCCACAATTCATTTGAATAAGCAGCTCCTGCAACTACCTGAGCTCAATAAACTCAATTCAAACTTCTCCGAGTTGGAGTCTGGTCGCTCCGGAGCGATTTGAGCTTTCTCAGTACCGTTTCCAGGAAGTGGGAACCTCTAAACGGCGTGTTCGATGGGACATACGCTAGCTCACAGTGTCCCCGTTCTCGTGGTGATGCATTGCCTGACCATGGGGGTGATTCTACATCGGAGAACGGATCCACTATTGTTGAGCCCATACATCAAGACTAATCAGACAGAAACAGCTAGGAGATTGGCCCTGATCAAGGTAGAGTCAACGAAGAAATTTCTCATGTCCTACCATTGAAATGAATAATTTTATATGAATCGGGTTCCGGGTTCGGGAAGTTCGACGTCTTCAGGACCTACCGGGAGCATCACCTGTTGCCAACGAAATGATCCGCTCCTACTCCGGCTTCATAACGGTCAACGAGAAATGCCAGAGTAACATGTTCTTTTGGTTCTTTCCTCGTCTGAGGAACGATTCCTCACCGAGCAAAACGGAAAAGGATCAATTCAATACGACGTCACCCCTAGTTCTGTGGATGCAGGTTCGTTGTACTCAAATCAAATAGATTTGGCGCCGGATGAAATCTCTCAGGTTGCATAGGCCAGTGGGGGGGGGGATTACGTTCAACACGAAGATACCGGAGGAACTTACAGCGAATAAGGAAGACATACGCTCCAAGCGCAACGACCTTTTCTAGGGCGGACCTGGGGCGAGTTCTCTGTTCGGGCTCTTCGTGGAGACCGGACCTTTTCAAGTGAATATGGATCTCACACTGACCCTACGACCGTGAGTGGCTCCGCAGTCTAGTGTTAGAAAGCTTCTTACACTAAATCACGTGGAGGCGAAGTGCGTTCCGTTCGATCATGGATGCAAGCCTCAACTCCTCGTCTTACCGTTGAAGAACTTCATGGCTGAAATATGCGAGTTTACTCTACCTGGACAACCCGGTTGGAAGTGGATTCAGCTTCACGGCGGATGAAGACTGTTACCCTACCGATCAGCAGGCAATCGGTGACGACCTGACGGATTTCGTGCGACAGTTCTACGTGCTTTTCCCGGAGTTTATTTCCACGCCGTTGTATATCGGTGGTCAATCCTATGCAGGTGAGGCCAGTTCTGAAGAAATCGCCAAGACAGAGGCAATAGCCTGCGTGTCTGTTTTTGTGTTTTTGATCGATCGCGTTTTTTCATTTTTCCCGACTCAGGTAAATACGTCCCAACTCTTTCGTACCGCCTGGCAACCGACGAGGGTTTCGCCTTTGTCCCTCTACAAGGCATGATCATCGGGAACGGGTTCTCCGATCCGATCCATATGCTCGAATACGGGGACTTTCTCGAAGGAGTGGGACTGTTGAATCGAGAACAGGCCGATGAAATCTCGCAGCAAACAAAGGTATGGGTAGAGCTGAACGACTCCGATCCAGTGAGCGAAGAAGGCTTCAATAGACTCAGACATTTCTACTTCCGAACAGATTGCCCGGAAGATGATTCGACTCAAAATGTACGTCGAAGCCTACGCGCTCATCGATCAACTCATAGTTGGAGCTTTCACACCGCAGGGAACGATCATTCAGAACCTTACAGGTCAATCATGCTTGAGATTTGTGCGGCACCAATATTTATAGCGAGACTTTCGGATTATTCTAAGCGGGGTCCTTGTGAATACCCGTCAGGCATTGGGCATTACTACAATATACTTAGGAGCGGACATCCTCCAGAGATGACGTTCTTCTACCATTATCTGCATATGGAACGAGTGAAGAAGGCAATTCATGCCGGCGGGAGGAACATTAGCGATGGCGCCGCCATTCGCCGAGCTTTGATACCGGACATGATGCAGAGCGTGGCGGATCAGTTCGCGAAACTGTTGGATAATGGATATCGGGTAGGTTGAAGGTCGCCGCTCCTCGATAAGTTCCGCGCCGCATGGTAGACTTACCTGTGGATTTTCAATCGCCAGGTACTCTTTTATTCGGGTCAACTGGACATCATAGTCAACTACGTCTGCGTGGAAAACTTCTTCCATAATTTGGTTTGGTCGGGTGCGAAGAAATGGCGCAACACGAAACGCAAACAGTGGAGGATCGATGGACCGCAAGTTGTGGGATTTGTGCGACAAGTCAACAATCTCACCGAAGTCATGATTAGGAATGCTGGCCATATAGCCCCTTTCGATCAGCCTTGGCCCACATTGGACATGTTCCGGCGCTTCATCGATGGACTTCAGTTCAATTAGTCCCGAATCTTCAAGGCAATAATTTCACGGAGATGGCCCCCGCGAGAACTAATCTTCATCCCAAGCGAGAATTCCGATATAAGTCATGAAGAAGACCTTTGCTCGCCAATTTCGAGGGAGGAGCAAAGGCGATCAGATACAAAGGACCGGCGAAGCGTCGTCCTTCGAGCTGCCACCTCCAACCCGGTGTCAATCGAGGCCCCAATGTTTCAGGACAACGATTCTCAATGAAGAAATATCCGAGGGGACATGGTTTCTCCGATCTCGAAGAGGAACTGAGGCATAGTGGTTCCCTAGGAGAATTTTCCCCCTGTCGTGATTACAGAATGGAAGCTCAAAGCAGAAATGATCTCCGATGAGGGTCTGACAATAAAAAGACCCTCGAAGAATGACAATGACTCATAAGTAATGATATTACAGCTCTGACATTCTCTCTGTTTCCTCGTCTTCCCATCGAGAACCCAGTGCAATGTAGGAGTCTTCTTTCCTGATTCACGTCCAGCCATCCAATCGAAGGCCGGGAGAAATCCCGGAAATCAGGAGCAGGGCAATCGGCTGCGTTCTATAATCAGGACCGAGAATCTTGAGAAATTCTCCTTTCCCATTATCCAACTGAAATCCCGATTTAAGGCGGTGATTATGGCGGTCGATGACCTTGGTCCCGTGATACAAATGATACAGACCATCACACTCCCTGTTCCCCGTTGCTGCTCCAACGGAGTATCGGGAAAACGACAGTCACGCCCTCTTCAGAACGATAAGTTGTTTTACGTGTATCCTCCCTGCCGCCCGGAATCAGAGCGCCGAGCTCCAGGTTCTAGCGCGGTGTCGGACCCGAATACCGGAGGGTCGTCATCTCAACTTTAATGACTTCGCTTTCCTAATGCGTAAAGGCTAAACGGACACTCGTATCTCCATGTGAGCGCCCGCTCGGTGCGTGGGCAGTCGTCGTGTCCTCGACAGCCAAACCTCATTCTGTGGCGCGCAGGGCATCCTTTCCCTCGAATTTCCTCTTTCCACCGCGGGGGAGCGATTGAGGCTAACAGGCCGACTGGATGGGTGGCTTACGGGGAAGGTGGAAAGCGGAAAGGAAGGAAGGCAACCGCTAGTCTGTCCGAAGCATCCATCCCATACTTCGCGTTCCATCCTCGGGACCTGCGAGCGCTTGTGTTTGGCGGTCCTTGTTCCACCCGCGACAACGGCTATTCATAACGTCCCCACATGTAAGTCCAATGATTGAGTGTCAGAGAACTTGAAAACAGTGTTCCGGAGTGTATTTCCCACCAAAGGATGTCTGTGTTCCCGAGGACAATGTTTATGTTGAAGTCGACATCGAATGAGGTCAGCCGCTCTTTGTTTCGACTCTGAATGGGAGCAGTCCTTAGGCCGAAGAATCAGATTCGGGGCATCGTCTCTTGACTTCGATTCTGAGGGTTGAGCCGCTTTCCCACTTTACGACATGAATATGAGCGGATTCAAAAACTCTCCGCTCATCCCCCATCACGGCTATCCATACTCCCCAGATGACTTTCGCTTCTTGACACGATTTGAGTGACTTGGGTTTTTCGTTCGATGAGAGCTGACACTTCATGAATGTCTTCGGATTCTCCGATTGGGCGAGAAACTCCTGGAAGTCATCCGTTACGCTGGAGTACTCCGTGTCACCCAGCGCGACGACGTTGATTACTCGAGGCGCCCAGTGTGAGCGTTCTCTCACCTGCTCCGCGGTTTTCGGACACTTGACGCGTCCTCGCTCAGTTCGTTCCTCCAGACCAGGGGACTCGTCGATGGTTCGTAGACCTCTAGCGACAGAGATTTGTTCGTCCCAACGATCTTCGCGGAAGGCGACGAATTCTGATGTGTGACTCCGAGAGGGGACAACTTTTCCCAAGCTCGTGCCTTCGTGCTGTTTGTGGAGGGGTAAAATAAGTTCAATTCCTTCTGATTAGCACGCTTCGTTGGATTCCCTGGATGGGAGAACGGATGCGTGTTTCCTGCGTTTTCAGCTCGTGTGTCGCTTCCCGTGTCGTAATACATACCGAGTCCCCTTCCCCATCCTCCAGACAAACGCACTTCGAGAGTATCCCTTGCGTAAAAAAGGACCGGGTTCGCGTCCTAGATCCCGTTCGAAGCTGAAGAAACTTTGCACTTGGGGATCCAGCCTTCCCCTTCGGAGACACTGAGATCGTGCCAGGAGCACTCCTCACAGTTCTCGATAGGATTAGCATGAGTAATGATTGTCTGTAAATTCTTGCCCAATCGAAGCGCCTCCAAAGAATTCCCCTAGACTGATTCGTCGAGACTATTGATCACCTGTCTCTTTGGATCCGGTGGAGAATGACGACAGACAATTCACTCCAAACCCGTTCGCTCTTACATTCAGAATCGAGTGCGGAGCTTGTCGCTCAACCTCCCCAACAATGAGTTAGCGCTGAGGTCGGAACAGGAGTGAAGTATCGATGCCTCAATCTCCCACGACGATAACGAGCGAATCGTGAATATGAAACATATTGCTCTCGGACGAATGAAGAGCATATATGCAAGAACTTGCGTGCGGACTTTCTGACACACAGTTCCACGGCACGCGAGCCTTGTTTGCAGGACATGTACGGCGACTCGAGAAAAGTTTGCTGAGCTTCTCTAACACGACGCCGCGCCGCTTTCGCAAACGTACATCTGGTTCTCTATTCCTCATCGAGACGAAGCGGAAAAATCAGCCTCGAAGTATTCCTTATCTTAAAGTATCAATCTTTTTCCAGGACGTTGAGTTGAGCGACATCTCTGGAGGGGACGGGGAGCTGATTTTGATCGATGCACATCAAGACGTCCAGGCCTATTCAGCCGGAGGAATTCCACCGTCACTGAGACTTATTCCGGAGCGGAGCGATTCAGAAACCACTCGGATCCCCGAAAAAATCATATCTTATTCCGCCCACGAGCCCGCCCGCTGATATATACGTCGAGGTGAGTCCTTGCGGCGTAGCGGATTTACTGGCCCCTATGATTGTGCTGTGATCCAAGTTCAAGGAGCGAGAACACATGTAGCGACGAAACCCATCATCATCAAACTCATTTGATCCTTTGTTGATGGGGCAACATCTGGTCTGACGTGGGTGGCGTTGATTTGCAATCGCTTTCCTTCCTCTCAAGCGGTATCCTCAAGCTTCAACCTCGTGCTCTCCTTTCTCGCATCAAGACGTGGCGTGCCCTACCGAGAAATCAAAACAGAGTAGGTACCATTGACGGGCTCTGATCACATCACAGTCGACAATTGAGCCACAGGATAGTCATGCTCTCACAGCCCAGCAGTATGTGAATTCGGAACCGGAATATCGCCCCTTCCTCAAGTTAATGATAGGCTGAATTGGCATCACTAGCCCTCGCCCGCAGGGTGATGTCGAATATCACAACGACCTTCGCTCTCGATTGGGGTTTGAAACGATAAGCCATGGCCCTCAATAGATTGAATACGTCTTTCGATTCGAAGTTCGGTATCGAATACATCACTGATGGAATGCTTATCACTCGATCCAGAATTTGGAATCGTGAGAGGAGAACGATGGAGAGAAGGGATTTGCCTTCTCAGCCGACTAGTTTTTGACCTTAAGTGTGTTTCGGCGACAGGAGCGGCCTCACGGATGCGCAAAAGCTCAGCACTGGTTTGAATGGCTACCAACGGTTCGTACGCTTTCTCTCAGCCGCCGCTACGAGCACTAAAGACCGGTCACCTACTCAGATACAAAAGTGAGTCGCGCGTCGAGGGGAGTCGATTGAACCTGAAGCGCCGCGAGAGGAATCGCTCAACTCTTCACCGACACGGTTGTTTCAGAGAGACTTCTCAACAAAGATTGGCGCAAAGAATTCATCGTCTTATTGAACGACTCATCCTTGGTCTGGTTCAAGGATGGTGACCGCCAAGCCCCGGCAGGTCGACTCTTCTTGAGAGATGCACCGCAACTTATCGCCTATGGTCAATATACGAGCAAGGTATGCCGTGGATTTGAGCGAGTTCCTCGGAGCCGTCAGCTCTCTTGAGAATCTTCACGAAAGGAGCATCTGACCGCAATGACTCAGATTCGGCTGCGAATAAATCACGACTTCTGACACGAAGACTACGACCCAAGATGAATCTCTTGTTCAAGGTCCCGATGAAGCCGACGAAACTACCTCACGGTTATACGGAGGATCAGTTGCTGGTGTTCGGTGAGGTCACAAAAAGCAAAAAAGGTTTCGTGGTCACAGTACATTGGTTCCTCGCGGAGCGTGTAGCGGACACCCAGTAAGTCAAGCTCTCTCTGCTGCCCAATTGCAGTCGTGGGGGATGGTCGGGTGGGTGACGTGTCTAGCAATCGTGTGGAGACCGTGCGTTACCGCAACGGCCTTCGGAGTTCCCTTGTGGGTTTGCCGTAGAAGACTTCGATCGTAGTTACCTGCAACGCATACGGACTCCTGCTTCGAGTCCGGTCATTCCCGTATTGCTGATTTTGAGCCATGGCTGTCAGGTCTGATCCAGACGAATTCGAGATCGATCCCACTCGCTAGGCATGGTCTAGGGACGCGGGTTTTCATGAAACTACAACATTCTCCATATTCTTACAGAGAGTGGATCAATGCCATCGTCACAACGGTGAGGCATATGAAAGCACGGTGCCCATATCAGTAGCAGGATGATGCGGTTCGTCTACCTTTCTCGAAGATCTCAAGATTTTCCTCCAATTTTTTCAGCTTCCGCCGCCGCCTCCACCACCATATTCAGAAACTGATGAGTTGCATGGGAAACAGAGAAACTGTGACAGTAGACTGTCTGCGAACAAGTTGAAAGAGAAAGCCATTCGAGGTACGAAATCCGCACGGGATACTCGAAGAGCAGCCTCGCCTGACTCATGATTTGTTAATCTAAATATGGGCGACACGAGGGTACGGGAAAGAAGATCAAGAGATCGATGATTACTGACTGTTTTCTCTTTATAACGGAAGATTCATCTCGCCACAACGAGAAATCTCCCGGAAGGAGTATATCGACGACTTCGAGTGAAAATACTCCCGGCGGACCCGGTAATCGCTACCTGTGTAGAACGAACCTACATGCGAAGCCAGTTCACGGCTCGAGACCTCCTCATACAGATAATCAGGAGGCCGCCATGAACGTAGCGCTCAACACAGGCACTTCGACCGGTTAGTGGATTTTTGTCACAAGCGAACAACATTATCCGGCTCCTGACTTGGAAGGTCTCAGTGAGCCTTTTTTGATAAATTTTCGTCGCAGGTTGGGGCCGAGGATCTGGTTGGAGTGTTCAGGGGGACCCTACGCAAATACTCTGCTATTACGCCGCTGCGGAGGCGGCTCTCGCAGATCTTGGGGCTCCCGATCTAGCATTTGACATTCCCAGTAAGTTCGCTCGCGTTGAGGGACCTCGTTGGCATAGATTTTTTTTTACTTCACTCCGAATGCTCTCGCACGACGGTCGCGACTCTTCGTGCTGCTAAAAAATCCATTGCTTTTCAGCCGATGTGGATCTCGGGGATATGGATATCGGAGACTCTTTCCTGGGCGATTTCGGAGACATAGGAGGAGCAATCGACTTCGGCGGATTTTTCTGAGTCCTCTACCGTCGAGGTCGAACAATTGTAATTCTAGGCCGATGCTCTCCACGAGCGTGTGTCTCCATACCACGCTCGATTCCGACCAATCACTATACCGTGATTTTGATTCGAGGCAATAATTTTGTCTTTCCGTTGAGGTCAGAGAACAAGATTTTTGAAACAACGGAGACCTTGGATGAGAAGTCTACTGTCGAGTCGAGCCCAGACAATTCAATGATACGAGAATGAATCGTGACGTCCAATCAAGGCAACTAGGCTTAGGTTGTGTCATCTGGGTTGAGTCCGAAGAGTCGATAGAGGTGTCTCCTCATCAATGTCTTGTACCTCACGCTTAGAATCGTGAGGTATTCTAATTTGTCGAATCCTGATGCCAAATCCAGTCCCGACTCATTTTTGAGTTTCTACATTGACTGCCTGTATGACTGACTGTCCTTATCGAGTGAGAAAATATGTGGTTGAACGAACGAAGGGTGAAAGTGAAGAAGGAACCAACCAACATTCGTTCATGGCACGGATGGGTATCAGACAGAGTATTTATTGATGATTCATCGGAGTCGATCTCAAGTATTATATCATCAGCTCATCAGCATTCAGTTTTCTCAAGTCGACGATATCGTTTTAGCACAAATCGCCCCCTTAAAGATTTAGCTCCATCTACGGAAGGGAGGGAGCGTTCGGGACTCCTGCTCTGGGTCATTGACCTGAGAGCGAGGAGTCGTCTCGAACAAGAATCAAAGTCATTAGGAAGTGTCAAACCCTACACACTCTTATTCGGGCCAAAAGTTTACTCAGGTTTGTGTCATCCATAGCTCAGTAAGGCAAACGATAAGAATAGAATCGTCCTTAGACTGTTGAGATGTATCGGAGGGAACGCCGGTGAACTCCGTCGATGTTATGAATAATGATTATTGAGTGTTGTCCACGAGCTTTACGGCAAGAGGTTCCGACGTCGTTGTATTTCTTCGAAGATGGAGGACCTTCATCCTCCCAGAGACTGTGACCTGGCAGCGCAGGATGCAAAGAACTTGTACAGTGAGGTTCAATTCCCAGACGTGTTCCACGAACATAAGCTCATGCAGTGGATAGTTATCTACGTTACGTTCGACTCAGGTTCATCACCTCATCATTGACGGGCGAACGCGCTGATCAGTGCGGCGATCTCGGCAAGGCCAACGTCCCCATCGGGACTTTGTCCGGGGCCGATTGAATTGAGTTTTTTTTCTCGACCGGAGAGTCTAGATAGATCAGGGGTGGTGATGCGAGTCGAATTGTTCTACAGGATATTTGAACCAAGTAATTACTCATGTAATCTACGGAGATCGATAACAGGGAAATCGAATCAAGTTTATAGCTTGCGAGGACGCCTACGGATATTGATAGCTTCCCATGTCGCGAGCAGATTGTGTTGAGCCGCAGTCCTGGAGAAATGATCGTACACAAAACGGGAAACTCGTCTCCGAAACAGTCTAGAAACAATCAAACTCGACGCCTGAACCGGGGAATCTCCGAGAATTTTTCCTAAGGCCAACCGATAGCCGTGTACTCGTTCTCGAAAATAGCGGAGATGATTTCTCAGCGCATGCCTCCATACATTTCCATGTGCTGTGATTAGCAGGTCGGGTTGTCATTGAGTGAGTGTATTCACCCAAACGGAACAGCGGAAACTTAGACTGGATGGATCAACAATCTAGACTACAAACCAATTTAGAGAATAAATGAAAACTATCGATTCTCCAACGGATTCTCGCTCCAGCATGTCCTCATGAAGCCGTCGCGTCATCTCTACGACCGAACGAGGCCGCAATCACTCAGTTTTTCGCCAAAGCTGCCATTTAGAGCTTTCGGAAAAGCTCAGCCCGCGTCAATGACAAACACTTTAATTCCAGCCCACGTGTGGGTCCTGCGTCATCGGGCATCCCCTACTGGGAGTCTTTAGAGTTCTAGAGCGTCGAGAGAATAGTCTCGTAGATTCTCATGCGAAACTCTCGCTTCTTCCTCCTCTCTCCAGGAAAACCGATCTTGGTGAGAAGGCAGAGAAGCGCTTCGTTTGCATTCAGTCATGATTTATTTTGAGTCACATTCTTCGAGAGAGTGTCTCATTCGGGATACCTCATCACTTGGCACATCGTTGACGCGGGGGACAGGCTAGGCTGAACGCATGCAGGTCGTTAGGTCGGGGGTCTGTCTGAAATCTCAGAAGAGTCCCTCATTGTAGAGGTATTCTTTGTCCATTATTAATCCTTTGTGGAAGGCGACGAGGTCGAAATAGTCGACGTAGCTTCCAAACTCAGAAGCTCCCATGGCATCGATATAGTCGTTCAACTGAAAGGGAATCAAGACTTTGACTGAATTTTCACCGAGAGCGGAGCCGATCTCCAGGAGATCAGTGGAAGAGATTGAGAACGAACCCAAGCAGTGTTCGGAGTGTTCTGACGAAAAAAAATTCCATGGGAAGCTCACCTTCGGATGTGTTCCCATATCCACGGGCTTGATGAGAGACGGGAGAACATCGCAAAGAGATTGGGCCTCATTCAATAGCGGGAATATACAAAAATCGGCGATGCCTGCAATCAGAGACGGCATATAATCGAAATCGCCTTGTCTCGAATCACGGATCGCAAGAAACCTGGCATACGGTTTCGAGCAGTCTCATGAGATGTTCGCATAGGGGGACCTTCATGCCAGAGACAAAGATGAGCCGAGAGGATCTTCCGATGGAATCATAGCATACTCACTCGGTTTGTCGTTTCGGAACAGGAACTTGGTCCCCTTCGCCTTGAGGTGATTCTCAAGCTCATTCATTTTCGCGTGATAGACGTCCGATAGTCCAGTCGACAGGTCGTTTTGGATTTTACCCGAGATGACATCTTCGGTAGATTTGAATAGCTGAGGAAGTATCGACACACCTCAGTCTCTCAGTTCGGAAGCTATTCGCGAGAAACTCTTCGGAGCTCTTTCCGAACGCTCTGATCAAGGGAGACTTCTACGGAGAAGCGGGAAACCCCCACACCTCCAACTATTTCTTCGAGAAGTGCCTGAGGATCGGTCATACTGCACTTCATCTAATTTCAGTCGGGATTTCATCTCCTGCCCATTCGCGAAAAAGGGAAGCGAGGGGGCGGCTCGATTTTCCTGATTCGGATTCCTTCGTTCCACCGGAGTGCTTAATCTCCGACAATGAGTGAGGAAATGCTCGTCGCTTTCTCACCTGTTTCGCCTTTTCCATCAAGGCCGCTTCCTCGACTTTGTTGACATAGAGACTCTCTCCCCCGAGGCCTTCAATATGTTCGATAATGAGTGACGCATCGACTATGACCTAGAAGAGAGGTCAATTTTGAAGCAGGACCTCGCGGCTCTGACACACGAGGAAGTCATCAAACCGTGTTCTGACCTTGCCGTTGGGAACTTCCAAGACCGGAACGGTTCCTGCAGGGTTCAATTCCATGAACCAATCCGGTTGACGGCGCAGGTTTATATTCACCACGTCGTGTCTGTCGACAAAAAAAGCACATCCGTGAGCCTGCAGGAGAATAGGAGAGTTTTCCTATTCACGGAAGTGCTTATGAACTTACGGGACGTTTTTCGCCAATAGGGCGAGGCGACACTTCGCGGAGTGGGGACAGAACCTCATGCTGTATAGGCGCAACTTGCCGACCTCCGTGGGAGGCTTTGGTTGGCCTACGGAACGAGATCGAAATGAATTATCAGTCTAGAGAGCTTGTCATAAGCATACCTATTGACATTCCTCAGTGATGTTCCCGAGCTGTCGATGAAACGAGGAGACTCCGTGAGAACTACGGCCCCGCTCAGGCGCTTATCTATTTTTACTGTTTTAAACGCTTCGAAGCTGCGACCGACATACATCCGTGTCACGCCTGAGATGATTCGCCACGGTATCTGAATGCTCAAGTCTCGCAAGGTTATTGCTAAAACACCGACGCACAAAACTCTCGTGCTTGACCCTCGAGGAAGGCCATGAGACGCGCAATAAAACTATGTAGTCGTCCCACACCGGGACGCTGTCCAGCGAAAGCGAAGACGAGCACAGTCGAGCAACGGAAGAGCTCGGGAGAATCTCTGATTCGGGAATTCGCAACGTGCTTTAGACGCAATCATGAGCATACTGGCAGCTTCCTGACTATTTCGGGGAATCGCCTCCAGTAGTCAATCATTCGGGAGCGCCGTCTTCTTTTACACTGGAGATGTGTGAACGATCCGCCTGATCTCGAAGATTGAGCTTCGTCTGGGGGGCATCAATCAAGAAGTCCCTTCCAGCTTGAAGATTTCCAGGCATCGCTATTGTTTCCACATCGGGCCCTGACAAGCGTTGACACAGCTTTTGTCGGCGGCTCATGATTCACCGCCTCGGCGAGACCAGTGAATACAGAGCCGCTTTGTCAGGTCAGTCACAGATATCAGTGTTCCAGAGCAGGGGTGGCCTGCCCACACGGGACTCCCTTCAATCTCGAATCTTCAAGCGTCGCCAGGCCAGAAAACATCTGTATCTTCTTCCGCATCGGATTGTCTTCGTGAGGAGGAAGTTTCGCCATGAAGAGAAAACTGCTCCATGGTCAGCTTGAGCAGCTAGCGCCCGACAGAGACGAATCACGAGAAATATCACGAGGGTCATCGAAGTCAGGGAGCGGCCGGAGGTACCTCTTTGGAGCTGGAGCCAATCGCCGCCGAGGGGCCGACAACTGCTTCAAAATTACTCGAAAGTCTCTCCGGATAGTCCTCGAAGCGTGCTCGATCGAAAAATGAATCGGAGATTCGCAATGAGGAGCGGAGAGGATCCCTGGGGTTTGAGGGGAGAATGTGAGCATATCGTCGACCTCCGGAATCTGCGAGCTACGGCGCGGCGGCTGTCATCTTCGAATCCGTGAAGAGCCATTGACTCGAAAGTGTGTTTCTGATGATGCCTGAGCTCTCGCAGAGCGAGCCTCGTGTTTGCCCACCTCTGAGAACATACCTACATATGTAAAAGCGGGTCTCAGACGCGGAGTTCCGATGTTTTTGGAGACTCGAGAGAGAGGTCCTAAGGTTTTGTCGTTTGTCGCGGTCAAATCTCGCCTCGACTGACCCGAGTTTTTATGATGCTGTCAGATTCTTGACGCCGCGCCACAAGAATGCGCATACCCTTCAGATTTTTTTCCCAAACGTGTCCGAGCTAAGAGCTGCACGATGCCTAATTCCGATACCTGGTGTGGATTTCGGGAGGAATTATCCGACGCGAGGCTCCGAGGAATGATTTCCCACAACGAAGGGCTCTTCACTGGGGCTTCTCATGGAAGCTCCAATCGTTCCATCAAAGGAAGCCCATCTCTGTACGCGGACACAGCGGCCTTCATGCGCCTCATCTCCCTTCCGTAGTGAGAATCGTGAGAAAACCTCATCAGAAAACGCCGATCGATCCGTCACATGTTCGGAGAAGTTCGGTATAGATAGGTATCTTAATGTATGTGACTAGGATCTCGCCTTGAATGCAAGATCTCATATCCGTGGAAATTCGTGAACAGAACTCGGCATTGACTGAGGAACTTGGGCTGAGATAATCCCGTTGATCGTCAGCCGACCATGAGGACATTGTAGTCTAGGGTTCAATCCTTCATTCTGGCAAAAGTTGCTCTCGGATAGGTCAAGATCAAGAGCACCGAGAACTGCGATTGAGATCTTCAGCAGAATCTTCCGGGAGGACTCTCTGGTGGAATAGGCGGAAGAAACACTCAGCACAGACCGCTTGCTCCACGGGGCATTGGTTCTCTCGAGGAGCTCCCCGGAGATTCGCGAGAAACTTCTATTGGATCATTGTCATCAATCATCACCGTTTGGAAAACCTTTCCGTCAAATCCCTACGAATATTCTTCCGAAGCATCGTGGGTCCGACGATAGGGAACTCACCTTTGCAAAGAGCTTTCTCAGACATAATTCAAAGGGTTCGCGAGAGCCGAGCAGCCACACGAGAGTGATTTCCCCAACTGCGATAGCACCCTCACGTTGCGATTTCCGTGAGCACGATCTGAGCCAGCTTCCGTAGCTCTCAGACTTAGACTGAGAGGAGAGGGTGGCATCCCGACAAAAATATGTTTTCTAAAACATATAGGCAGGGAGGGAGAAGTGCTCGTGTCGCCCTGCCTCCCTCGCTTTTTCAGCGACAGAGCAGATGAAGGCCGACTAAAAAAGAAAGCTCAGGCCAGGTCACAAGGCCATGCCAAATGATTAAAACCGCCAACCACTCACCCAGGCTTCTCTGCTCACGGACCATTCTGACCTGTTATGCCATGGTCCGCATGCCAAATGAGAAGGAAGTCTTATGGATCACGCAATCAAAGTCCCCGCTCACCACGCCACCTACTCAAGCCGTACGGCAGGACTAGCGGAGCACGTCGAAGTCTCTAGTTGTTCGAGTCAGGTATTCTCAACCGTGAATTCGAATGGAACGCGCCGTCTAGACTCGCGACCCTTGGAGTCAGGGAGCCCCAAAATACAAGAAGCCACAACTATTTCGGGAGCTTACAGAAAAGAGGCTCTCCAGGGGGAACTTTCAGAAAACTGATCTTGCGCGACGGGAGTCTCGCCTCTGATGATGCAGATGAGGACTCTTGCGAATGATGCAGGGCTCTCGGGGATCAACTCGGAAGGGAGCTTTCGCTCATGAATCGTCGATGGGGCTTGATATTCGCGGCGTTCGAGATGAGCGTTGACCACGATCCTCGAGATTTTCTTTGCCCGGGGCCGCTAGTGCTCGTGATCCTTTGAGCGGAACGCCTCTTCAGCTACCCGTTCTGATTCGAGAAAATTGACAGCTTTTAGCATGGGCTCGATTTCGCGGGAGCATTTCCCGCTCGCGGTATGCTTCAAGTCAGGAAAGACACAATGATTGCGGAGGAGAAAAACCTGTCTGTGCTAGTGAGGCTTTCAAAGCTCATTAACCATCACGCCAGCGCCGTGCGCGTGGGCTTGTCGTGATTCACCCCGAAAGAGTTGTTTCAAAACTTTGGTTCATAGTCGAAAGAGAATTATTTAAAATGCTCTGGCGGATGCATCTCCCGTCCATTAGGCGAATGGCTAAGTGTTCCCACATTTCCCCGGGAATTCCTCCAATGATCCGTGTGGGGGAGGCCTGAATATTACACTAGCGTTGAGCGGCTCAACTTACCATTTTCAGTTTCACTTAGCTTTCAGGTGCACGGACCCTAGAAAGGATATTGTAGCAGATGCATTTCCATCCTCGATCCATCGATCCTCATCATATCAATCAGAACCGGATCCGCCCGAAACAAAAATCTGCACGGGTGGTCTGCTAGGAATCTGTGAATCGGAATCTGGACGCGCGGCTTCATTGGTTTCGTGGAGCAAAGTCGCAGGTCTCAAGAAGATCTCCACACTCAGGCACGAACCTCGACCATTGTACTCAGAGCTTGATCCAATCTCTGGATGCAGCCGAAGCTCTGCGAAGAATCCACTCCAGAGAAGCAGTTACTTCGACATCTCAAACAGGAATCTCTGGAAGGGGAAATCCCATCGGAAACCAAGGCGTAGGCATCCGATATTCGTTTTGACAGGGCCGCGCTACCGCACTGCCGGGAGACAGGAGGAGTCTTCTGTATTCCTGTGATTATGAATTGCGATGCGACAAATTCCGACCTCGTGGCAAGTCAGAATCCGGGAGACCGATAAGATCGGTCGCGAAGGGTTGAAATCTCTGCGAAGGTCTGACTAGTTCTTTGTCTGTAACCACACAAAGATCGCCGCGCATAGCGAGAGTCCTTTGCGGAAGCATCTTGGTGGGCTGTATTCATAGAAACCACGTAGGTGTCGACGATCAAGCTGTGTCGTGAAGCGCAAGCCTTCATTGGACCCTTTACCTACAGATCGCGCCTCGAGAGATTGACTCTAGTCGGTGTCCTGTGCACCTTCATGTCCAATCGGGGTAGTCAGGCCTGAATAGGTAATTCAAATTGCTTATCGCGGACGAACAATCGTTGAAAGAACTGAATGAGTCAGATGATTTCTCCTTGCTACGTGCTTTTTCTTTTGAGGGGGAGGGGATCGGACACGCACCTATCGACCAGCTGAAACCACAGTCTCCATGGTTCCGCTGTGACTGGATCTGTTATTCGTCTACCATTATAGGTTTCGAGAGCCCGTCATCGAGCCGGATTCCGTCACAAGCATCACTCGATCAACACCCTGAGGGCCCACGGAAGATTTTGGTTCGAAAAAGATCTCGCACCTGATATCCGGCTCCCGAGGAAAATCCCGATGGCAGGCCCCTTGTGAAACTCATTAATCAGCATGGGGAATATTTGCTCCGAAGAGAACTCATGCGGGACACTGTAACTTGAACGATCAGAATCATGAGTCGATAGAATTCCGGAGACGGATCCGGAAGACTAGTAGGGCACCTGGAAAACCTCTCCGAATTTCCACGGCGAGCGGAGGCGTGGAATTTCAAAGAGACTCGACTGGTGCTTGGAGGACGCGCGCAGAGATCGCGAGGAATCAGGTCTGATCGCTGGGTACGGGCCGGGTAAGAACTCGGGGCATGCTCAGGACCGGTCGTCTCATTCGACTCCCAAAATGAGACGTCCCTCCACAGAGCTATTCAGTGGTACTCCCAGGGAATGATTGATTACTGAGCATGCTCCACCATTCGACTAGATTCTAACCATTAGATTCTAACCCTTTTCGAGCAATTTCCACGAAAAAACACTTTTGATGATTCACCTAGCCTTTGTGTCCTGGAATTAGAGCCAGATCATGATCCAATCTACTCCCAACGAAACCTCAAGCGTTCCATGACGTTGCTGGCTGCAAACAATGGAAGCGCACAATATGAATCTTCAACTCGAAAGCAGCCCAACGATCGATTAGCCAAGCTCACCTCTGGCAGGTTCTCGAATGTATTGTAAATCTGTTCATTCAGCACCACGACACGCGTGTATGAGACGATGAGACGTTCCATGAGAGCAACGAATGCATTGGGGAACCATCCGAGGATGACAGAATGGCGATCCAACTCGTCTCCCTCAAGGTACGCATTTTCTGGCACCAATGTCGTATTGCTGATTGAGACCAATGGACAATCTGGTCGACCGTGGTAGCACTCAGCTTTTCGAGTTGGCGGCTCTTGGATAAGAACGACCGACGGTCTGCGTGTTTATCTAGCATGAAGATGGTTTAAGCCCACAGTGATCCCATTTTGTGTACCTTTGTGTTCTTCGGGGGAAGGAGGAACGCGTCCTCTTAGGAGACTGTCTCGAATGACCGCCGTCGATCTAACCATTCTAATTTCCGCAGTGGAACGGATCCGACTCGTCGTTCGCATAGTCGACCAGCGTCAATCAGTGCTGGGGAGAGTTTTCATCAACCTCGTGGCGTGGAATCCGTGTTCGACATATAGAGTAGAGCGTGCTCTCCTCAACTACGGAACGATGGCATAGTGCGCTACAGTTGGATAATTTGAAAGTGCTCTTGCTGAAAATTCACTGCCATGACAAATAAGGACTACCTGTGTGGCGTCGGAGTTTTCCGACCCTCATGGCTACAGAGATTCGCATCATCCCGATGCTATGCGCTGGTCTTCGCTTGCTTGGGAATCCTGCAATCATCGTTCCGCTCCTATCTGGTCGGCACATTATCGACAATCGAGAAGAGATTCTCTCTGTCCTCGAAACAGAGCAGTATAATCATGATCGGAGACGACATATCACCAGTCATCGGCTCGATCGTGATCATTCTCTTCATGAGAGACTGTTCCAAGCCCAGGTACATCGGGTTGGCGATGCTCGCTTCAGGATTTGCCTGCGCGTTCGCAATGTTTCCTTTCCTGTTGTACGGGACGTCCACGCACCTCGGTGCCATCGACGCTACGAGCCCGAATATGACGTTTTCAGCAGCTGGAAGTAGAGTTGAATTCTGTGGAGCTGAGCTCGACGACCCGAAATGCCACACGCAGCATGATGACGGCTCCATGTCCATCATCCCGCTGTGGAGCCTATTCCTGGCCAATTTTCTGAATGGCGCCGGCGGCACCGGATACTACGTGCTCGGAACTGCCTACCTCGACGATAACGTGAAAAAGAAGCACACTTCATTGTATTTGGGGAGTCTGTACTTCGTGAGGATGTTGGGTCCCGCTCTCGGATTCAGCTTGAGCTCCCGCTTCCTCCGCTTCCAGGAGAATCTCAGCCCCAGCGTCGAAGGGGGACTTACGCCGAAAGATCCTAATTGGATCGGCGCCTGGTGGGTCGGCTACATAATTATCGGTGCCGGATTGTTGCTCATGGCATTTCCGACGCTCATGTTCCCGAAGAAAATTCGCCAGAAATCCGAAGCCAACATGCGTTCCCATGAGAAAATTCAATCGGTGAAGGCGGAGTTGAAATCTGCTCTTCTGGTCATAGGCCGCGTGTTGCGAATTCCTACCTACACGTTCCGGCTGCTTGGATTCATATCTAGCTATATCGCACTGGCAGGATATTTCATCACTTTCCCGAAATACCTCGAGCATCAATTCCAAACAACGGCAGCGCAAGCCAGCGCCATCACGGGGCCAGTATACATTCTCTCGAATGCTCTCGGGATCCTGATCGGCGCCATATTCATGCATTTCGTCAAACCCCCGCCGAGGATCGTCGCGATTCACTGTCTCTTGGCAAACTTCATCGCGACCCTCGGGTTTTATTTCCTCTCGTCGGTCAGCTGCGACGTTCCAAGAACCTTGCCCGGGAATGACTGCGCGTGTCCGTGCACGTTTTCCGTGTCAACTCCGATCTGTGATCTTGCGAGCGGTACTCAGTACTTCTCGCCCTGTGCGGCCGGATGTCCGCCGCAAAACACCTCGACGAAGCTCTACACCGAATGTGGTTGTGAGGATCAAACTCTCGATATAGCCACCGGGAGGTGTCCGGTAAACTGCGAAAATTCCCTCCTCGTCTACGGAATTGCCATCTTCTCTATTCAGGTAAAGTTCCGCCGCGGAGTGAGGATCGGACGCTTCTGTGTTGCTTTCGAGTGCTCATGCTCATAGAAATTGAATAAGCGACGATGATTCGCGGATTTTCTCAGATGGCTCTTTCCACAACATATGTCGGCGGTAATCTCCTCTCTCTGAGAGCCGTAATGCCTGAAGACAAAAGTACTTCGCTGGCGTTCACCAGTACATGTCTGAACCTGTTCGCCTTCATTCCTTATCCGATCATCTATTCATTCATCACGGACAGCGCCTGCGAAATCTGGGAGTCGAAATGCGGTTCGACGGGCGCGTGTTGGATATACGACCTGCTCAAAATGCGCCAGTGAGTATTATACATACATATGTAGAATCGGCTCGCCCGAAGAAGGAATGAACTCGTACATTGTTCCGACGCTATACCCGCTTCGTTTGCCTAATTCCGTGTTTTTCCCACAGAGGACTACATTTAGTCAGTGCTTCCTTGCTCTTCATCTGCACCTGCTTCCAGATTGTGGTTGTATGGGACAGCGTGAACATAAGAAACTTCTACGAAGACCCCGCCGATGCTGAAAAAGTTTGATTCTAAACATTATAATCACTGAGATCGAATCTCCGGGAAACTCGAGAACCTCTTGAAGGAATCCCTCGTTCAACTCATATCCTCAATCCACAGGAACATGAGGACAGCAAGCACGGTGATGAATCGGAATCGGCTAAGAGTCCGATCGGAGCTGGTCCGCCGAGAAATGCTCTGGACAATGATATTGCGACAGAAGAAGCACAAGAGCTCATCAGTTCCAAGGCGAGAGACGATGGAGCTCGGAGTTGACCGGGGATGCTTTCGTCGCGGAAGTAAACTATACCCTTCAATAAAATCCTCCTTGCCGGCTGACGGTGATCCCAGGCGTGCGCATCATGTATGTATTGTTCCCCCGAGAGCAATCAAGCAGGAAGGGAGGGACGGATGGATTTTCTGAGTTTCTGTAATTCTCTGCACGTGATATTATGGTAGTCCATTGAATCTTTTGCACCGCCTTGGTCGCTCCTCGGTACGGGTTGGCCCCATCGTCACCGATATCACCAGAAAGGATGCACAAGCGTGGTCGGTGCCTCGGATTTTTCGAGAGTCCGATTAGTCGTTTCTAATGTTGTTTTTTTGTAATTCTGAAAGAGCGCAGTATGCGTAGTCGGATCCTGATGATGCCATTCACCAAGGATAGCATGGTTTATGTGACGGAACTCGTAGGAGCATCGACCCTTCCATTCAATACCGAATCTCTAGAGACCCATATTTGAATCGACAAGCTTTCGGTATAGGGTTGATACCGATCTCTCCGATGCCGGTCAAATAGTCGCGTGAAGAACGGGATCGGGGTCAACTTGGGATCTCGGTCTCGGGAAACAATGCCCGGACAAGAACATCTCAAGTGGGATCCATAGTTTATTCCAAGGCTCCCAATGGGCTCTTCGATGTGGAATCGACAATCACCGGGCACGACACTCGTTCCAGATGTCTCGCGTTCCTCCGCTTCGCACTCCGATTTCTGGCAGGAAGATTGATTCTAGATGCCGATGAAGTGTACGATCCCGAAAAAAGCAGCTAGGCATGGATCTGATTCTCCATATTTTATTAGATTCAAACATTCAAAACATTGATATGAGGTCTCGCCCGCATTTTCCTTCATAACGCCCGCGTTTAACATAAACCTAAGGATTCGACCGCTTGAAAAATCTTCCGTAAACTCATGTAGCTCGCATCGCTCGAGAGCCGAAACGCAATGAGGAGAGAGTTACATAGATTCTTCGATCTCGACAGTGTCTCTCGTCGACTCATTTATGATAGCGAGGTCCCTTCGACGAGCCGGAGTCCGTTCCCCGACCTGGGCCCCACATGATCAACATTGAACATGCAACGAGTATAGATGAACATGAAAGTGTTCACTCTGAATGACACTGGAACGCTCCAGTCCCCGTACGTCACTGAGTTGTGATAGGAACGCGTTCCGGCAGAGCATGACTAGTGCTTTTCATAACGTTAAACATATTCACGTCCTCGATTGTTCCCACGACTTTCTTCAGCTTGATTTCTTGCTTCCGCTGTTTATGGCATTGACAGCGTTCAGAGCTTCTTTCTTGAGCTCTTCTGTCGCCATGCCCGTGTACTGCTCGATGGCTTTATCGACGACGGGCCAAATTTCATTTAGGAGTCGTGCCTGTAAATAGGGAGAACGTGAGAGCTTTTTCCAGGTTATTTCGACTCTCTATGAACGGAAGGGTGAAACAGCGGAATCGGATGGGTCTAACCTGAAGGGTCGTTCGAGTTCCCCCGACCTGAGTGGTCACCAAAGGAGTTTGTCCTTGGAAGCCGAAGAGAGGCGCGAGAGCCTGCAACTTAAATTGGACCAAGGCTCCGAACAAGGGGATGAGCATGACAGCGCCTAGCGCCATGAGGAACCACGGGATCAAGTCGAATCCTTTGTGACCACATCCCAGAGACGTTTTATACGACGGAGAAACGTGTCCAAACTCGAATTCATTGTGTCCATATCCATGGCCGCCCCCGTAACCGGGTTGCGCGTAGTGACCGCCACCGTAGCCGCCTGCAGCGGGACCCCCGTAGCCTGCAGCGTGAGGATATCCGTAGTATTCATGGGGGTGGCTGGCGGCGACCTAGAACGGCGAGAACGGTATAGGAAATCCACACTCATGACAGACCCGCAATGAAAGTTTCTCATGTGCAGGCTGTGCAATCATTCCATGTACCTTGAGGTTGGGCGATACCATGCCCACATTTGGTATGCCGATGGACCATACCTCAGTCTTTTTGGCCGTTGCCGAACTTGCCGAAGCATCTTTCGCGAGCACGGGAACAGCGAACAGGTGGAAACCAAGCGTGAGCACAACGGCACACAGCACGTTCTAGAAATCACGATACGAGAAATAAGCGAAACGGTCGGATTCCAACTCGCTCGTGACGGGGGGAATCCTCCGAAGTTTTGCGCGCACAGAGGATTCAACTCACCGTGGAGACCATAGTAGACGAGGACACACTTAACGCCACGTTTTGACGAGTAATCAACGACAATGCAACGATGACGAGTGGGCTACGATCTCGAGTCCAGTTATATATATGCGATTCGTTTGCCACGGAACGTCAGCGGGAGAGAAGGTCCGCTTTTGCCCCGCTGCTCCGACAACGACATCAACGAAGAGAAGGGAGTTTTTCGGTGAATTCCCACTCTTTGGAAATATGAAACCTCGTAAGAATGGTGGCCATCGTGAAACGCTTGCTGAGGCTTCAAACTGGTGAATCCCGGATTTCATTGACGATCAGTCGGCCGCGCAAGGTGTGGCCCCAAGTTGAAGTAACGTATGACTCGCATGAATTGATCTCACTTAATTGTCCTCGAGTTCTAGACATTCAATATTGACAAACTGTGAAGTCTCGAAAAACTTTACAGAGGGAAGCTCACCCTCAGTATCGCCGATAATGGCCTTCAGGATTCGGGAAGAACGTCCCGCACCGGGAGCGCGTGCGGCCCGCAACAATGTCTTTGTCTTTGTGACTCCTCATGTAATAACATCGAAGTCGCCGGTTGCGCCTAGATGAGTCATCTTGAGGAATCGCCCGAGATTCGAGATTTGCCCCGAAGCCTCCAGCGTCATCAGATCTCGGCTTCATCCCTGACTCAATTATTGTGCATAGAGTTGAGAGCCTCTGCCGCAGATACATAGATCAAACGACTTTACGGGAAGCGACAGTCAAACTCCCGGCGAAACCGTGGCAGATGAATCCGGAGATCGTGAGAAAACACCAAAAAAATGAGCCGAGGCGGGAAAATTCGCATCATTTAGGATAGCTCAATCTCGATGAGCTTCTGCGCCCGATGGAACACTTCGAATGATCGAGTTGACGGCTGGGCCTAGAGAAGGCGAATTTTTCGTCTCTCTTCTTGATCTCCCTGTGTGACTTTGCGGGGAATCGCCACGTGATGCTTTGTGTATAAAAGAGTTTCGAGGAGCCGTGATCACCGTTGTTGTCCTTTAGAGGACTTCTATGCCCCAAAAGATTGAGTACTGACGGAATCGAGTTACGCAAGACTTTTACGTCAATTTATCCAGAATGTAGCATCTTTCGCTTTAGAACTCCAGTGATGTCCGGCTCCCGCAGCGGTCTGTGGTCATTGTTGCGAGCGAGTGCATCGACTCGACTTATTGTTGCGAAATAGCTGTTCTTATGTGGCCCTTTTGAAGAGCTTTGCCACCCTCTCTTTCAACACCCGACCGATTGAGTTTCTTTTTTATTTGGAGATTGAGCATCGTAATTTAGTCCCAGTCGAGATGAGCATGAATGAACAATCAGATGTAGTAATGGGTGTTCACGAAAGGCATCTTGACAACCGTCGCCTTCAGGAGCTTGCTCCGAACTTTGACTGTGAGCTCCGTTCCGACTTTTGACAGTTTTGTCGGGACGTATCCCATGGCGATATTTTTCGCCAGACTCGGTGAGGGTCCGCCCGACGTGACTTGACCTGCAACGGGGAAAATGTTTTATTCATGCCTAGCGACGGGAAATCGCGCCCGGCGTCGATGCTGAGGTGCGAAAATCCGCCTCACCGACTGCCGATGATGAAGTATCGAGGATCTCAGAGCCGTGTCTCGCTGGTGCTCCCGACTCCAAGAGTAGGCCGACCCTTCGTCTTTGAGGTTTCAATGTGAGATGTTTCATAATGACATCATGACCAGGGAATCCACCCTCTTGGCGCCTTCGTTTCGCAACCGTCCAAGCCAAGCCGGCCTCTATCGGTGAAATTGTTTCATCGATGTCATTACCTGCGGGACGGATTGTTTCCGGTGAGATCCTCATCGAGAAATCGCACTAAACGGCGGTACTTTCAGGCACGATTCGTGTCCTAAGCTGCGATGCGGATTCTCAATACTCCCTACCATACAAGCAGAGCCCTGCTTCCATTCTGAGTGTGTCTCGGGCTCCTAGTCCAGCCATCTTGACGTCAACATCTTTCGACGCCAACAAGGCTTCGACGACCTGTTCTGCCTTGGCCTCGGGTATCGATATTTCCACGCCATCTTCTCCGGTGTATCCACAGCGCGTGACCCTAACGAATAAACTCGGTGGACTCGAGCTCATCACAGGTATCGGAAAATATATCTCTAGGGATCAACAACCTGCATGGAACGCCGGCGACATCGCAGAGGGTTGTGTTCATGAATTTCAGGGCGTTCATGTCACACGAAGCCACTTCGGAGAGGAGCCTGTGAGCTGATGGTCCTTGTACGGCGATCAGGGCGTGATCTGAAAATTTTCGAGGAGAAGCATCAGAAAGATAGTCTTCGCGGGGACGCTGCCAGCGGATGGTATGGCTCCAGAGATTCAGTTCCGGAGCCAGTTCTGCTCGAAACGATGCAGGCGTCTACTTTTCCTCTGAACCTGATTGTTGTTTTTCTCCGGAATCACAAAGGTTACCCAGGTGAATCATTCGGGAGGAAGCCTCCAAAGAAGGCGGGGAACGAACCTTCGATAACTTCCAGCTCGACATCTTTCCAGGAAGACAATTCCTTGTTGACATGGGCGAGATCTTTTTCAGCACATCCGGCATTGCTCACAATGTACAGATAATCTGGCGTTGACGACACGATCAAATCATCGATTATCCCTCCGGACGGGGTTGTATACACGGTCAAGCTCCCGGTATTCGTTTTGAGACCCTGCGTATGGGATCAATTCGCAAATTAGCCTCATACCCGTCCTATCCATGCAGTTTTATGAATTCAGGGGAACTTCCATGCTGTATACCTTGATGTCAGCAACCACGAGGGACTCCATGAAGCTAACTCTATTTGGTCCGTGCAGTTTGCTTTGCAGCATGTGAGAGACATCGAAAATAGTTACATGCTGCCGACAATGTTTATGGGAGTCGGCTATGGATTGTGATGAGTACTGCACCGGCATAGAGTAACCGGCGAAAGGAACCATCTGTATGAGGAAGCGTAACGAGTGGTATTAATGGTGATCAATAAAATCTCGGGGCTTCTTTTATTCTACCAGAGGAGTGGGAAAACTGCCATCTCGTGAACTCAGAAGGACGCCTGAAGAGATCGCTTGTCTATCCATCCTGTGGACTCACCTTCCCGCCATGCTTGACGTGAAAATCATAGAGTGGTGTCCGCTGTAGGGTATCCGAGCCATAGGCTCTAACTTGTGCACGAATGAAGAATGTTCGTAGCTTCCACATCTTCACTCTGTTTTCTACTTGGCATCTCACCATGGAACGCTCGGCGAGACTGAGTGCAGCAGCGATATCTTCTACCTGTTATCGGTAGAGATGAGATATGATCTACTAGATATACTCGATACCAGAGTATGCTCGAGCGGAGCTGCGGAGCACACGGAGCATGGAAACGAGCTCCGATTCCCTTCGCTCGACCTCCTGTCTGAATGGTCATCGATGTTGAGATCTGGTTCTGTGGAGTTTTCTTTTTTTTCGAAAGGTACCGGAGGCACATCTCGGATGGCGCCCGAAAGTTTTTCGAAAGATCACGGAGCGCCTGACCCCAGCCCGGCAATTTCAGAAAAATTGGTTCAGCTGATCCGAAGATTTTTCCCCGAACACGAGGATGATTCCCAACCCCGCAGCCGGAAACGAATGAAAACCTCGAACGCAGAGCATCTCCCCAGAATCTTTTCGCATTCGGATTAAAATCGATCTCCGGTCGAGTCAGAATGAAGAGGCATCCAGTTTCAATATATTAGAGTCTCAGTAATTATTCGATCTCTATATTCCAACTCATCCACAAATTAATTGTCGAGCCATCGCGTCTCTTTTCCATCAGGCGGTACAAAGCGGACGAAGGAAACGGCGAAGAGTCGAAAGCAATCGAAACATTGAGCTCCCTCATGTCAACGAACTTTATTCCCCACAGTTACGGAACAGCAGAATTCCGTGTCGTCAGGCATGAATCATTTCCTCGGTCGCCTAATTATCCTTCGAGACGAGCCCAAGTATAAACTAAGCTAATCCTCCGATGCGTCATGAATAAATAGGTACATAATTTACGCCGATTGTACAAGTCGCTCTCCTTTTTACACTTCGAGGATGTCGCCCTCGGAACCAGAGCAGATGCATCAGTGAGCTCTGCGGATCGAGTCTAACAACTACCGCCTCGGATAGATCGTCAAGATTGAGCTCGATATTCGCAGCACCGGGAAAACTCACGAAATTCGATCGATCGAGGGAGGAGGAAAAAAGGCGCTCTTCCACAAGGTCTCCAGCCGAGTATCGAGGCCGATGGATAATGATCATCTCGGCCGCCGGAGTTCGCACATGTTAACATCTCGAGACCTCGTGAGGAAGACGTGCAACGCTCCTCCTTTGACATTGAGCTTTGAAGGCGTCCGTGGCGAGTATTTTACATCACTTGGTCACTCTCGGTACAATTTCCACGCGGTCATCGCCCAATTCAAATAGTTTTCCGCATGAAATGCTTCACATCATCGGGATGCATGACGGTATGACTATGAATCGCTCTTTTGAGAAAGTCGAGTATGGGATCGTGAGACCGCGACCTCATGCTCAACGTTTCCAATAAGCTCGTGAGTTGACGAGTGAGGTTGCACTGCGGCGGCGTTGAACTCGACTGGATGGAGCTTGAATCATCGGCTGGGCCTTCTGAGTTCTCCCCATCGACCTGAAATCATCAACATGTAGGAGGGGAATCGACGCAGATAGGCTGCTCGATTACGGAGCATCGCGAGCATCCGCGGCACTCACCTGATTCTCTGGCTGGGTATCCTTAGGAGATGCGGATCTTCCCGCGAATCCAACGACAGTCGTTCCTGCAGATACTGAATTCCCTACGACATTCTCTCCCCCGCTCACCCTATCACCACTTTCATTTTCAGTCTGCGAAGCAAAGCAAAGCGAAGCGTTACGTTATGCGGGCAGGGCTCTCGAGCAACAAGCACATTGCGACGCCTAGCTCGGCTCAGTGTGCCAACTGAAGCTCTCAGAGAACAAAATCGAAAAATATACAGCTTTATTTCGTTCTTCACAGAGGGCGATATCTCCCGTCGCTTCCAGCCCGCTATCACACTCTTAACCTCGACCCATTGCCCCGGGGTCTCGAAGTCCCCCTGTGGATTTTACACTTCCCCCCCTTTCAGATGATTGGATTGTATTGACCCGATCTGCCTCCTCCCCCTCCCCCCTTCCCGCCACCCCTCCCCCATCCCCCGAGAGAGAATCTGCGCACGCCACTGGCTTTCTAGGATTCACTCAGCTCAGAGGCGACAATTTCAGACAGGCTCGAGTCCGATGAATTCGACTGCGCCATTATTACCGATGATTGTGAGACTGACTCCTCGGGTCGTTCGTTCGTTGCAGCCGTTGACTCCGTGGATGACAGCGCCTGCGGGGACGAGTAGTACCGTGAGCCAATGTAATGAGGAGGGCTACCCTCATTGAAAATCTCCGTGGAACTCACTGATTCCGTTGAGGTGTCCGTTCCCGGAGACAATGTGGTGCTCGTGGTGGTCAAGGCTCCTATTTCTGACGGTGTAGAGATCGTAGTGGCTGTGAATCAAGTCTGGCTTCAGAACACCGATGAAGCCCTAGTTCTTCCGTGGGCCATACTCATTGGTGGTCGAAATATCGACGAGATGCCAATGATTGCGTCAGAACTCGACGGAGCGGGGGAATCACAGGTATCCCCCATGTTTCAATGGACTCTTTTATACGAACCTTTTTGCTCGACTAGTCGCGAACGATTCGCGGAATCGCTTTCCAGAGTCTCCCTCAAGAGTCGGAGGGCCTCTTCCTCGGTTATGTTCGAAGGCCCGATATCATCCTCGCCCAACAGAGGCCTGAACTCGGGCACGATCACCTCCTCTCCGCTCTTTTGAGGGGGCATCGGAGTCGTCGGAGGCGGCTGCGTGTCTGGAATATATGCCCAATAAAAAATGTAAATACTGTTCGCGGAATCCTCTTGTTGTGTCGTCACAGCGAGGCTCCGCATGCGGTGAACATTCTAAGGGAGCACGTCATGCCCGAGAAATGATACGCACCATCCTCAACCGCGACCGGGATTTTTTGACCGGCGAAGAGCGCGTCTATCATGTCCTGAGTGATATAGGTGCTTCTTTCGCCTGAAACAAGCGGTGAGAAGTCACTTGTCGAGCATCTTACGAGTCGAAGTTCTGCCGATACTTCATGAGCCCCGCGGATCGATCCGCCTAATCAACCCGGTGAACTCACGTAGCTCCGCTGGTACCGTGCGCGGACGGGAAGCTGTTGACACATTCGCTGCTTTATCGTAGAAGTTTCTGTAATGGGTTTCGAGGAGCTCTACGGCTCGACGGAACTCTTCAAGCTCCCAGTCGGCTATTTGGGTTGAATCGGAGGAAGTGGCCTGAAGAGAGGTGGTAGCAATGAAACTCTGAACCTCTGCGACCAGTTGGGAATTTATGTTACTCCGACTTACCTTGCGGAAAATAGATTTCGTCACAGCAGTGAGCTTCTGAGTGACGTCATCTATCCGAGTGACATCGTCCTCGGAAATGTGCCGGAGATCTTTATCTGGGAGGTCAGTCAATGCAGCTGTCGTGGGCGGGAGCCGACTCGATTCTGTCGGGGGAGCTGTTGTAGTTGGCGGTGGTGGCGCACCTATGGTTGTTGACGTCGTTGCGCTTGTGGAAGAACTTGTCGATGGAGGAGCTGTTGTGGTGCTTGTAGAAGTAGTCGTCGGCGGCGGAGGAGTAGCCGCCCCAGTGGTTGGCGGTGCCGACGTCGTCGTCGTGGTCGTCGTCGTTGTGGTTGACTTCGCTGTTGTCGTCGTCGTCGTCGGAGCGTCCGTGGTTGGTATACTTCGTCTCGTGGTGACTTCGATCGGTGGAGTACTTCTCGCAGTCGAACCCGTTACCCGCGGGGGACTCGGGGTCGTTGATGTCGTTTGAGCGCTCAAAGTCGTATCGACAAAAATCGAAGTTTTCTCCTCACTTGTCCGCGCTGGAAGCGGAGCAATTAAAATGATTACTGGCGAGGCCTGTGCGAGCGGACTCTGGGTATTTGACCGACTTTAGTTCGTGACTTTCATCTCACCTGAGGATTCTACCGGGGTGACATTCGTCGGAGACGTGACTTTGCTTCCAGGATTCCTATCTGTAAGGTATCGATAGAATATATTTGTATTTCCGTGGCGCAGCCTGTCGAGGATCCGCGGAATTCTCGATAACACCTTCAGGAGTGTGAAAATGTCTCTCCGCGAGAAAAAGTTTTCCCTCGGTTCTACGCATCGATATGCCACCTGCCCTCGCATATCTAAGATGCAGCAATCGATTGAGCTGAGGAGTAGTATCGTCGAAGAATTCACCTATTCCAGCCGGAACGTCGAATCCTCGCTTTCGCGAATCCGATATCTCATTGTCGCGGTCGGGTGCGGGGTTGCCTAGCGAGGGGTAGACGGACAAGTCAAAAGCGATACACGAAGCTAGCGTCCGATTTGCCGACCAGGTGAGACGTCGCTGGGTGGCCTTTTCTGCTCTAATGTTCACTCGAGATTCCTCATGCGCATGCGGAGCTGTCAGTGATCACCCAGGGAGCAGGAGTCAAAAGCTCGCGCCCGCTATTCCCACGCTGGGGGGAACACCCACAGACTAGGAATGGGTCGTCAGTTGGCCACATCTAAGCTAGCTTACCGGTGAGATAGAAATTCGGTCTGACCGGGGGAGGGATTTTCACACTGGGGCGATTCTCGTCACTTCGCGGGAAAACCTCTCCTTGTCCCGGAGCGCGTGCAGGGAATTCAGGAGGGAAATCGAAATTCTTGAATCTAGTCAAGCGCGATTGGAAAAGCGTTGTAGGTAGCGTGGCCGGCTGAAGCGTCTCCCTGGTGTTAGCGTCTGCCTCGCGACAAAGATTTGCATTAGGACGAGGCGACAAGAAAAATCTCGGGCACTTCCAGACGCCCTCACGGGAAGCGTTGTTAGGAAGCTTAGAGATGAGGGAGTTTCGAATCGAATAGGTCGCATAAGCCTTTTAGGGACCCATGGGAGCCGTGACCCACCTTTCGGAGAGCAGTGTTCGTAACGCGGGCAGCATTCGCCGGGGTTGTATCGAGCCGCGCAGTCGTTTCGGAAAGTGCAGCTGACCAAGGAACAGGTTATCGAAGCACCCTGTGCAAGAAGGGAATGGAAGTTATCCTTCGATGTCGTAAACTGATCTTGGGAACCACGCAGATGCGATTGTGGGGTAGCTGGTCGGCTCTACTGCGCCTGTCGCGACAGGAGCTACTATGGAGTCGGATAACGAGCTCATCCTGGACCAGTGGAATTTCGTCTCGATTAGTCCACATGTTCGATGTAGCATCTACCTGACAGTAACAAGTGTAGCAGGGCGAACCCGTGTTCGGAATAACCTGTCCGTCCGCGTAAAATTGGCCATCGTGCTCACATCCATCTAAAGGTAGTCAGAAGACTGACTTAATTTGGGTTTGAGTTCCGCATGGATCCTGGCTCATCGGATTTGTTCTTCCTTTGACCTACCGCAGTGATAGTCTGGACAGCACTGACCCTCTCGTCTGACAGCTTTGCAGTGCGGTTTCAGCTCGCAGTCTTTCAATACGCACGCGAAGCCGGGGGGTCGGCAATAACAGCTCTGGAAGAAAATTCATACTGTAGCAGATCTGAGGGAGACTGACTCTGCATGACCCGTTCTCCCGACACGAGCGTGACTCACCTCGCATGGGTTATCCGTTGGGATTTTCTCGTTGTTTTGGTAAATGACACCGTCCACGTTGCAAACTTCCGGGAAAATCATGGAAAAAATATCTTAATGAGTCGAATGGACGATGCTAGCGTTTCGGCCTGGCGTCGGAGAGAGATGAAGTCTCGAACGAAAGATCTGTCGTGACTCCTCGATCGCGCCTGATCGACCTTGTGACTCCTCGCGATGAGCTTTTCTCAGTGAATTAGAATTCGCCAGTCACCAAGACGAACGATCGCTGGCATCAAGCCTTATGGCTTGCGGTCGAACTTGTGAACGAACCAGCACGCTGCCTCCGCGTGAAGGAAGCTTGTGCAGGATAAGTCATCATTTACTATCTCGCGACTGTGGCTTGCCGAATGGCTCAAATTTTTCCTTGTCCTCCTCTCCGAAGATTCGAGAGGGAAACCGTAGTTCAGCCGGGACGCGACTGACGTCGAAGCCATCGAGGGGATCGGGGGCGTGGGCGGAGCGAATGCTCATGGATTGAAAGAAATGCATCCTTTTCACTCCTCGAATATCTCCCTCTCAACCTCGATTCGGCCTGAAGGCTCATACAATTATTGTGGAAAAATTTCGCGATGCATTCCTCGTACATAGCTTACCTGATGTCCATCCGGAGCCTCGTTTGAACGCAATGTTTGCATTAAAAATTATTCTCAAGGCTTTCGCATTATGGGGAAACGTTCTACCTAATTAAGATCTCGACACTCACCGGTCCCGTTTGCGATGTAGAACGCCGCGCGTTTGGTCAAGGACAAGCTTTCTGCGGGAAATTTCTCGGAATCAGCTTCTGATTGGAACTCCCAGGAATCAAAGAGTGGAGGTTTCCCCCACAACTTTGATGCATTGACTCAGTATTCCGCTGCGGCTTTCGGGACTGGTGCCATTCTCAATCAATCCTTGATTGAGAATCTCATGCAACGCCTCTGTACTCACTTCCGTCGGTGCTCTGGCTGATCATGAGGAGCAGTAGTACGAGTGCGCTCGACGATATCGCGTCCATGATTGACGAGTGTTCGTCAGATTAGCAAGACCTAGAAAGATCATAGGAATTTTTGGAAACGACTTCGGGCACAACGGATACCAGGATATGGGACAATCTTCACGGTCGGCTCAGCCCACCTGCATCAGGCCATGACATACGCCCGCCGGTGAAAGCATGATGAGCTAGGGGCGACTCGCACGCGCTTTGACTCCGTGCTGGAGGATCTCTCGCGCCTGTCATACACGGTGCTGTAGCTCCCTCCACCGACAAGTCACCAAACTGTTCGAAGGCAAGCGAGGTCCTCGAGCCGGATTCGGTCTGGAAACATCCCTGCTCTCTTCTTATGCTGGCTGAGAGTCATTCGAGTTCACATCAATGATAGGTACCACAACCTCTGTATGCTCATCGCATCAATGTCCTCTCACGATTCCGCCGCCTCATGTCCCGAGTGTGTATAGTCATGATCTTGCTTAGGACACCTATGGTCGATCGTGTCTCAATGTCATATTTGCTTTCACGAGGAATTCTGTCGAGGAGAGCTGGAGCAGAATTCTTGCTCCCAGTTCCCATCGTTAGATCCGAAGCAATTATGAACTCCAATCAGATAAGGTTCAGCTTCAAAGCGCATCCGATCTCAATCGCTAAGGGAAACCGCAGCCTTCGTGACAAGGACAAGCTTCGGAAGCTCCGTGTGTGCAGCGGGGAGCAAGCGACGTTCAACTCGAATTAGCATCGATCGCCTGAAGGGGCCCGGTCACTAATACGATAGTTCTCTTCACTCTTCCGTATCATGATACTAATGATGCAGCCTACGCAAACCCTCAAGTCAATGGTGAGACCGGAGTCAATCACTGTCGATCCCCGAGTGGAAGAAATTGGTCGATTTTGTGACGGCAAGAAATGCTCTGCCAAAAGCAATCTTGCGTTGAGTACTCTCGTCGAGTTTGGTCACACGCAGTGACCGTCGAGGATTCCGAGACGCGGAATGGCGGTCAACTGACGTGGAAGGTGGGTGGCCGGCCGGCCGGCCGGCCAGCGGTTCGCCGAAGCAGCCGATTCCCAAGTGCATCTTCGCAGTAGCTTGCTACTCGCTCAGAACAAAAAAAGAAATCGCACAGCGTTAAAATTAGTCGAATTCAGAATACAATAGAATGTCAATGTCAGCGTTCCCTTCGTTTGCGTCGATCAAAAAAGATCGCCTTGGCAAGCGGGCGGGCGTTCGGCGGCGGGCCAGCCTTTGCACTTCGTTATCTGCGGCCTGTGTTCTTTGTGGCCGCCGCTGCTGTTGTCATGGACTACGACGACCACTGCGGCAAGTTCGACCGTCGCCGCTTCTTCGGCGCTCTTCTTCGGCACCGAGTGCTCGAGTGGCATTGCGTAAGAGAATTGAGCGTCATCTTCTGGCCCACGGTACAGTTCGGTTAGCCTTCTACTGATGATGATGGTAATGATGACGTTGACGACGATGCTCCGCTCGTTCGAGCAGGAGTGGGAAGAAGCTGCCGTCGGCGTGGAATTCCTATACGGTCGGTTATCGCACGTCAACAAAGATGCGGATCGTGCCGCCGGCTGCGGTCTCCACATCGGCGATGTCCTCGTACGCGCGAAGTATTCACGTTTGTGAGTGGTCCCGAGGAACCTCACCGCGGAATCTTCCGACTATACTGGGCCGAATAATATTCAACGGCGCTACGTGACCGCCATCGAGCCTTGAGCCCAAAGGACGCATATGGGGAAACATCTGCCTGTGTCCGACATGTAGTATTCCTAGTCTCGACAGTCCTATTCCTCGCCGGGGCAGCGTCGTGCTACCCGGGAGGTTTCCAAGAGGAAACAAGTCAATCATCAGACGTATAACTCATCTCTCATCTCCCATCCGTCAATCAGGGTCGGGATTGAGCCGAATTTCGGACCTCACGGTTTGACATCGCGTCTCCGAGTTTGCTTCGGGAACACGACGGGTTCCTGAGCAGGTTTCGTCGACCACTGTGAGAGGAACTTCGAACTAGGTTCAGCAAGTCTGTACCCTCCAGTAGAGTCTGGGTTTCTAGAGGATGATGATGCTTCGAATTGTTGTCAAACGACGTACGACGCTCATTCGGATCTCGTGCTAGTGGGAGTTCAACGTTAGCATCCGTGTCACCCACACAGTGGCGACAATGATTTACGGGTAGGCTTGAGTCACGCAGTTACGAAACAGGGAAGGACTGCATGTTTTCCCGTTTCCGAACAGGGACCTTGAGCAATGGCAACTATAGTACGTTTGCCGGGGAAGGACTCGGCTCTTATCACCGCGAGACTCGGAACTCTCTAACGGCCTTGACCTAAAACATCCGAACCTCCGAGTTTAGAGCTCCGCTGTGCGGTCGTGATCTGCGCTTATACGGAGCTCAAGCCTCGAATACATTATTGTCGTTGGAATAAAGTGATGCATTATCGCGGTGTTGCTGACGACTCCGGACTAGGCCTGCTTGTGAAACCGAAATACCGAAATTTCCCCGAGAGAGCAGCGCGCCGGTAAGATGTTCCCTCCGAAGAGCCCATGAACACCCCGAATCAGGAGAAGGAAATCAACTCAAGTGTGGCTGGATGAATGGGCTCGATAAATCTCAATATGGGATCTGGAGATGTCGAATCGCCGGTCGCAAGCGCCCCCGATCCTCCGAGGGCGGGCGTGAAGGCAATCCACTTGACGTCTCCGGCATCAGGATGTTCGATAAATTTCTTGTGGTAGTCCGCCATCGATCAGGTTATAGCGCGTCGTAGTTCCGCTCCCGAGTCTTCACGAGGCCCCTTATTAGGCTGCCGGAGACAGGGAGCTCAGGGGGGAGAATCACTGCACCAGGGTCTCACCTTTGATGGAATCCTATCGGACGGCTCCCTATCCGATGTAGTTCTGAGACGGGAACATCACACAAAACGAAATACTCTCCGAATCAGATTCCCGCTCACGTACGAAACCCCTAAAGGGACTCTTGATCGGAGTAACTTGTCAGTCAGGGTGGAAGATGCGGTCTGAGTAAAGGTGCACTGCACACGATGAACCGTGGTCTCTTTGTTTTACAGTCAGCGCTGATCAGCGGCAACACGTTCTTTAGTTCTTTTGAATGGGCAAGGGAACTATGAGCGAGGGTCACTCACCACAAAGCCAATGACTCAATCTGAACCGCAGAAGCCGCTACTGGAGGGAAACGGTACACCCACGTGGAATACGTATCGAGTACGTAGCGCGGAAACGAGAGATATGATAATGATAGAGGGAGGGATTCGCCGATCCTATCGTCCAAGTTCTTCAGCGACGATTTCAGTCCAAGAATACATGAGACATCTGACCTGAAGCATCTTTCGGATGCTCCGGTTAGCGCGACGACGAGAGGAGAACAAATCCCTTTGGCGATATCAAAGGGAAACCCTCCGATGGATTCCTCGTCCAAGTGATCCCGAGCTATCTGCATGGGCTTCCATTCCACTAGAAGTTCGGCTCCGCGGTTAGCGACTCGAAATCAGAGTCGCTCGTCTGAAGAGAGACCGACACGGTTTATCGCGAGTTCTCCAGGAGAGAACTCGTTAGTTTCCTATTTTGGGCTCCCCGAGAAAAAAAAGCAACTGGAGGTTTTATTGGAGTCGGTAAGCTCGTGGTTCTATAGCTCAGGCATTTCTCCGGAACTTCGAATCCATCGAAGATACCTCGGAGAAGAACTTCCGAGAACTGAGATGGAGACGTCGCATTTGGAATCTAAGTGGTTCTCGGGGCTTGATCTCGAGATATGCGACGGCCCGTGTAACTAAGTATCCGGCGAGATAAAGAGAATATCTCTAAGGGACGATCCGGAGAAATATGATGACCTCCCCCCGTAACCCTCTTATGCGAGACCTCTGAATTCAGATGAATGAGAAAGATGAAATAGGACTTCGGATATCTCGCAGAAGGCGAGAAATCAGGTGTTTACAGAATTTCGGTCGAAGTGAGAGCGTCTCTGAGTTATTCACGGATAATTGTCAGAGCCCGATTTTCAAGATCAGTGCTCACCGCCTTCTGTCATCAGCGAAAAGATTAACACAGCGCGCACAGAAACTGAATGGACGCCGCAAAACGACCTTGCTCCACAGAAGACGACAAACTGTTTGACCGCTCGGCCGACTGAGTGACATTTCGCTGGTTGCAACGTCTGCTCCCACCGAATCGCTCCGGTCAGCGTGATGAGACATACTGAAGACAATGCTTTTTGTGCGACACGAATCGCTGATCAGAAGCTGAAAAGCAAGGTGTCTGCCCGCGACCAACAGAGGGATTACCGCCGAGACAAAAGTTTTTTTTCGACAATCAGTCGACTGATAGCCAAATAGCAACACCAACCAGATTTTGGGGGACTCTTCGTTGGACAGAATACGAGGATTGAACATCTGAACTAGACGAACACGTTATGGGTGGATACTGAGTGTCCGACAGCGCTCTGGATGAAGAGCGCTCATCAGCGAATAAATGAAGATCACCGTGGAAGGACCGATACAGCACACGACACAACATGGAAAACAGCTGTTCTGAAGGCGCCCGGGGATGCTTTTTTCAGCAACGGGCGGGAGCCGCTCATTGTGCATTGACACCTCGGGCCGAATGCCCCACTCAAGGTAGTGACGCACCAAAACAGAAGTCAAGTGGTAAACCTCAAAAGAAAACCCATGGCTGTTCCAGTTCGCCTTGTAATCGTTATCATTGACACCATAGTCAATAGAAACCAGCTCTGGCCATGGATCTTCCGTCACTGAAAGGAGTTGAGTTGACAGTGATTTTCTGGAAGAACTGAGACGACCCCATGAGCCAATCCGAGTGGAGGCTCCAAACCTCCTAAGATCGCTCTCGACTTCGGAAAGCTCATCCGAAGGTCACCATTCATTCTCCGAATTCTCTCCTATTTCACATCTTGGGTGATTCGACCGTGAGCGAATGCATCCTCTTCTCTCGCCGTGGAATCCCGGACCATTGACTGTTCGGCCGCCAAGGCCACACGGGCATGGGAATGTCCCGGATTCCTGCCTGTAGCTGGGTTCAGTAGAAGCTCATTCGTAGAGAAACCGTCCTTGCATTCCAAACCTCTTCAGGAGGCGGGAGGTCTCTCACATGAACAATCACTCGATCCATTCATCTAGCGGTGTTTATTGAGAAATTGGTCAACCTCAACAAGAGAGCAGGTCAGGACGTCTCATGAGTATTGTGGGCACCTTGTCATCGTCATCATCAACTTCTCAATCCAGCAGCTGCCTCGAGTTGGTGGAGGTTCTCGGTTAGCGCCTCCACCTCGTCCATTTTGTTCGCAGCTCGAGCCTGAAAATAAGAAATTGTGAGCGATGCGTGAGGACGCATGGGCGTCAGCCGGCGGCAATTCAAGGTGTAAACGCACCTGCTCGAGGAAACCCCTAATGTTCTTTATCTGCTGTCTCAGAGGATCCTCGTCTTCCTCTGTGCGCGAGAAGCTCTCGACCGACGGTGTCCAGCCGCCAGCTACCATTGTCGTGGGGATTTGAGTGACAGTACGGTCAACCCTTCGTTTCGCCTGGAAAAAATTATCATGTATCCGCCACATTTTTGCCACAAGTCAAGTATCGCGCCATACCGTCGAGTGATAGCGGCTCGCTCCTCGTAGCGATCAGATGAGCCACTGAATTTGCTATTCGCCGCGAGGAAGACTGAAGAACCCACCTCCTCACGTCTTTGTTGGGCAAGTCGCTCCAGTTGCTGGGCTTCGGGTAGATGGGGCAAACTGACGAGGAGATCTTTGACGAATTGACTCGTCGCAGCTCTGTGGGGTAGAGAATCGTCTCCTGAATTCACTATACGGCCCAATCGAACCACCTACAGCAGATAAACCCCCGCAGCATCTTGGGGTAATATTCAGAGCCCAATACCTGATAAGCATTCTCAGTTGAGCTTGGCGAGGCGAAAGTGAAGGATCACTGGACACATCTCCGATTCTCTTCGCTATCGTATCCGCTTTCTCCGCGTGCTTGAGGATCGCCATCCGTAATTCTTGAGCTTGCGTTAACGCTGTAAATGGGTCCTTTCGATTATCCCTCGCTGATATGCTCGCAGAATATACAGCAGAATTTATGCGCATTGGAACACGCCGCTTCCGAACGAGTTGCAGAGACCGGTTGAGCGCTACCGGTTGTGCTCTACACCACAATCACGTCGGGAAAACCTTCACCGAATTCGTTTCGATACGGGGATAATTGAGGGAAGGCTAGCTAAGTCGTAAGAGGACACAAGCAAATCGTCGAAATTTCCAGAGCGACTCACATCCATCGCCCGCCATCAGAGCATCAGTCAAGCTCACATACTGCGCTTTCAAATCAACGCATCGATCCATCAAGTCCCTGAAACAAGGGGAAAATGCGTGAGTTTCCCAGGGAGATGAATAATCGAGCTTCAGGAAAAAAATATTGTGCAGGCCGCGCCGCAGGCTCCGGGAGGATTAAGTTTTGTATTCAATTTTGATGCAGCAGAAGTTGCATCATCGAGGTACACTCACTTCATTCTAGCGTAAGCTTCCTGAAGGTGATCCGTTGCCGTGCCTTGGACGATGCTCAGCTGCTTCCGATGCAGAAGTTTGAAACAATCTGTACAGCATCTGGAGCGGGTCCTCAGTCGGTAGAGCGCCTCATACTGGCAAGCCAGGGAATGTAACCTCTCGTTCGAGTTTAAGAAAGAATTCTACACGCATCAACACTCACCGCAGTTGTAATACAGGAATGCTGCTCCCTATTTCACCTTGGAGGAGCTGCTGAGCAAGCGCATTCTCGACAAATCTTGAGCAGTCTTGGCAAGTGATCGCTCCGCAGAGTCTGGATAGGGAAGCAAATGTTAGCCTTGACTTGTCGGATTTTCTCAGATACTGATGCGGATCCGAGGAGCTCGATTCGAACTGTCCGCTCGACCACGGAAAAATGGAAGCGATCACTCCAGAGATTTGCTCACCGACAATGATGCTTCCGCCGTCCGAGAAACGGCGTGAAATTCTCTGCGCAGGTGGGACACCGAGAGACTAGGGTTTCGTCGACCCACTCCACGATCTGTAGGGTTTGAGTTCGGGCGTGAGTCGGCTTGTGAGAGGACCGTGATAGGACCGCGACGATAGGAGGAGAGCTCACCTTTTGCTCGAATTCCCTTCTTTTTTTGTCATTTCCAATAGGAGTTCCCGACGCAAGGAGTTTGCTGAGTCGAATCACAAGTTTGTTGATCTGCATATTGTATCGTTCCAGTCTATCCGAACGAGTTTTCCTGAAGAGATCCGAATGTTTTATCACAAAGCCCGGTTGCAGCTGTTCGCCGATGTCGAGTTGGTTCTGAAGAAGAGGGGCACCTTAGGACAATTTGTCCTTAACTACTCCTGACTACCTAGAACTCGGAGCCTGAGCTGCGTATCCATTCTGACGAAAGATGCTAGAACGAAGTCCAATCAATGACCTCTCAGTACTCGAACATGTCGGGGAAGCTCACGTAAACTAGTTGCTGTTGCTGAACGTGGTTTGCTTCTTGTTGACGCGGACGGTCTCCGTTCGGGGCCCGGTCTTCATTGAGCAGCTTCTTCTTGGCTTTGGCGAATATTTCTTTGAACGATGCGATGGCCTCGTTTGAATCAGCCTCCGGACCGGGATGTGCCGTTTCAAAATGTGAGGACAACTCGGCTGTGGGGGAAGCTCCAACTTGAGATACCTGACCCGAAGGAGGAACCCAGGAAGGTGTCCGCGAGCGGGACGAGGATTCGGATGGAAGCTCTTACTCACCAATAGTCCCGAGATCCTTCATACACATCGGACAAATCAGGCCCTCTCTGACCTCTGACATCCTCGCGATCGTTCCAACTCGGAGAGGTTCGAACCAGAGCGAGGGTGGAGGAAACTAATCGTGAGCGGCCAGCTGTCATGCAGCGATCAGCTGATCGCTCTGTAGAGGGAGAGGGGCAAACGCCTCAATAGGTTTGGAGATGCTCGCTCCCAGAAAAAGCGAGATAGTTGCATCATGGAAGATCTCACCTCAACCGATTCGATAGCTTTTGATCAAGGTTGAACTCCCCCTAATCAAGCTGGAACAAAGGGATCAGATGGAATGGTCAATGAAGACATTGCCTGATTTCGCGATAAACCCTCAACAGAGATCATCGACATCATTTCCGCTGAACCGGTTTCACATTCAGTGTCTCCGGGGTTCTATCCCACTCTGATTCGGAACCCAAACGCCTCGATTTCACTCCGCACGATATTACGCCATTCTGATCCAATGAAAGTGAGCCGTTCCTTTGCGATGATCACACAGGGCGGATTCCACCTACCTTCATTCGGCTCTCGGCTCGGATCCATTCGCGCCTGTCCCAGATCGGCGCATAATCGAGTCCGGTTCGAGAAAGTTGGAGATGTTTACATTTTGCGAGTCAGAGAAACGAGAAATTTTTGTATCGATAAAGAAACAAGACGAGAAAGAATTCTGACTTCCAACTCGGGTGATACTGCAACACGGTGAGGCTTCCGTCGGATAGAACGGCTAGGATCATTCTCTAAACAGTGTCCGGGATCAGATGTTCGAAAACATATGACTCCAAAAGCACACAGTGACCAATGACGACGGATGAGCTGTGATCCAACTATGCTTCGTGTGTTGGAAAGGAGATTCGTAGACCAGCAGGGCGGGAATCAGAGAACCGGCCGAGAGTCGGTTTTGACCCTCCTCGGTAGGACGTCGAAGTTGTAAAAGCGCAAATCAGTATTTTCTTGTATACTGAAAACTTATGAGCTTCCTGGGTTCTGCATGAAAACTCGTGGGCCCGTCGATTGGGTCGTGATCACCTCCATGGTGTGAAAATCCTCGAGAGTCTGCCGTAAGGGAATAGCCGGAGCAGCTCGCGACCCGTATCGGGACCGTGATGCTGTCACGGGCGACCCAGTATTGATGACTAAAATCCAGGCTCGATTTAGAATAGTTTTCTAGACGAAGGAATTCCAAGTCCATTCGGAGGATCAACCCTTGCGACGAGCCGTATTCCGCTCGGGGGGATGGAAATTCCGCTCGATCAGGTCTAAATAGACGTCCTTCGAGACTCACGGAATGCAACCGTCAAATGAGCTCATACTGAATCGATCGCTCTTTGGAATAGGTGATAGCTGCTCATCACATGCAGAGGATCGAGAGGCTGAGTCCAGAGTGCCTGAGCCCTCCCCGTCAGCCAAGGCCCCGACATGGAATAGCTTGTGGAGGTTCTGCTTCCGATTCTAGATGCGGAAATCGTGAGAGAGAAGCGTGCGCGGAGCGGGGCCGGAGATCGGATAGGCAACTCGCGACATGGCGGCCGAAGATGTGGTGGTCATGCGCTGGCCTCTGCATTCCGGAGAGCTCTTGCAAAATCTGTGCGCGATGCGTGACCGAGGAGAAATGAATGACGTGACTCTCATAACACCCGACGGCAGTGTCGAAGCTCATCGTGTCATCTTGGCGGCCAGTTCAGAGCTGCTCCGAGACATGCTGAAAAGAGTAAGATCGATGTCGAATCCGGACCAAGCTCTTGATCGAATCAAGAGACTTTGTTCTGGAACTGAGACTCAAAATAATAATATACGCTACGATAAGCCCATAATTTATTGCTCATTATTCCCATGCAGAGTCCGGCCTTCGTTCCATGTTCGCTCGTTCTGAGGGACATTACCGAAGCCCAGCTGAATCTCGTCTTGGATTTCGTCTATAAAGGCGAGCTCGCAGTCCTCAAAACTCAGCTCAACGACTTGGCGAGGGCTTGCGATTACCTTCAAATCAAAACCTGTCTATCTTCGCTCGAATCTGCAGACGGTAAAATCCGAAAAAGTGCCTGACATGAACCCAGATATGATGAGGGGAAATATTGGAGAACGATCTATCCGTCCCACTGAAATTCATCTGATTAACCGAATTTCGTCGGGACTCAGGAGCGTGTCAGGAGTTCGAGGAGGGACAAAACGGAGAAGATGACCGTGACGAAGAGAACGACGATGAACCTGATGGCGGCGGCGGCGTCGACGACGAGGCAGAGCATGTTGATGAGGAGTGCAACGCCGAAGAGCCAGAAACCGACTTCATCGAGCCTGCTCCGAATAAAGGCCTCACGAATAAAATGACTCGAAGGACGAAAGTCACGAACACGAGTGAGGCGACGACTGAATCAGACAAGATTCCAATCAGCGCCGACGAGGTCGAAATGGAGGACTTGCAAAGCTCTGCGGCGACGTACGAGGTCATCACTTTCGAAGACGTCAAAGAGGAATCAGCTGACGACGCGAAGCCGAAATCGAGGCAAAGCTACGCGAAGAAAGCTCGTCTGTCCATTGTCGGTGAGACGCACGGTTCTCTCTGATGATGCTAATGTTCGCAATTCATTCATCAAATCACTTGTGGTGATCAAGCTCCGGACCATATATTCTAGGCGATAAACGTGTCTACACGCTCGATGACGACAAGCTCGTGGGTGATGCGCCTTCTCAAATCGGACCGGATCGGCGATTTTGTCGCGAATGCCGCATAACTCTGAGTTATCCCAAAGAATTCCGGGAGCACCGGAAACAATGGCACGCGCTGCAGTGCGCCAGATGCGATTTTCGAGCCACGAAAGAGTCCACGATCCGTGAACACTTCGAAAAGGTTGGTATTTAGTAAAATCTCGGACAGGACCTCCACGCTTCTCCGATCCAGAGGAACGTTCTCAAAGAGATTCCCTTCGGCAACAGGTCCACGAGAACATACGGAGATTCAGCTGCGACGTGTGTCCTTTCCAATGCAAGGACCGAGCCACGCTACTAAATCATTCGAGGAGACATACGAACGAGAAGCCCTACGAGTGTGGGTGAGTTCAGCGGGAGAATACGGATCGCACTGGCGATGATCCGTCTGTGACGCCCTCGCCGGGTCAATGCAGCTAAGACATTCGATGAGGCGCGGAGACCACCCGGACTCAATTCTAATCATATGTCTCAGGTACTGCGACTATAAATCGGCTCAGTCGGCCTCCATGAAGCAACATGTCACATTACACGAAAATGTCGAGAGTCGACCGTTCCCATGCGACGAGTGCACCAGGCATCCTATATCCTTCGGCTCACGGTAAATATCTCCTTCTTCCCGCCAGCGATGAGCTCGGTATCATACGATTCGGTCATCGTCGCTCAAGCTCGAATCTCACAGTGGAGCTTGAAATCAAATCAATGAATAATCGATAATATCCTGAAAATTGCGACAGGGCCGCGTTGACCAAGCACAAGAAGGCTCATCATACCGCCCGGGTCATGGCCTTCACGATCATCCAGGAAGACCAGGCTCTCACAGAAGCTACCGGAGAGAATTCATGACGGTAGAAAATCATGACCGATCAAGAGAGGAACGACAGGGAATAGGAAGGGTACCTCCGTATTTGATCTCTGGGCCGTATTATACAGTGTTCTGTTCATAGGCATCCCCGAATAAAGCCTGGAAGACCATTCTGAATCAGAGGACCTCATATCTTGCTGTTATGGAATTCGAGGTCAACCATTGGGACTCGGGTCTCGGAAGAACAGATTGTCAAGTTCCAAGGTATGACCAGGAACCCTTCGTGGGTCACCATCCATCATGTACATCACGGCTCTATCTCGAATCTCAATCCTGGGAGCCCGAACACGGGAAAAGTTCACAAGAAATCGATATTCCCAGTTTCGTATTTTCCTTTATTGTAGCCTTCCGGTGGAAAAAATGTGCTGTCATATCGGAAGTCCCATCCAGCTTAGCTCGCCTCGCGGTTTAGAACTATGCTTTCATAACGCTTCCGCTCTTGCTGTGGGAAAGAGAAAAAGAGAACTGATTTAGAGCCAAAGATCCGCCGAGGTGATTCCAAGATCGAGGTCGATAGTCGTAACGAGAGAGCATCCTAAGGCTTCCGGGAGACGGATGGAGGCAGAACTCACAGCTGCATCAAAGCATCTGCTTCAAGTCATGGTTTTCGGTGCCTGAAAACAGCGTATTCCTTCGTTCGTCGATCATGTTGAAGAGTTCCGGAAGTTCGGGAACTCTCCCAGTTCTTATCTTTGACCAGAGTTGTTCTCCATTGAGGTAAATCTCGAAAGCTCCAGTCGATATCAGCTGCGATTCTATCATTCCAGAGATGAAGAATAGCATGAGGCAGCCGGACATCTGCAGTATTCAATTGATGGTTATGAGTCGACGGAATGAGGGAGATAGGATCTTTACGGCCGCATCCTCATGCGCAAGGGCCCTCATCTGTGTGAACTCACTTTGTTGTTGAGTAACCAATCATACATGCTGGGAGTTGGCCTTTGGAACCAGTCGAATGGATTCATGCCAGAGACGACTAGGATGATCATTAGGAATTTCATCAAACCCAACGAATGAGCGATGTGGTTTCTGCAATGTCATCGGGGAATCAACTCAGCCCGCTGTTGCGTAGGCGGGAGGGAATATTCCTCGACCCCATATCATCAGGGGCAGTGCGAGTTCTTGTTCGGAGTAATGCCGCGAACGGGAGAGAAATATGCGGCAAGCATCGGAATGAGGAAGATCACCATGGACTGCTCCCTATTATACCTCGGGAATGGTGGGGTGAAAGTATCTCCTGCTATCCTGATATCGGGATAACGACGCTGAAGGACTTCTGCATATTGTTGAAAGGCACCTTTGTATCCTCAGGAAACGCTGCGTCGAAGAAGCGAGAAAATTATGAGGATGCTGCCGAAAGGGATCCGAGAATGGCGAGGACTGCATGAGTGGACAACCAGGATTCAACGTGAAACTATTCGATTCTTGTCATTTTGACTCTTCTTCAATTGAGGAGCGAATCAACTTGACTCCAATTTGTCGTCGTCCGTGGACTCGGCGTCGCAGGGCCCGGCACTACTCACCAATAGAGGAATGTTAATTGTGGAATCTCCGGCGAACCGGAGAGGTCCATTTTCAATTTCGGGATGGATTTCCCAACCGTAGTTGTCTGTTCCTGTGAATCATCCTCGCGCGATCTCATGAGATCCACGATGCTCGCTCCCACGACCAGGAGGGCGACCCACATGAGAACCTTGCCTTCCTGAGCCATCGCGGGGCTCTTCTGAGAGGGGTCCGACCCGCACCCCAAGAAAAAAACTCAAGAGTTCCCTGAACCAACTCCTTCTCAAGTCCACTATCACATGAAGTCGCGGGAATGGACTTTAGTCAGTTCAAGATTGCGTTCCGGCGTAGACAAGCGAACTCACACATCCGTGTCACTACAGCTGCGGCTGCAAGCTGCCTGTATCGCTTCGAACAGGAAATAGGAGAGAGAGAGAGGGAGAGCCGCTTCGTCTGCTAACAAGACTCTACGCTATGCTCTATGCGTATTTCGGAGTCAGGATTTGCGGAAATTCCCCCCCATGGCCTTCCCTGTTGGGGACGCATAATGCCACACGAATGCGTAATGGACATTCGGTTGATTCCGGAGAGGAGTCAGGGCATCGAGCTGGTCGATTTTCATCAGAAACTCGCATAAGACCTCCATTCAGATAATTGGGGAATTCAACTCAATCGAAAATCAAGCCCGGTCCGGGTGAAAAGTCCGGAATCCCGGAACTAAGCCCGCCTTCACGCTGACAGCCATCGGCAGACTAGGCAATTCCAAGGCGGAAAAAGCGTTAGAGAACCGAGATATTGTCGCCATGGAATGCGTCTCCCGGAACGGAGCTTTCCGGCGCTCAACTCTTATCCGCGGAGCTCGCCTGGTCCCTCAAGATCTTGGTCGAGATGCCCAAACGGCCGCAGCGTCCTGATCGGATGCGCAAAATCTACTCTGGTTGACGAAGCAGTCGAAATTACGGGATCACCGCCGAGACTGTCTCTTACAGGACGAAGCTTCGGCTTCGGATCCCTGGGATTCCCACAGTGATTGCGCAAAATCGTCTCGTTCCCTACACAGTTCTCGGCGGGGGTCCGACCGGAGAGAACTCCCGCCTCATATCGAGGATTTATCATATTCGACCCGTTTCGGCCCGCGCACTCACTGAGCCCGAAGGATTTCTCCAGCGCCCGCTATCCGTTCTTAGCAGCCGGGCTTCACGTTACGCTCGGAGGGAACAAGAAGCCCGAAGCGCCCTCTGACGGATGTTGAGATGTAAACACTTCAATGAGAACTGCTGCTCCGGCCGATCCATCCGATGGTTGCAGATGCAGTGAGCGAACCTCTGGGCATCGAAACATACTGCATGACTCGGGCTGAGTCGTTGTTGGAAACAATCGACGTCGTCGACTGAATCCTGGGGCGCTACGACCGCTACTGTGTCATCCTGCCAGTGTTGGATCTCGGCCGGAGACCTTGGGTGCCGTACACTAAAACTTCCGGACCTTTACAGCTCTTGTAAGTGGACTTGTCTAGCGGTGATTGTTCATGCTCTGCTCGGACAACACCTTAAGAACTCATTGCACAGGTTTTTTACGGCTCGTACTCAGATTCGTCGGATGAATTAGGGGCTGACGTCAGTGGTCGAGCTCGATGACAATACTCGAATAAAAGCTCAGGCTTTATTGCATCGTCAGAGCATATCTTGCGGAGAAACGCTTCGTACAGCGTGAGTCATGGAACAGCAAACGGAGCGTTTACAGGGACGACTCGCTTGATGTTTTCAAATCTTGAGTATTTTTTCTGGATTCAGCACTGGTTCCAATGATTACATCTAGATGAGTACCTAGCGAGGGCACACTGAAGGCCAAAAACTCCGAATGTGGAGAGAATAGCTCCATGGATTTCGCAGCCGGTGCTGCGCTCTCGGAGTACTCACGAGAGAGAAACAATGCTCTGCGTTTGGTTTGGCGTTTCTTCCCGTCTATCGTTGTTAATCTTCGGAGATGATATTTTCATGTCCAGGGGAGCTCGGACGAGTGCGCTGTCCTTGGTGTCCGTTGTGGATTTCCGCTTCTAGTTCCCGAGACATCGTGACAGCCAATGGCTCCGGGAAACTCCGGACACCCAGAAGCCGGCGATACGCGCTCATTCAAAGTTGGTGTCTGCTATGGAAGAAAAGAAGCGATTCCATTTTCGGAGGGGGATATCATCGAGCGAGTGATCGCAAGTGAGGGGACGACGCGAAGCTGGGAGTCAGCTGAGGTCAGCCACCAATGGATGTCTTTACTGCAGCGCTAGAACTACGAGACCGATTTCCGGAAGCTATCCCTCCAGCGACGCCGTCTCTATCCTCCTCTCTATGCTCCATCGTGGTCTTCTGCTCAGGTCGAACAAAGGTTTCCTCTAGTCCGATATTCTCTTCTTCCCTGTCTCTCCCTCGACGGCTTGTGGTCGACGATCATGCGAGATCATTGGACGCTTGTTGCTGCTCCGTCTCGGGTTCCTCGAGAGTTTCGACAACTGTCGGCTACCGTGGAAGCTTCCTAAGTCCACTCATCCAAACGGAGAATCGCGGTTATCGTTGCCCTGATCGACGGAGGCGAAGGAGCGACACCGTCTCGAATGTGTTTGTAATTCGTAAAACGGGCGATATCCAGCGATAATTCCAACACCGAGAGCGAGCAACGTCTTCGAATAGCGTGCTGCGCGCGTGTGATATTTGTCCTCGAATTCGCAGGGAAAATCTCTATAACCCAACTTGAACATTAGAGAGGCTGCTCTCTCCATCGATAATGAGTGTCGCGACATTCTTCGATCCGAGCCGGTCTCATCCACACTCCGTCGACCCGGCAATGCTTACCTCCGGAAATGATTTCTACTCGGTCGCTCATCCATAGAGAATTACGTCAGTGAGCTCCCCTCCGATTTTTCGGGTCCGCGAGTGTGGCAATGCGCTCAACTTAATAGATAAAAGCGTTGGACGAGAGAATCTCAAGATACTTCTCGAGAGAAGGGAAGAGGAACTGAGAAAGTGCAGACCGTAGAGATCGGTAAGGAAGAGCTCCTCTCAAGACTCTCGTTTCTGACTTCCAGATTTCAAGACCTTCATTCGGATTGCTGTAAAAAACTCTTCGAACGATTCGAACATGCCTAAAGAGGAGCGGCAGGCCCTTCTCGCTGACAACCAACGTAACCAGAGTTACACAGATCAGAATACTTGTGAGTGAAGCCCGCGAAGCGCATCAGAGTTACGGAATGAGACCATGAGCGGTGGTCGACCGCGGGTATACTGTCTGTTCCGGTCCTCATTAGTTTCCTCCTTGCAGCTGGTAGAAGTTCTGTCAGCGGTCGGCGCTATGAAGAAAACTTGGCTCAAGTTGAGTTGCCGTCGGCTCTCATGCATCAGTCGCCCCCATACGGGCCGAAAATTCCGTGCAAGGTGAATTCTCCGCTCCTGGCGGACTCATACTTTTTGAGGAGAATGATATAAGCGTACATTTATCTTCCGAACTCGGGCCCGAGCGCAGCTAAGACTATTCATTCTGGCACCCTTCTCCGAGAATACGGTGTCGATGATTGAGATGTCGGCAGAGGGGATTACCTAATTCTCATTCGGTTCCGTCATCAACTAGGTCTGTGGAGAAATTATCGATCTCACCGATCGAATGGAGTCTCCAGTGGTAAAATGCTCGAAGTGCAAAGAAAGCACGGTGAGTAACTCCTCCCGCTTATCGAACCGATCTCAGAATGATCGAGACTCTCAATTTCGCTCGCAACGTCAAATTCTTCCCATTATGTAATAACGTGCCGAATTCCAGCCGATCCGTCAAGCGCCACCCGGTAAGAAATACATAAGATGCACTTGTCGTTGCTTACTGATCTGCAAAGCTACAGCGCAAGTAAGTGCAGGCCCGCATGCTTACGATTTCCCTGGAAAAGTACCCGCTCTCTCCGAGATCCAAGATTGTCACTTGATCGGATGTTTTGAAAATGGGTGCGGTGCTGGTGGAGATTCTCATCCGTTCTCCTTCCAGAGAGTGTCTTGTCCCAGAGCAGATTGCGGCCGGGTTCTATCACTGGCCGCAATCCACGATTCGTACGCAGGACTCTCTATGCCGGGGCTCTGCTCAGTGAGCTGCGGTTATTGTGGACAAGCCTTCATGTTCAACACGCAGACGAACGCACTTGCAAGATGTCCGAATTGTCGGAAGGTAAGGGAGATTCAGGGAACATGTCATTCACAACGCGCGAATACAATCGAAAAGAACCTGCTTCGCCTCGATCCGCGAAAAAACTCATGGGATTTTTCTTCCCCAGGTCACGTCTGTAGGCGCTGAATTTGCGCGGAGTCGCGGCTTGGTATACTTGATTCTTTCACTCCTATCGGCGATAATTGGAATCGCGGTCACCGTGGCGACGTACAGGAACGCGAGCGCAGAAAAGGCCTGGCTCGGGGTGTACATCGTATGCTTCCTCCTGTTCATCGTCCTCTTGCTAAGAGCTATGTATTACTGCACGCTTAAAGTCTCCATTGTGAACGGTCACAGCAGTAACCTGGACGTCCACGTTTAACCCGTCAGACTCTGGAAGAAGAATATTTCGGTGAGTTCCCTTTCTCCTGAGTGTCGCGTTCCGATTCTCGTGAATTGGTGCTCTCGGATGGATGATTGGGATGGTCTTCAATGAATGCCTCGTGTCTCTAAGATCTCGATTCACATTCTGCAGGAATCATGCGGAGCTAGTTCTAGCCCCAAATGACCGGATCCGACAGCGTGCGATAAAGCAGCTCGTGATCCGAACGAATCAGTCTCAAGAACGGAACTCCGGGACGTCGATGAGGTTTAGAAGGGGAGGGGATATCATGTGCGAGGGAATGATTTCCAATAATTATAATGCTAATAATGATATCAGCGAAAGTACACTCATTAGCTTCTCTCCCCACTGTTCAGAAAGAAAAAACAGAATCGCGTATGAACGGGAACATAAATCAGTGGAAAGTAATCACGCCTATATGTATCATAGCTGCCTTTATGATCCCTGTTAACCTCACAGTTGTGATCCAGAAGTTGTCGGATCGAGTCAGTTTTATTCTCTCCTGAAATCGCTCAGTTTTGCTTACCGAAAAAATACTTTATAGGGAAGTGACCCCACCATCTCCCTTTGATGATTCGATCCCTAGGGCCGATCGCTGTTAAGTGTATATATCGAGTTCGGAGACAGTGGAAGATCATCAGCAGCGCCGTCAGTGACAGTATAAGATCGCAACTGAATAAAAAAATGAATACGACGCTCCGACTCCTTGCTGATTGGGCTTCCTTGATACATTTTCTCCCGAATCCCGACCAAGCTCCGCGGAGAACGCTTCAAGCGAGAATCGCACTTTCTGAAGGCGCCGCGATTCTGTGCGGTTCCATATGGACGACTCTTGTCAGGCTGAGCCCGCGAGCAATCAATTACGGTGCCTTATCCCGACCTGAGTCCCGTCAGCGAACCTTCGCGATCTACCAACGGTCGACAGTATTTGCGAGCAGAGCTCTCGCTCTCGAAGAAACTTGAAGCTTCAACTCTCGGATCCGTCTCACCCTGGGCTCGTAGCCGCCGTCAATGCCCGCAATCGATCGGTTTTGCCTAAGTATTATCCAAGGGTATTTCCATCAGACAGACCAACATCAGGTCCCGGGGACCCATGCTTGTTCTGTAGCCAGAGCTAGAAACGACATCCTCCGAGCGGGATGAGGTACTGATTTCCACCCATGCAAAATATCCGCACGATATACAGGAGATGGACACCGTTACCATCTCCGCACATATTTCGGCTCATGACGCGAGGAGCTTGACTGACCAAAATACCTAGTCCTACTCAAAAGGTTGGATGAGGGACGTGTGGAATGTCAGCACACTTATCTGTCGGCCTGAGTCTGATTCTCGGTATTCCCGATAATCGGAACGACGCGGAGAAATCCCGAAGGGTATGAGAGTAAAATCTGTGTAGCATCTGCTTCGCGCGTCTGATTATAAAGTGAACACTCAGGAGTCCTGCCCAAGCCGTACTCTGAGAGGTTCCACCACAGAAATTCGTTCCGATCCTTCATGAACCGATATATCCGTATAGGATCGGGAATTGGGAATGCACGCTACCGCTCGATTGGTGCGAGTTGGGGAACATTGGATCGCAATCGAGAACACCGTCGCACCTCGGGATCTTCATATGGTCTTGTTTATACGCAAGCATTCAACGCCCAAATTTCCGCCGGGATTATCCGTCGAGTCATTGAAAGGACTCCGCATATTAATCTGTCGCTCTCGGAGGTTATCCTGGCGCTCTCTGCGATCTCCTTCCGATCAACCACGGGCGATCCTTCTCACTCATGACCTGGATCTCGTACCTGAAATTCTTTCGGGCTGGACCACACAGCCAACAGGTGCTGTTGTCGACATTGCAGGAATTCCGTAAATGAAGTTCCGATTGAATAGGATTCATATGGGAACATCTGGAGAGAATTGAGCTCATAGAACCCTATAATCGTTAAAAAAGATCCGGTCTTCCGTTCAACAGTTTCTGAAATGCGGACTGTCTGCCGTGAAACAATCTGGACCCTCCACTGAGTACAGGATTGAAGATACGTCTCGAGGGATCTCGGAGGGATTCGTGATCTCGACTCTTGTCGGAAAAAAATTATCTCCTCTCTATAGACTCCCCAGATGCTCCATCATCATGACGGGCTCGGCGGATTGAATACCTCAATTCGAGGGCTATTTTACTTCGCTGAGGTATCTGACTTGTCGTCCCGGAGACGAATGCGTCGAAGGAGCTCAGTCTTCGTAACGTGATGCAATCTCTCAAAAACTCATCGGAGTCTTGTACCGGTCGTCCCCGACCGTGCTCAGCCTGGGTGGATCTAAGTCCTAAGGTCTGACACCATATCTTATTCAACGCCTTCAGTCTCTTTGTTCGTTCACGACGGTGACAATCGAGTAATCCTGAAGTTTTGGAGTGGACGGACGGACGGACGTACCTACATACTCCTCCCTCTCCTACCGACAGAAGGGCGTGCGTTTTCACTTCCCGTATCTTCTGACCTGATTTTTCTTCTCGGAAGCCCGAAATCGATGTGCGGTCGTCTGGCTTCTCGGTTCCCCCTCGGTATGAGCCTCGGCCTAGGGCCGCCCCGATGGCGTTCAAGGACAGACAACAAATGTGTTCTTCTTCCGCATACGCATGTTACTATTCGTGGGTACTTTCGATGGCTGTTTCTCCGATCTGGGGGCGCCTTGGGGTTTTGATCCCAATCCTTATGAACGGTAGAATTCTCCGAGATAGCTCTTTTTACATGCTGATATCTCTGATGTGGGTATTAAACCATCGAGTTCCATTCGTAAGCCGCTTTTGAGCCCAGAGAGATGATATTTATCGATCCTCGGGCGAGGGAGACATTTCAACGACATCGGAAAATTTCCTTGCAGGGGAATGTTTCCGCCGGAGGATTCCCGCCCGATAATGAGGGCGAGGGTAAACGAGCGCTCATTATGGCTGGTCGTCCTCACAGGCTTCAGAACTCCGAGCAAGAATGCTACGCATTCATACTTGCGCTGAAAAACGAATTTCTGATTATTTGCTGCAGGGAGTCGAATTCGATGCTCTACCTGTAGCGGATTTTTCTCAGCTCGTGGATTTTCTCCGAACCGATCGCAGGTAGATGATCCGAAAGCATGGGCGAATATTCAAACCGAAGTTCCATCACAAGAACTCGAGAAGGCAGCACATCAGTCAGTCTTTTGTGAGGATTGATTTATTGGGCCACGCGGTCTCTCGTGGCGTAATAATGAATGATCAGGGGTTGGACTCGAGCTCTGGCGAATCTCTGACCGACCGCAGTTTGAAGTATTTACTGCTCCAATTGATAGTCCTCTCTGTATGAGGTGAACACAGGGTGCTACTGTGGATGCATTCCCGACCCGACATCGTGCCGACCAAGAGAAGAATCATCAGAGAAAAAAAAGCTCGAGCTTCCAAGGCAGGCACACTGTGTACTATCGTATGTGCCGTGAATACCTATCTTCAACTGACGGAGAGTTTCCAGAAAGAAGAAATCGCTCTCGGTCTGAAAAATCTGGTGATCTGAAAACTCTGACGATGAACGCCATAGTTCGGAATCACCGTGATAGAAGAAAAGATGGAAGAGGCCCTTGGAGATCGGAATATGTAAACTCCGATAGACTGTGGAGGGGAAGAACTCGTCGAGATCGGAGCAAGACTCAATCTAAGTCAATCGGGACGGAGCTTCAGCTCTGAGCTTTACAGAAGGCAGCCTTACCACCAGGGAGGCGTTCGAGGCTCTCGCTGATAGGTCTCGAGCGGTGAGAAAAATCGAAAGGATTCCGTAGGGCACCCGGAATTCGAGATACAGAGCCTCACGGTCTCGAGCCGATCCAAGCATTTGAAAGCCGCGCTGGTGCATTGCCGAGCCCGTCGAGAGGTCCAATGGAACGGCGATCCAGCGACCCTGACTGCCTCAACCGAAGATTTGCTCGAGGAATATAGGATCTATTCCTGCCTAGAAATGGGGTGAGTTCCTGCCACTCCTCCGACCACGAGAGGGATACCGATCTCACTCATCAACGTATCACTTGAATCCGGGATGGTCTCCAGTGCGATCGGGTGATATTTTCCGGGGCAGGCGCTCGAAGTCCTCCTACTGGGAACACCCTCGAGAATCCGTGACCCTTCGCGATATATCATTCTCCATCATATATGTACATACATCAGGCTCCGATAGTCGCAAATCGCCAAGCCGTAGCATTCCAGCTCGATGGATACATTGGTTTCTGGCTGCCCACGCCATGACGTCGCTCACTTCGGTGCTGTGTGGGGCTCGAGGCGAACAACACCAGGAGGAAGCGAGGAGAGGTTAGTAACCCAACGCATGCCAGTCACTGTTCCACGCCATTTCTCGGCGTTCCACCAGAGGGCTTCGCTTTCAAAACTTTCCCCGGTCAAAGACCTCACCCGGCTTCACGTCACGTCAGGAGGAAACAGGTGACGACGCCCCAAGAGCAACTATCAGAAACGGCCAGCCAGAGCGAACCGAGGGTATAGCGTTGGAGCCCGAAAACAGATTATTTTGGCCGGTGGCGCCTCGGTGAGGATGATTTTAGATGTCCTCTCGATTCGAGAGAAAAATTGCGCACCAACATTCTTTCTTCGACTCCGAGATTCGATCCCTGGGGGGGTCTCCCGATCACCCGGAAATTATCGCGGGACGCGGTCGAGAAAAAAGGTTATTGGGGTTCGAAATCATATGAGTAGCTCTTTTGTTTTCGCTCATCACCAGAGCTTTCCAGCCAACGGTGTACGCGTCCCTTGAACGGTCGACTGTTTTCCAGCCGATTTCTCCCTGGGAAGGGCCAATGACCCGCGAGATTGTGGGTAGAAAACGCATTTTGTTTCGGCGTCCAGCGGACATTTGCATGATGCAGCCAATGCGTTTCAACTCCCACAAAATCCTTCCGATAATAACAACATTAGAACAAGAGCCCTCGTTGCCAAGCACCCTCGGGAGTTCGAATAACCGATGAGAGTGATTTCTGGCCGTTCTGCTTCTCATCTCCTCCATGCTTTTCCCACAAACACTGTAGTGCCGTGCATCTCACTCATTCAGTGAGGGCTATCCTTCGTATTGAGGATGATTTATCGAATTCCATCCTCCTAAGATGTGGCTTGCACGATATTCTCATGAGAGCTCGGCATTAAATCCGTTTTTCCGTGAGCCAGAGAAGACTTGAATGGAAACGAGGTGAATAGCTGGGAGCATGTAATGATTCGTCGAGAAGTGAGCAAGAGTTACTCAACTTGCTGCGTGATAAGCGCCGGCCGACAACCTCGCAGACAGCTTTCCGACGGCTCCCATACCCGCTTCTCGTGCTAAGTAGCAAGAAGAGACAGAAACTCCGACGCCAATTCCGCCAGGCTTGCTTAATTCAGTGCACCTCTGGATGGCTCACTGGGCGACTTACCTGGTCAATAGCTATGCAGCGCATGGATCCAATCGGATGGATCTTCGCTATGTCCGACGGCGGGTCGCGGCCGGCGAAAAGGTACACTTTCACTCCTCGCCCTTCTGCTCGAAGGGCATCGACCCTTTCGGATGTACAACTGCGCACTTGAGCAGCGACGGCGCGGCGTCGACAAACAACCGAAAAACGTCGAGAAACTCGTCGACGACTCAATGGTGACAGAAGAAAGCTGAAGCAGAAAGTTTTCTCTGCACGGTCAAAGATTTTTCGG